AGAAAAAAATATTGATTTTCTATTTTATAATATATAAGTGCGAGGATGATAAAATCTAAAATTAACATATTTTTAATTAATTTTTACATTAAAACTATTTTAATTTTACACAAAATTTATTTTAAATTATTTTAAATTTTGCATTTATTTTGTGTTAAAATATTAACACAATATTTGTATCTCCATTTAGCATATCCATATTATATTAACACAAAAATTTCTGTGGACGTTTGGGACATGCACTGTAAAAAAATATGTAATATATTACATAAAAATATGTGAAATTACATAAATAATAAGTATAAAATTACAGGATAAATAGAAATGTTTACCTTTTCATTAATTATTATGTAATTTTACATTTATTGTTTATATAATTTTACATATTTTTTATGTAATTTTACATATCTTTTTACAGTGTGTGATATCTGTCAAATTTAATAAAAATTTTTTAATTGTGTACCATAATGTTACGCATATATTTCCGAAAAGCTTATAAATTTTGTGATTTTTGTGTAAAACTTTGTTTAAAATTTTATCCGCTTTGTTTCTCTCGAAACCTGTCTATTTATTTATTTATTTAAAAGTGCATTAAAGTTTTGCGCTCAGAAACATAAAAGTTTAGAATCGATATAAATATAGATAAAGTATTTAAATCTTTCATTCACAGATTATTCTATACGCTATTTGTAATCCGAACCATATAATTTCTTGTAATTTTATTTACTTTAATAGAGAATGTAATCTCGTTCGAATGTCGAAAACCTGAAGAAATTATTCTTCATGGGATTTCGAGCTCGAAACTCGGTAATATTCGGTCAGGATATCACGTACAAGTTAAAGTGGTCTTTTTTGGGGAAAGAATGAAACGATACAAGAATCACATTTACGGGGGTTTATTTCTTTAATCCGTCTTTCAACAAAACATAGACACGTACGACGAACGCGTTGAAAAGATTATAATCTGCCTTATACGTGAGAAAATATATAGAAATATTAGTTTAAAATTATTAAAATAGCACTTCTCATTTATGATTTTTTTTAATATCTCTAAAGTGATATAAAAAATGGTAGCTAAAAGCAAGATGAAAAGAAAAAGATGAGCTGAATTAAATTTGACAAGTTAATTAATGAAGTCTCTCTCTCTCTCTATATATATATATATATATATATATATATATATATATATATATATTATTTGCTGGTTTTTATGAATTTTAATAAATTTATTAATAACTATCATTTATATAGATTATAAGCTTTATAAATGATTGTCATTCATTAATCATGAAATCGCGATTTTATATTGTATATATAAAAATAAATTATAATATAATAATTAATAAAATTAATAAAATAAATAAAGTTAATATTTTATATATATTTTTTTATTTTAATGTAATCCGATTAATATAAAATTGCGATTTTATATTGTATATATAAAAATAAATTATACAATAAATAAAACAAATAAAATTAATAAAATTAATATAATTAATAAAATTAATAAAATTTCGTACTTTGTAGGTAAATCGTAACAAAATATATTATACGTAGCTATCGTAGCATAAATTTTTGCGTCTAATATAAATTATCACTCCTTAATCTACTTTGAATTTTTATTAACTAATTAATTATCTGTAGGTACTTTAAATCATTATTCTACGTCTATTTATCATATCAATGGTATCGAGAAGTATCGTATAGCAGTTTATTCTATTTTTCAAAATGTCAATTTTAAAAGTTAAAGTTTTGAAAGAGCAAAGAGAATAAAAAATAAAACACACTAGCCATCAATTTTATCATAATATTTTATCTTATAATATACGCGCATTTAAAATGTCAAAACTTTTTAAATTTTAAGTCTTTGAAAAATTAAATAGCTTTTTACATAATTGATGTAACTATATGTAATATATAAAAAGGTGTTACTATTAATTGCAAAACTGACACATAGCATTGTGTCTTATAAACTTAATTTCTTGTTAAAATAGTAAATTTATTACAACTAGATTTTTCTTTCAAATTTTATTATTTCATATCTTAGTGTTTTAATTATCTAAATGTTAAATTAGAAATCAAAGCCGAAATAATCATCAATTTTATATCATAATATTTTAATATACGCGGATTTAAAACGTCAAACTTTTTAAATTAAGTCTCTGAAAAATTAAATGGCTTTTTACATCATTGATGTAACTATATGTAATATATAAAAAGATGTTGCAATTAATTGCAAAAACCAATTTTAGTCGAAGAAAATATCAACCTCAATTAGAAATCAAAGTCTACTTTAAATCGAACACAAGGATAATGTTTTATTTATTTTATTCAAATGTAATTCTCGAAAAAAGTTCTTCATTTATAATTTCTGATAATCATTAAAGAATTATTAATATTTTAAAAATATTTTTGCCAATAAGAATTGTGAAATTTTCTGAGCAAGAACGATGCATGTTAATATATGCATGAATACAATTCGATTTATATGCAGATAACATAATATAAAATAAATGACTATATCAAATGTTTGAACCGTACAAGAGTAAATTTTTATCAACTGGCTTTTCGCCTGCGCTTTCTTTCATCCTTGAAATAAATTTATTGCCAATCAAAGTGCTTTCCAAGAAAAGTATCGAAGAAAAGTGCAACGTTATTTGCTAAATAAACGAAAAAGTAATTGGCGTAGTATATATTATACTAAAACATTTTTTACATTCTAATTCGTAAATGATATTATACTATCAATTTATTGATCCTATCAATTTAAAAGAAAATAATCTGGAAATATCTGCGTATAACCCGGAAAAAAATTTTTTATATATAACAATATAAAATTATATAGAAATATATAAAATTATACATATATAATTACAAAATTATATATGAAATATGTCCATACATAAAAGTGCTTTTTATATATAAATTTTATATATATATATATATATATATATATATATATATAATAAATTTTTCCCGGGAATAATAAACGTGGATTGCACTTTGCGGTCATGTTTTTTTAAATACACAATAGTAGATTTATTAATAGTCAGCAATATCAATAGTGAATTTGGCACGTAATTTAGTTGGAATCACCTGGAGAAAATTCCGAATAAAATGGATTATAGCGAATCTTTTAATAAAGCCGCTTTAACATTTTAAATTTTAGTGAATATATTTTCTTTGCGTGGATTTATAATGAGTCATACTTAAAAGAGTTGCGATTCTATCCCTTTTTGTTTATCCAAATAAGTGAAAAAAATAAACAACAATTTTCTTTATATGTCAGATAGCTTTATGCATAATTAATTTTATAATTAAGTTTACAATATTATATATATTCTGAGCAAAAATTTCAATGTAAAATCAAAGAGTTTTCGCTTTTTAAAATAATTAAAAATAATATATAAATCTCTTTACAATGCTTCACATTTTTCAGACGCATTTATTCGAATTTATGTAAATTTTCAGGCTATATTAATTTACAAAGAAATATTAATGCCGCGTTTGCTGAAGAGTAATTATTATGAAAAGTTATATGAAAAAAACATCTCTTTATAATCTCTTTATAATAGTTCCATATTCAATGTATTCTGCTTATAAATATTATCCAAATTTCATGAAAATTGTACGATTTGAGTCACCGGTGCTCGAATAAAAAAATATATCCATCATTACAAGAGTATGAAAAAAAGGATTTGTTACTTTCACTAAACCTTTCAACTAAATTACTATTTTCTTAATTGAATATATGTATATTAGTATTTAAGTCAAATATACGTTTTGTTAAATTTAATATATTATTATAAATATGCTGGGTGTAAGAGCCTTATTTATAATTATGTATGTTGATAGCCGAATAATTTTATTATTGTTAATATATTATATTTAATTTAAATATTTTTATGCTCAATTAGCAAAATATTATTTAATCAACAAATTTTTTTAATGCGGATAAAAATGAATAAATCTAATATCCTTCGCATATTAATATTTAAGTCAAAAATATATGTTTTGTTCGGTTTAATTAAAATATTTTGATATGTTCAATTAACAAAATTAAGTCAACAAATTTTTTTTTAGTGTGAATAAAAATGAATAAATGTTTTACATTGACAAAAATGACTAAATAAATACATATTTAGTTTAACACTGCCAAATGAATCATTTATTTGAAACAAATAAATATTTATTTATTTTGTAAATGATTTTCTTATATCAAATAAATATTTTTCATATCAAATCAATATTCTTAGTTTCAAATGAATGATTCATTTGGCAGTATTGAAATAAATGAATTTTTTCAGTGTATATCCTTCGCAGATTTAATTTAAATATTTTTATATACGTTCAATTAACAAAGTTTAGTCAAGTGAACAATTTTTTTTCAAAATGGATAAAAATGAATGAATACCCTACATCCTTCGCAGATTTAATTTAAATATTTTTATATGTTCAATTAACAGAGTTTAGTCAAGTCAACAATTTTTTCTTCAGCGTAGATAAAGATGATCAGATTGAATTTAAATATTTTGTATGTTCAATTAACAAAATTAAATCAAGTCACAGAATTTTTTTTTCAGCGAGGATAAAAATGAATAAATATCCCATATCGTTCGCAGATTCAATATAAATATTTTTAATATTATATTTTAAATATTTTTTTCATATAAATATTTTTATGTTCAAAATTAACAAAATTAAATCAAGTCAACAAATTTTTTTTCAGCGAGGCTAAAATTGAATAAATATCCCATATCGTTCGCAGATTAATATAAATATATATTTTTAATATTTCAACATTATATTTTAAATATTTTTTAAAAATATAATTCAATAAATAAATATATATATATATATATATTTAATTTTTCAACATTATATTTTAAATATTTTTTAAATAAATATAATTCAATAAATATTTTTAATAAATATTTTTTCTGTTCAATTAACAAAATAAAAAATCCTTTCGTCCGAACAAATGCTATGAAATTACCAACCTGGCAAAAGCGCAACGACAGCGTCGCGATCGTCGAGAGGACTTTGGGATTTGCAGCTTTGTCGCGCGCGTTCACCCCTGGATCTTCGCACCCGCGAAAGAAAGAGGGAGCCTGTCCTTTCCTTGGAGAGAAAAAGGAAGCCGATCCCGAGATCGAGCGAATTTTTGACCCGATTTGATTCGAAAGATTTGTTTTCGCGCGAAACGGGGTGGCGCGAGGATCCTCGGAGGACGAAGAGGACGAAGGCCCCGGGCTAGAGGTACCGTGCTACAGTGGCGAGAATCCGTCGGAGATCAGCCCTTAAATACGCGCCGCGTATATCCGATTGCGATTGCGCACGCGTATTTATATATATATATATATATTGGCTCGCCCGAGAGAGAAATCGTATCTCCGTTTCTCGCGCATCCTTCCTCCACCCTCTGGTTTTCTTCGATGCGATACGCATTTTCTCACCCAACGTGTGTACTTATTATGACATAAAAAATTTCACGCTAATCCGACCCGGGACCGTAGTTTATATACATATAAAGATGTGGCTGTGTTCGACGTCATACTCCCAAGGGACAATTATAGTGGCAAACTTGTTGCTTTCGCGAGGGTGAAACACCCTGATTCGATCTTTTTACGGTGAGCGTGACACGACGTGTGACGTAATAATACTTATAAATAATATATATACAGTAATAAGATAAATACTAGATATATGCCGAAAAAATTGTATTCTAAGCGCCAAGAGGATCCTCTTATAATTTAAGATGATATTCTTAATTTATTCTTATTTTAAGAAAAAAATATATTAAAATTATACGAAAAATTGTATTCTAAGCGCCAAGAGGATCCTCTTATAATTTAAGATGATATTCTTAATTTATTCTTATTTTAAGGAAAAAATATACCAAAAATTAGAGAAATTTCTTAAATTAAGAAGATTCTCTTGGCACTTAAAATACAATTTTTTCGGTGTGTAATATATATATTATATATTAATATGTATTACTAATTTATATGTAATAAACTAATATACGTATTAATAATTTATATATAAAAAATTAATATGTATATTAATAAATTATATATAAAAAATATTTTAAATATGTATTAATAAATAATGTCTAACAAGTTAATATGTACTAATAAATATTAATTAATATATATTGAGTAATAAAGAACACATATGAAATTTTTAGTTATTGATTGTTTGATCCAGGTATAAGAATTAAATTATTTTCGAAACTTTTTAATTATTATTAAAGAAAATACAATGTTACTAAAATGTTTAAGTGAAGAAATTCATTCTTTATAAATATGTCATTTGTGATTATTTGTTGTGAAATTTATGTCATTCTCAAGATCTCACTCTCGTGAAATACTCTGTCTATAAACTTGTGTGGAATATAAAATTTATGCGCGACCATATATACACATAAAGAACTACATTTAGTATATAACTTATTTAGGACATTGAAAATTTTCTGTAGAATTTATATGTACCTTTTCACTTTTAGATATAATAAAAAAATAACGTATAATTCATTTTATCATTTTCGACAATTTAGAAAAGCTTTCTCAACAACCTTGAAGATAAAAAAGATATACTTCAACAAAATTAAGATAATATGTATAAAAAAATAATTGTATATAGTAGAGTCTTTGAAATTCTCGAATAAATTTTCGCGATTAAAGTTTCACACGTTCAATCCGTTTTTATCATTTTATCATTTAACACAAAAAATTTATTCTAAACATTTAATTTCAACTTTAGAATGTTACGTGTTATTGATTCAATTTTCGTATTATATATTAAATGTCTGATGACATTGACAATTATTAATGATGCAGCATCAAATAGCAATAAATATTTATAACATTTGATTGGCCCGACATCATTATGCATAATAATATGCATATATATAAGATGTTAAAAAAAGATATTAATTGAAAAAAAAAAGAAAATGGCGATCTTGTTAGAATTAATACTAATCTTGGTGATACAAGCGATTTGCTCGCTTCTATCTCTCTCTCGCTATCTAAACTCTTTAAAAAGAAGAGATTCGATCCGTAACTTTATTTAAGGACTTAAAGGAAAGTTGACTTTTGCGTCGGAAGGTGCGATGAATACTAAATATAAGTAATATTAATATTATAAATATTAATATATCTATTAATGTATAATAATTAATAAATAATTAACTAATAAATACTTAATAAATCATTTATAATAAAAAAATTAATGAATAATTAATAAATAAAATAATTAATTAATAAAAAATAAATAAATAATTAATTAATTAATTGATTAATTAATAATAAATAAATAAATATAATTAATAATTAGTATAAATATTAAATTTAATAATGAAGAAAAAATGCATATGAAGTTACAATAAAAATTGTATGGAGCTTTTGTCGTATCTTTGTGAATTTTCTGTCGTATTTTTGTTTTTATTCATATTTTGTTCTTATAGTGTAATTTTTAGGTCTTCTATTAACGGTATCAGTCTAGAAATAATTTGATTGACACGATTCTATCGCAGATTTGCGTTTCAGTGGAAGTATCGCGAGGCGTCAGGTGCGACATGAAGCGGAACGATTAAGCGATTTTTCACGGAGCTCTTACAAAACAGATTCCCTCTTCCCACGCAAATTCGATGCTCCGTTGCTGTTAGCGGTATATATCAACTAAATACTGATAATAGCGTCGAAGGATACACTCTGTAATTCGAAATGCAATGACTGGTTCGTCGCATTAACGAACGCATTATACGCTTTTGTTGATGCGCATAAAGATAATCTTGAAATAATATTTCTCCTGGATATTGGGGTCAATTTATGTTCGCATTGTTCTAATCTAATTTACATAAGATGTAAATCCGTTTATACTTATTTAATTATCCGTCGAGCAAGAAATGTTTCAACGTCCACATCTTCTCGTGCCTTCTATACATATATATATATATATATATATATATATATATATATATATATACATACATATATATATATATATATATATATATATATATATATATAATAAATAATATCTATTTATTTGCATAAGTGCTATTAAAATTATTATTTATCTTATTTAATTATTATTTAATCATTTTAATAGCAATTACATAAATAAATAGATATTAATTGTTTTATATATGTATATACATATATTTATATATTTCAGGCATTTCTTAGGGTGATTAAAGAGAATTGCAAATTTGCCTAGATATTCTTTTAAATTTAATTAATAAATAAAATATAATAATAAAATTAAATTATATAAATAAATAGATATCAGCTGTTTTCTTGTCTTTAATATATTATTTATCTTATTTAATTATTATTTAATAATTTTTAATAGCAATTATATAAATAAATAAATATTAATTATCTATTATCTTATTTTATTTATTAATTAAATTTAAAAGAATATCTAGGCAAATTTGCAATTTTCTTTAATTTAATTAATCAATAAAATAAAATAATAATAAAATGATAAAATCTAATTATATAAAATAATAAAATAAAATTATATAAATAAATAGATATGAGCTGTTTTCTTATCTTTAACAAATAATAAAACATATATCACGATAAAAGAGATATATTTCTGATTATATAACCGAACATAGGAGAAATTATTTTCTTAGCACATTCAATATTATCTTTTCTCTCATCGACGATTTTAGGACGAAAACTATTGTTAATGCAGCAAAACATTTCGAATTTTTTTTTCTTTTAACGGTGTCCTTATATGAGTGGAAGCAATTCCTTCAAATACAATAGCTGAGTTATGTGTGCTAAGATATGCATTAACATTCGTCCCCTGTCGATCACGTCGAGAAAACTGCATCGCAATTTGATTTCACGGAAGATCGAGTTCTTTTACGTAGAAACCGCTTGGTTATTCCTGATCGAGAATTCGTTCTGCAGGCTACGTTTTATACGATTTACATTACATTTTCGTCACTTACGTGACGCTTATGTCATCCCGTTACACATAATGTCATTCGAATTATCCGCCCTACATGTCAGGAAAAAGAAAACAATTGCTTCGAGAAAAAACGATAATGCAATTCAAATTATAATACCTGGCCTATATACATTTTATAAAAAAAAATACCTCGACATCGTTTTAACATGTAATAATTTTATACACCGAAAAAATTGTATTCTAAGCGCCAAGAGGATCCTCTTAATTTAAAATAATCTTAATTTTTTTCTTATATTTTTAGAAAAAAATATACTAAAATTTAGAGAAATTTCTCAAATTAAGAGGATCTTTTTGGCGCTTAGAATACAATTTTTTCGGTGTAACAATCATATATTAAGAAACAAATTAATCGCTCTTTTATTCCGACACGATAAATAATGCGAGAATTAAATATTACTTAAAAGATACAGATTTCCAATTGTAATTCTATATATTTTCATCTTGAACCGTTCTTATAAGTATAAATAAACGTTTAAATTTATGTAACGTATGACATTTGACATCTGATAATAGAGAATAGAATTCTACTGATTAGAATATAATTGATTAGATATTACTGGTTTTTTATATATGTACTTTGTACATGACGAAAAGAAATTAAAGAAGCGATACGATAATGCTTAGAATCGTTTCGCTTCTATACATCGAAAAACTGCAGTGTTGGACATTTCTTCTTTCGGTATTATACGAATGTTCAACGTGCATACTGCATCATTTGCATATCATTTACACACAATATATGTAGTTCATATGTGTGTCGCGTCACGTCTATCGTAGCAAAAGTCGAGAATTTTTCGATTCTTTTTCGTAATTTTTATAGTAAATTTGCAATTCAATTTATAATAGTTGCTGAATTGGCAAAATTTACTTCGAAAAGAAATGAGTAAAGTCGAAATTAATCGAATTATTTTATTATCCTTTTTTCATATACAATATATTTCGTTTTTCTCGCGGTACTTTTTTTGTAAACAAATGTCAACGCACAAAGATTTATAGTTGATAATTTTATTTTTAATAATAAGAATAATAATTTATTTGTAATTATTAAAAAAACAGAAATATCGAAATTAAAGATTCTTTTTATTTTAATAAAATGTACGTATAACGAATAATTTGATTTAAATGGGTAGCATTTCCACGCATTACTTCCGTCTTTCAACGACTGGAATCGATGAGAGGCTTGTCATGCGATGCACGCCATTATATGTCTGATTTGGCTATGACTTTATAAGTTATATAATTGCTAAGTTTTCTTATGTACGTATTTCTGTATTTATATCTCTTTTTTTAGTCTGATATTTCTGATAGCGTAATGTTTTTTAAAAATAACTTTTTATGTTACATACTTTGTTAATTTTCGTGTTGACAGTTACTGAAGATGATCCCAAGGAAGGATCAAAACGTATAATTAAAAATTTTTTTGTCTTTACTACCCGCGTTGCGGCTCTTACTGGCCTATTATTGAATTTTTATTGTCTTTATAAATGCGTATCTCGGGTGTTAGCATATAACTTGACTCCGTAAATTTTTATTATAATGACAGTGTTGAATAATTTATTGTTAATTTCTACTAATCTTTTAATTTTTAATTGATGCGCTGAAGAAGGTTGGAAAAAGACAACCAAAACGTACGAATTTACTTCTGTATAATATTTAATGATTTATGTTATAAATCTTTTCACAAATATAATTCTAGTATAGAACTTGATTAGCTCTTATTGCCTTTTTATTTGTAGATTCAAATTTTCTAAAGAGCTGTTACAAATTATATTACTTGCTTATATCACTGTAATTTTTTTTCTATTTGTTTTAAAGTAAAAATACATATTAATGTAAAAATACATGTAAAATATAGGTAAAATTACTATTTTTATTCAAAAATTATATGTAATTTTTAAATTTACTATTTTTATGTGTTATTCCATGTTCAGTGAAATATTTTTAATCTTGAAAATATTGAAGAATATATTTCATATAAAATTACATATAATCTATAATCTTCTATACATATAAGTATCAATATTGCATGATTATGCTGAGTCGGAAAAACCTAGCTTAATCATGCAATTTTACATAAATATTTTTTTCAGTAAATACTGTTTCAGTGAATTGTTTAACAATCGCGAAAGGAAAATAGACTTTATTATTGCCGGAAGATATAAATGATTAAAATTGACAGATTAAAAAAAACAGTCTACGAACATTAATTGATCATTCAAATGTAGTTACATTTTGTCCCTCACATCTCGAGTGCAGTTAGGTTATCAAATTTCCGTCATAATGATTGAACCTTAAAATTGAAACTGTGACCTGCGAATTAATGTTCACTCAGGAAGTGTATGTGTCACGTGGTTTGCGATTTTGCATATTATTTGCCTTTCAGTCCTGATGGAACGGCTTTAGTTTTCTACGATACACGCGTCTTCACGCATCTCTTTTCCGCAAGTGTGTCCATCCCTAAGTACGTATTAGAATATTTTGCCATCGCATAATAATTGTGACATATTAAGCTAATATAATCACGATAAGAAAAATCTGTGGAAAGTAGGACCGAGTTTTGTGCAAACGAGAAAGCATTGTGCAGTGCGAAAATATAATATTGCAATCAATTATTGTACATTTTTTTATTTCATTATTTTATTTTTTTTAATTTATTTGTAAATCATTTTTGCTAATTGGAACATATATATTATAAACCCATACAGCACAAAATATTATAAATGTTTTCAAAAAATATTTCTAAATATTTCTATGAAATATATTTTAAAATAGTTTTAGAAATATTTTAAAATGATTTAAAAATTTTTTGTGATAACTTTTTTTAGAATATTTTAAAAAACTTTTGAAAATATTTTTAAAAATGTTCTTCTTTATTGCTGAGAGATAATAATTTCTTAATTATTTGATACATATTCTTGAAATATTAGTTTAAATTATATTTAAAAATATTTCTGCAAATATTTTTTAAATATGAAAAAGCGGACATGGAAACATTTTTTAAAAATATTTTCAAGAATTATTTTATTTTTTAAGAAATATTTTTAAGAGATTTTAAAAATATTTTCAAGAATTATTTTATTTTTTAAGAAATATTTTTAAGAGATTTTAAAAATATTTTGTGCTGTATGAGAAATATTAATTTATTAAAATCAAAATAATGATTATATATATATTTTTTTCATTTAATATAATTTGACAGATTTTACTTGTTTGAAATATTAGCATACTCCGAGTAGCACAGATGCTTGTTTCAAACAACATTTCCTAATTAGAATGGTATTATATTTAATAAGGTATTCCTTTTGCGAAGGAGCGTATTTTGCAAGCAGGACCTCAGCAAACTGTTGTATATTGTATTAAACTTATATAAAATCATGTTATAATTTATTATTATGTTTAATTATAAGAACAAATTGAAAATTTTATTAAATTGTGTATTTAGAAATATTACTGTTAGAACAATGTAACCAAAATAACCATATTTCGTCAAGTTTAACATACATATTTTTTTAAATATTCGGTGACTGTATTTTTATCGGAACTATCAAAAAAGTATAGAATTTAATGTGGAAAGTAAATAATTTTTTCGATAAAGTCACGTATAAATAATCGAATTTTGAAAGTCATAATTCTTTATATAATATGGTTTAATTTTGTTCTGATGTAAAGATATGCATTTTAACTTGATTTATACCGAAAAATTAGTGAATTCTTAAGACTTTGATATTGTGAAGGGAATACCTTAAAAAATGTTTACGAAAACAACATGTGCTAGTTGAGTATACGTAACATTCATGAAAGCTTATTTCTGACTTAACTTTGAGCATATTTAAAATGTAAAACACTTACTTGAATTTCAACGAGTTATAAAGAGTCAGATAGCAGTGTGACGTAAAATTAATATTCGTTAAAACTGATTATATACAGGGCACATATTTCTTCTTTATGCGATATTAAGCAATTCGATAAATCTCAATTTAAAATTTTTATATACATTTTTAAATTAAGAACCTTCCGTGACTCCTAAAGAAACCTTGCACTATTATTTGCATCATTTTTTTTAGCTCGGTATAACTATTGAAATTTAAATTTGTGTTTCACATTGAAAGCCATAAATTTTCAATTGTTATTTAAAATACAGCCCCTATATATATCGTGGATGGACCCTACTTTGTGGATACATAGACGTTACTATTACTACAAATTATAAGTATTTGGATATTACTCGGATCAAGAGCCGCAAAATGCTGCATCAGATGAATTCCGATTTCTTGAATGCTCAATCTGAGAACTCAGAAAAATCCTATCTCGAATCATGCATTATGCGTCCGAGAATAACACGAAAAGGAGACAATGGTACGCATTTTTTTCATTTTTCTATAGGTTAAATAGATTAGGTGTAAATTAATTTTTTTTAATTATGTAAAGCATAAGAAAGAGAGAAAGAACGTGAGAAAAAATGATTCATATACAATATAAATGCGCGTGTGCAAGAACAAGAAAGTTTTTATCTTTAAAATTTCTTTTTAATCAGAAGAACGAAAATTAATTATATTTTAGTAGAGCTAAAAATATATTAATTTCCAATTGGAAAAATAATATGATGTATTTTTATATTATTAATATAATATTCTTAACTCGAAGATATTTGATTCATATTTGTCGATTATTTCGATTATTTATTATTTGTTAGTATTACTTATAAAATTTCTAACAAACGAAAATTTATATAACAGCTCGTCTGATATGTAAGATATATGTTCGAAAATATGAATTGCAATCAATATGTCAAATTAAATATATTTCGCATACAAATTTTATTACAATGTATACATGACATAAAAATATCAAGATGTCTCTCATAAGGATAAATAATTTTATACAAAAGAGTATATTTTCTTTATTTTTAATTATATTTATTCTGCAATTAACTAATTTTTCAATTTGTTGTTTAAAACTTTGAAGTTTAAACGTGAATATTTCAACTGCATTTTCCGGAATTCTCTCAGTGTTTGCGATGTTGAGATAAAATATTTTTTTACTTATTCTTAATTAAAACACGATTACTTTCACAATCAAAAATCCTGTTACTAATATATGAAGATTTTAGATTTAAAAAATTTAAATTAAACATATAAAGCACAAGCAAAAAAAAGAGAAAAAGTGAGTTTGCTCTCTTGGGATTTTAATTATGCACACACGTGTATGAGTGCCGCTGATTTTATTATAATTTTTAGTCTATTTATATTAATTTTTATTCTGCAGATAATTGTGTTTATTTATTCATATATCATTTATATATAGTAACACAATTACTGTAACAAAAATCGAAATTTTATAAATTTATATATATCTTGATTATTTAATGAAACAAATTAAAAATAATTTTTTTTTTTCTCTGTTCTATATTTAACTTATTTCGTTTATAACTTTAAAATTATTGTAAGATTTCAAATAGCTCAATATAAATAAAAAATATATAAATTAAATTTGCATGCAAAATTATTCACACATTCAATATGGTTTATATATTTATCAATTTGACATTGATTGCAACTCATTTTATATCAGTTCATCTTATATTCATTTATTTTATATCAGGCATCTATATCTTTAGAATCGATTTATATTTTAAATTTTTAATTCTTTATCATTCTTTCTTAAATTAAAACATTAATACATCAAATATTATATCAAAAGAAATAAAATACGTTTGAATAATAATTCATAATTTTCATAAATAAAATATTTTTCTCTAAAAATTATTAAACTAAAATTTTTTATATTATATATCAGTTTTTTTATATCAGTTGGTATCTATTTTCAAAATCTGTTTATATTTAACATTTTTAATTCTTTATTATTCTTTATTAAATTAAAACATCATAACATCAAATATTATATCAAAAGAATTAAATATGTTTTGATAATAATTCATAATTTTCATAAATAAAATATTTTTCTTTTAAAAATAATTAAACTAAAATTTGATCATATTTTAAAATGTATATATAATAAATATATATAATTAAAAAAGACGTAACACACAAATACTTGATAGTGAGAAAGAGAAAGAGAAAACTTTGTACCACATTATAATGCGTTGATAATCTTAAAAAGATAAAGGAATCCTTCTCCTTTTAGGAATGATTTTATATTACGTATTTACAGATTGCATTCGATATTCGCTCGATTAACACCGATCGCAATAAATTTTATCGGAAACGGAGTTTATATCCGTGGACAATGCTTATTGCTTTGAATTAAATTATCAGACGCACCTGCTATTTTCCCATTGCTCCAGCATATCATTTTCTATCTCCTTCTTTATTTATCTTTATTTGTTCTTCCTAATTATCTATTGCAAACGCAAAAATCACACGAATTTAAGTGCAAACACAATCATTTATACTTTAACAGATTATTTTTTTACGAAGTGTCTCAGATAATTAATTTAAAATAATTTTAATTTTTAATTAATTATCTGAGACTTAATTTTTTTCAATTAATTATTATGCGCGACCATTTTTTTTACTTATACTTTAAACTGATTCTTTAATTTTAATTTAAATTAATTTAATTTTAATTATCTGAGAGACACTTAATTTTTTTAAATTAATTATTATGCGCGACCAATTTTTTATTTATTCTTTAAACAGATATCATTCCTAAAATAATTAATTTTTCCAAGATAATTAATTTTTAAATTAAACATTATAGAAGTAGTAAATAATTTCGTTGCTTTATTTATCACCTTCCTATAAACCTCATTTTTTTCTTTTGCTCATCTTCTTTTGTTGCTTTTTTTGTGACACATATATACTCACTCATAAACACTTAATTAACACTTAATTATTAGACTATAAATTATCGAATATGTGATCACTTTGCACGACACACAAAATATTAATGGATATACATATTTAAAAAATAAAAATTAAAAAAGTATTATTTTTTATATAAATATTTTATTACAGATATTTTTTAAAAGAAAATTATTGTGATTTCAAATTATTGTCCCAATATAAACTCAATTGGAATAAAAGTGTCTGACAAAACGAACTTAATACACTTTAGCTGTGAGGTATAGTTATATATACGCGGGATATTAATAAATTATACATGCAATATTTTAAATCATAGATTCATTGTTTATTAATAATTAATGTATGCAACGAAGTCTTTTGTTATGTTGATTATATATACTCGATTCGATTTCGATGCGCGTTCTCACTTTATTAATCAATATATTTAATAACATAGCAAGTTATTTTCAATACTCGTTGTGTTTTACTGCCTCTTCTCAATGTGAATAAAATACATTACATTTAATTGACGAAGCAAAATTATTGACTTTTAATATTATTGAAATAATAATAATTAATTGTTAATATAATTAAAATAGTGTCTCATAAATATCACATGAATAAAACAAGAATTAATAATTCTTATTGCTATTGCTTAAAAAAATAGATTTTTACTAAAAATAAAAGAGAAAGAAATAATCCGAGGAAAATGTTGAAGTAATTGCGAGGTAAAAATCTAAATTATTTACCTATTACTTATTACTTGTTTGCTCATCTTTTACCTCTAATTGTAAGAAAATAATTTAGTTTAAATTATCATATAATACACAACGCACATGAAATGTTTCAGATTTTATTTTATAGTAAAATTTTATTTTAAAATATCAATAATAATATATATATATATATATATATATATATATATATATATATAATAGTTTTTCATTTTTATTTTTAAAATATGTATAGCCATATTTTTTATTTATATTTAATACATATAAAACATTTCCATCACTAATATTTTTCAATTTATAATTTATGATTATTTAAATAAAACATTAGATTCCGTGTAGTGCTCTTTACGTCTTCCTTATTATTTAGATTTATAAAACATTAGATTTCTTCTAAATGTTATATTTTTAAATATTTTAATCTTAAATGTAATATTAATTTTTATATAAAAAAATAATGTGTTAATTATTTAATTAATTTTATTAAATATCTGTTAAAAAACGAATAAAAATTCAATTGTGCATAATTAATAATTTTGCTTCCTCATAGAGAAAGCTTTGTTTTTAAATAATTATTTCAAAAATATATATTTAAATATATATTGTGTATACAGCAAAAGATATTATAATAGTAATTATTAAAATATTAATATAATTTTGTTTTGTGTCAAGAATACGTATAGTAGTATATGATATATGAGATACTTCTAAAAACTCTGAAATATAACTAAATGTTGCAAGCATATTCTTTAAAAATTAAAAAGTTTTTAAATGTGGTCATTCACGTGATGTTAAATTTTCTTTATTAATATTATCATTATTTATTATTTATTTATTATTTATTATTTATTATTTATTATTTATTATTTATTTATTATTTATTATTTATTATTTATTATTTATTTATTATTTATTATTTACTCATTTTTTATATGAAAGCTCGAATGTCAAGAAATGGTCAGAAGTGGAAATGAGCACATTTCAAAGAGATTATATAAATATGAATTTAAAGGACAATCAGTCCCTTTTTCTGATATGGATAAAAAGTATAGGATAATGCGGATTTAAGTAAATTGAATCTCAGGAAAATCGCTCATAGTCATTCGCTGGCAATTGTCACGACTCGCTTCTGCGGGTTCTGTTTCTAATAAAGTCGCTTCCGAGTTGCGTAACTCTTCATTTTCCTGAAATAAGATGCCACACAACCTGCTACATCCTCTAGAACTCCTCGTATAAACCCCGAAGGACCTCCGCGCGAAAGTATTTGCAGAGCAGAGCATGAAGGTAAAATATTCATTGCTAGAAAATTCAAATTGTGTGGCACCTTTTTTCTCGCTCCAACTTTTGCACGTACATCACATTTTATTTTATCTCTCTCTTCCCTTCTTTCGGTCCCCTAATAATTTGTATTCATTATTATTGAGATTTTTCAGATTTTTATTGAGCCTATATATTGTATGATATCAAATAACTTGCGAAATCATTATCACATCTAGTGATTTTATACGAATTATATATGAAGAATCAAAGCCCGGGAAAAATTTTTTTATATATAACAATATAAAATTATACATAAAAAACATATATATATATATATAAATATATATAAAATATATATAAAAAGATATAAAATATATATAAAATATATATATAAACAAATTTTTTCTCGTGAGTACAATTGGAAAAAAATATTTCAAGAAAAGATCAAACTTTTTTTTTAAACAAAAGCACATTTCTGATAAAAAAATATCAAATTTTCGGCGACTTATATTATTAGTCGCTATTGGATGAATAATATTATTTGCGTCACGAAAAATTTCGCTCTCTCGAGACTTATTCTAGATTATGTTTTTTTTACATTCTAGATTCTAGATTATATATGTTTTTTGCGTCAAAAATTCTTTGCATGATTTTTGTAACGCAAACATATTGCGACACAAAAATATATATAACATATTCCAGTAAGCAAGAAATATTTAATCAACATTTTAAAATGTTGATTTTATATAAATTTTCTAAACGTTATGATATAAGTGACAGTTTTATAAATATGTTTAAAATATTTTAATACACATATTAATAAATAGTTAAAACATATTGTAACTGATGTTTTATAAATGTTTTAAAAATATTATTTAATAACATATTGCTCTCAAAATATTAATAAAATATTTTTAAAACGTTATTTCAAACGTAGCAAGGGTTTTTGCTTACTGGGATTTCTTTTCTTTAAATTAAATTTAAATTTTTTATCTCAAATGCTTCAACAAATCAAATGCATCTCTTATCTTTCTGATTGTTATCCCATTTAAATTTTTTATATCACTTTATATTCGAGGATACATCAGAAAGTGAACCTCACTATGTGTTGCGAATATTCGATAAAGTATACATTTATTTCATATTACAGAAAAATATTAAATAAGTATATCCTTCTAAGGAAGATATTTAACTGTCTCTCTAAACGTCAAGCAGAGAGACAAAAGGGAACATTTGACTCCCTGGGAATCATTAAAAAAATAAGCATTTGCTTTATTTGCATATTCAATATTAAAAAATTTAATATTAATAAAATAAAAAAAATTAAATAAAGAACAAAAAATAAGAAACAAATCTTAATCATGTCCCCTTGGGAATCACTAAAAAAATAAGCATTTGCTTTAGTTGCATATTTAATATAAAAAAATGTATAAAATAACAAAATAAAATAAATCTAAAAAAATTAAATAAAGAACAAAAATAAGAAACAAAAAAGTTATTATATTATAGTATAATTTTATATATTTTTATATAATTTTATATTGTTATATAAAAATTTTTTTCCCGGGAAATAATGATTTACGCGCAAGGAATTATTTTTTAATCATTTAAAAAAAAAAGAAATAACCCATGTGTGCGTCTCGAGAAGTTCTCAAGTCCCAAACGTTCTGCGTCCTATTTTCCAGTCACCGTTCGTATTTTTTTTCCCCCGGAGAAATGGATAAATGTCGCGGAGGCGGTCTCACGGGGATGTGTACGAGAAGAGGAAGAATGAAATGCGACGATGCGTGGTTGCGAGAAGAATCTGCGAGACGAAAGGTCGGGGATGAAGGGTGGTCCACCCTTGGTTTTTAACACGGGCAAAGAAAAACATGTATAAGGGCGCTAAAAGACAGCGCAGTCCTGATATAGAAAATCGCTAGCGGAAGCTTCCCCACGCACGATGCCGCGATAAATTATTCACGTTAATTATGAGAGCGTCAAACAATGCCAGATTAACTTAATATGGGGCTCTAGGCAAATTTTGGTGAGGGGCTTAAGGCGAGGATTTTTTGAAAATTAATTAAACATATACGAGCACTAAAAAGGAATTCTAAATAATTTTTTTTTATAAATAACATTTTTTTATTATGAATAAAATAATTTTTTTTGTTATAAATAAAATTTTTCTTCATTGATTAATGAAGGCCTTTTTGTGGTGGCAATGCTCATACAACACAAAATATTTTTAAAATCTTTTAAAAATATTTCTTAAAAGATAAAATAATTCTCGAAAGTATTTCTAAAATGTTTCCATGTCCGCTTTTTCATGTTTAAAAAATATTTTCAGAAATATTTTTGATTATAGATTGAAACTAATATTCCAAAAATATGTAATAAATATTTAAGAAAATATCTGAGCAATAAAGAACATTTTTAAAAATCTTTTTAAAAGTTTTTTAAAATATTTCAAAAAAATGTTATCACAAAAAATTTTTTTAAATATTCCTAAAACTATTTTAAAATGTTTTTATGCAATATTTTATAGAAATATTTAGAAATATTTTTTGAAAAATATTCATAATATTTTATGCTGTATGGGCCACGTTAAATATGTGCCATTAGCCTCGTATCGCTATCATTTAAAAAACGAAACAGTATAATAAAAAAAAATAATATATTGCTTTTCGGGATCTTCCAGAAGACGAAAAAGAACGTTGCTAATTAATAAAAAAAATTATGTGAAAGAAGAAATTATGTGCAAATGTTGAGAGAAATATTATCTGTTTATATTTTTTAATAAATAAGAAATATACGAATATGCTAAATAAATTTCAGATATATTAATAATCATATTTTGATCCTTTTATTTTTACTACACTGAAAAAAAATTGTTAACTAAAATTTTCAAACCAAATATTTTATTAATTAAACATAAAAAATATTTAAATTAAATATATTAAATTTAACAAAACCTATATATTTGACTTACTTAAATACTTATAAAGATTTTTTTACATAATATATATTCAGCTTAATTATATTTATACAAAAGTGTTATATTATACAATATTAAATTCAAATTAGATATTTCATAATAAAGATTTAGTTTGCGATTGCAAGACAATCGCGATAGCAGAAAATTTAAATAGGATCAAATTCAAAACTTCTTTAATTTGCCTTTTTCAATTTCTCTCAAATTTGTAATATATAATTTATTTTGTTAATATAAATTAAATTTTAATTTTTAATAAAGTGGCATTCAAGCAACGATTCTAACGAGTGTCGAAAAAATCAAACGACGTCAATTCTCTTCATCTACTATTCTGAAAACGAACATTTTCTTTCTCGAAACCTACACGGTGTCTTCAACAAATAAGGATGAAATGTTACGAATGAGAATGGCAGAATGTTACATTACGTAGATAATTAGTCGAAGAAAACTGTATAGATGCCTCTATCTCTCTCTTTCTCTCTTCTATTTTTCTTCGAGTATTACACAATATATTTTAAATATAAAATTTTCTCTGAAATTTTAATTTTTTAATTTCATATTTTTAAATAAAAAAATAAATAATTTGTCTATTTTATAATGTATAAATAATTTGAAAATTTAATTCGGATTATAAAATAACAAATAGTATTTTCTAATTAAAATACTCTTATAGAAACAATGCTGTACATCTTATATTTCAAATATTATTTTGATTATGTGTAATCTGCATCAATAAATTATTTTAGAAAGCTCAATAAAAGGTATGATATATAATTAGAGAGAGACACAGAATTTTAATAGCCAAATGAAGTGCACTGGTAGCATAAATATTGTTAAGTACATGAGTCAAATTTAAAACACTTATTTCCATTCGTTCTTTAAATAAATAGCTGTATAAATATATCGTAAAAATTCGGCAGAGACGTGAAAAAACAAATTAATCTAATTTTTGACATGGGTGAAACTTAATTAAAAGTGATACGTGAACTTTGATTGTTCGGCAAATAATGAACAAAATTAATTTGATGTATATAATAAGTTTTGTCTAAGATTAGATTAATTTGTTTTTTCACGTCTCTGCCGAATTTTTACTTTTAATTTATATATTTATACACAGCTATTTATTTAAAGAACGAATGGAAATAAGTGTTTTAAATTTGACTCATGTACTTAACAATATTTATGCTACCAGTGCACTTCATTTGGCTATTAAAATTCTGTGTCTCTAATTATATATTATACCTCTTATTGAGCTTTCTAAAATAATTTATTGATGCGGATTACACATAATCAAAATTATATTTGAAATATAAGATGTACAGCATTGTTGCTATAAGAATATTTTAATTAGAAAATACTATTCGTTATTTTATAATCCGAATTAAATTTTCAAATTATTTATACATTATAAAATAGACAAATTATTTATTTTTTTTATTTAAAAATATGAAATAAAAAAAATAAAAATTTCAAAGAAAATTTTATATTTAAAATTGTCTTGCAATCGCAAACTTCAATTTTTATTGTGAAATATCTGATTTGAATACAATAGGTTTGTTCTTTTCGACTGAACTGGCTACACTAGTTCAGAGGTTGTCTTTTTTGCTTGACATTGGAAATTCAGCTGAAAAGAACAGACCTAATATTGTCTAATAACACTTGGTATAAATATAATTAAGCTGAATATATATTATGTAAAAAAATCTTTATAATTATTTAAACGCTTAAATTTAGAGCACTAAAATTTTTTTTTATTTTTGGGAGGGAATTACTAATTGACTTTTCTTTTTTTCAATTAACTAATATTAGAAACTAATATTAGGAGAACTAAAATTATATGCTAAATAAATTTCCGATATTTATTTATATATATATATATATATAATCATATTTTTATCCTCTTATTTTATTTTACTACGCGATAATATACGCATGATTGCGAAATTAATCCAGAAGCAAGCTAATGTAAAATCCGTGCTTTTAAAATCTATGCCGTAAAGCATTACGTAGTTTCCTTATGCATAATGCAGTTAAAGATAATTTCGGAAATTGCAAAGTTAAAGCTCAAAGCTCACCTTCCGGCTGCGCACTTTGTCGTGACGAAACGTCATCTTAATTATTATTTCCTTTGAAGATTACATTATGAGCCCTCGTCGAAACGAGTGTTCCACCTACGAAGAAATGTATAAGAGGTCACTGGAGTGCCCGGAAGAGTTTTGGGGCGAGATCGGCGGCTGCCTCGACTGGAGCAAACCCTGGCAGAAAGTCCTGGATAATTCTAACGAGCCGTTTACGAAATGGTAACACAATTATATATCACATATTTTTATCAAGAAAGAAAATACATTTTTTTTACCAAAGTCTCGAAAAAAATTTTCACGTTTAAAAAAATATTTTATTCTGCAAAGTCAAAGTTTCAATTGGTTAAAAAAAATATTTGTATCTTAACTAAAAAATAGGAGATGACAGATAATACAACATCCCAGGAAAAAATTTTTTATATGTGAAATATGCCTATTTTTATATATAATTAATATAAATTTATATATAAATTATAAGGGTTTATATATATAATCATGTCAAATTATATATAAAATATATAATATTTATATATATGAAGAAATATTTATTTATTATATATATATTAATTAGACTTACTAGTGATAAATTTCCATAAGGAATATATAAAAAACTTTTTCACGGGACCCCAGGTAGCCAGCCTCGAATGACGTCATTTTGACGTTTGATGACGTCAATTTGCTACTTGGGATATATAAAGAAATTTTAAATTTAGGTTCGTCGGTGGAGAACTGAACGCTTCTTACAACGCGTTAGATCGTCACGTGCTCGCCGGAAATGGGGAGAGAACGGCTCTCATCCACGACAGTCCCCAAACGTCATTAATACGTAAAGTGACGTACAACGAGCTCTTGGAGAAGACGTCCTTGTTAGCGGGCGCGTTGGCCGAGCTGGGTGTGCGTAAAGGGGACAGGGTGATCATCTACATGCCGTTGATCCCCGAGACCGTAATCGCAATCCTGGCCACAGCCAGATTAGGGGCGATTCATTCCGTGGTTTTCGGAGGTAATAACGAAATGACAATAATAATCACGACGATTATAATGATTAAGTTATTTCCATACAAAATCTCATACAAAAAGAGCTAATAAGAGGAGACCCAAGAAAATTGTTTTTAAATTCTTCTCTAATTTTATTTTGTATAAAATTAACTCTTCTTATTAACTCTTTTCATACACTGATCTGTACACTGAAAAAAATTGTTAAATTAACAAATATTTAGTTCAATACTGTCAAATGAATCATTTATTTGAAACAAATAAATATTTATTTGTGTTGAAAAGGATTTTTTTATATCAAATAAATATTTTTCATGTCAAATAAATTTTATTAGTTTCAAATAAATTATTTATTTGACAGTATTGAAATAAATACTTATAAGAATTGACTAAATTTTTTTCAGTGTATTTTATGTATCAGAATCTTTTCTATTTATTTTTTCGAGATATTTAATTTTTAATAGATATCGCACTATCTTTTATGCGGCATAAAAACGCAATTAAAATAAAATATTTTTTAAAGATTAAAAGAGACAAGTTAAAAGAGAATGTTTCATATTTAAAACAATTAAAATTATTTTTCCATATACATATATACTTTCAATTTTAGAAATAGACAAGTTTGTTAAATATTTTCTTTAATAACTATTGTATTTTTTATGGCAATACAGGATGTTTCAGAAATGTTGGTCAAACTTTAAGAGCAAATTTTATTTATTGTAGGGATAAAAATCATACGAATGTGAGTTCGGAAACGCTTTCTTTTTAAATTATAAACACTTTTTATACAACAAACAACATATCTTGTATCGACGTTTTTTTCATTGCTTGTTTTTTTATTCACCTTCTATTAGAAATAATTTCCTGATTTAAACCGAGATTATTTTATACATAAAACATCTTAAATTCTAGTTTATTTTTGCTACTACTGTAAAAATAATAACTCTGAAATCATTTCGTCGTTTCATGTAACAAAATATAAAATACTCCGAGAATCTTTGAACGTCTTCGTCAATCCATGATTTCTTTCACATGAAGCGTTGTTACCAAAGTTTATTGTAAATAAAAAAATATTTATAATATTTATAATTTGAAAAGGAAACATTCCGAATCCATGTGACTCTTCTTCATCATCGCGGTGAGTAAAATGTGCTCTTAAAATTTGATCATCTCTTGCAGAACCATTTTGTATAGAAACAATTAGTAGCAAAGTACTGTGATTATCACTTGAAAATACTCATTTCAGGTTTTGCAGCGAGCGAATTGGCATCTAGGATTGATCACGCCGAGCCAAAGATTATTATTGCCGCGAGCTGCGGCTTAGAACCGTCCAAAGTGATTAAGTACGTCTCACCGATAAGTTTATCGGAATTATATTTTGTCAGTTTTATAAGAAAATCAATTTTTAATAAGAGACTTACTTCTCTTGTTTAACACCCCAGCTAGCAAGCGTACACGTCATTTAATGTCAATGACGTTATTAACATCTAATGACGTCATTCGATATTTAATAACGTCAGTTTGCTACTTGGGACCAAACACATAAAAATAATTTTTTTTTTTAATATTTTTTGAAAATTCTCCTCGCATTTCTTAATAAAAGAACCGCTTTTTTCCCTCTAACGCGCGCAATTTCCAAATGCATAGGTACACTACTATGCTAAACGGGCTATGGATATGATTACTGTACCGAAACCGAAGTGTATCATATTCCAGAGAAGAAATGTATGGGAAGCGCCCTTGCTCGAGACACAATTCGACTGGGATGAGCTTATGAAGAAATCGAAACGTCATCCCTGTGTAATGGTGGAAGCTAACGATCCATTGTATATATTATACACATCGGGAACTACGGGTAAAAATCTCGAGTAAAATATATTTCACAGAACAAAAACCCACCCATACATATATTTTTTTGTAGAGACTCTACCTCTACAAAAATATATAAAATAGAATGTTACTTTTATAAAGCTTTCTTCTGATAAGTTCTTTCTACACTCTGAGAAAATTATTACAAAACGTACACAGAGAGAATTTTCTTTTAGAATTTATTCTGAGAATCGTAGTAATCACAGGATAATATGGTATTGGAAGAATTTTATATAAGAAACAATAATAAAAAATATTAATATTTACCACATAAGATATAAAATACTATAAACGTATTAATCGAACATATTTTATATCTTATTATAGCAAATATTAATCAGAGAAACTCTTATAAAATAATTCTTCTCATACCATATTGTCCCAGGGTTACCATGATTTTCAGGATAAATTCTAAGAGAAAATTCTCCCTGTCAATCTCTTTTCTTCATTCTTAAAATATTGGTATCATTTAATAATTTTAAATTTTAAGTGTACTCTCTATTTAAATAACCCGTGAAAAAAATTTTATATATAACATTATAAAATTATATAATCGCAAAATTATTTATGAAATATGTCCATACATAATTAGATAAAAGTGCTTTTTATACATAATTATATAAATTTATATATATATATATATATATATATATATATATATATATATGTTTGATATATAATTTGATATGATTATATATGAACCCTTATAATTTATATAAATATATAAATTTATATAATTATGTATAAAAATAGACATATTTCACAAAATATAGTTATATATAAAAATTTTTTTCCCGGGAAATTATTAGCTGATAGTATATATTTTTATTGTGCAATGTGTGTTATAAATATTTGTTAGGGCAACCTAAGGGAATTATAAGACCAGTCGGCGGTCACTTAGCGACGCTCTGTTGGTCCATGAAAGCCGTTTACGGAATGAACAAAAATTGTGTTTGGTGGGCGGCCTCCGATATGGGATGGGTTGTTGGACATTCGTATATTTGCTATGGTCCTCTCGTGTACGGCGCGACTAGTGTAATGTACGAAGGAAAACCCGACAGGACACCGGATGCTAGTCAATATTTCAGGTTTGAAAATTATCGTTTCACATCAGACATTATATATTATTTACTAAATAATATATAATACCTGATGTGGAACGATAATGGTTATTTCAAGAAAAAAATGTGAGAAAATTCACATAAAAGAAATTTTTTTTATTATATTCGATCGATTTTTCAGAGAATTGAAAGACGATTTATTTTAAAAGCGTATCCGGAAATTTTTATCAACTTCTACATGGAAAAAAATTAGCTAAATTTTAGCTATAATAACTAATATTTTTCAGCTGTAGAATTCTCCATTAAAAATGTAGCTAAAAAATATTAGCTTTCATAGCTAAAGGGTATGATAATTAAATTTCAAGTTGTAATATAGAGACAGCTAAAATTATGGTGGCTAATTTTTTCCGTGTAATATAAGTTTAACATGATTAAATCTGTATACATTGAGTAGAAGATTAAATTTGTTTAAATTGTTTATAAAGTCGTACAATTTACTTTGATGCAGCTATTATAGCTTTTTTCTTATCCATATTTCATAGAAAAATGTATCTGGTCCTGATTATCACATAGAATTTCTATATTTAAAAAGATTTTGTTTCTTTTTCTCCCATAGAATCATTGAGCAACATAACGTAAACGCGTTATTTTGCGTTCCTACAGCTTTACGAGTTATAAGGCGGGCAGATCCGGAAACGTTATTAGGAAAAAAGTATTCATTAAAATCGTAAGTTTCGAATTTAATTATTCTGAATTACAATACCGCGATCATATGACTCATAATAATTAAAAAAGCAGTGGTATACAATACATGACTTTTCCAGAATAATTTCATAAAGAAAAAAAAAATATATATATATATCGCGGTGTAAATTGTATATTTTCGAAATAAATGTTTTATAAAAATAGCCATCATCTTTTACTTCTAGTTTGAAGACGATATTTGTGGCCGGGGAGTTTTGCGATTATGAGACAAAAACCTGGGCCGAGAAAGTATTTAAGGTGCCTATTCTAAATCACTGGTGGCAATCAGAGACTGGACATCCTATTACGTCATTATGTACAGGATATAGTCATTGTCCTAGTTTGCCTAAGTTCAGTACAGGACCGCCTATACCCGGTTACGAGAGTGAGTCTTTTTTTATTTTCAGCATTATTCTCTTGGTTTCATTATCGTAATATAATTCAGTAAATTAAAAATTAAATTATTAAATTAGAATTAATAAAATAGGTATCCATATATCTCTTATAATTTTGATTTGTATATCATTCTTCAAATATTATTTACCCTTTTTCCCTTTTCGTAATAATTTTTTATTTAGTATATTCATAATTCTTTCTTATATCTAATGTATTCCAAGATTGTTTCAAATATGATTTTAAAATATGACCATTTAATTAATCATCTAAGATCATATTTTAATCATATTTTTAAAAATGTTGAATAAATATGTATATATGCACTGAGAGAAAAATAATTATTAACTTGACTAGACCTTTCAACTAAATAATATTTCGTTAATTAACAACATATAAAAATATTAAAATTAAATATAGCATATTAAATCTAACAAAACATGTATTTGATTTAAATACTAATTAATATATATATATATATATATATATATATATATATATATATATTCCATTAACAAAATAGTAAAATTTAGTCAAAGATTTACTCAAGTTAACAATTTTTTTCAGTATATATAAGACTGGATCAAATATACATTTTACTATATAAATAATAATTTGCAAAAATCTTTTGTCATGCAGTTCACATCTTACGCGAAGATGGAAGCAGGGCACCACAACATGAACTCGGACGAATTGCGATAAAGTTACCATTACCTCCTGGATGTATGTCTACTCTTTATCGAGCACCCGAGAAATTTAAGGAATTATATTTCTCAACGTTTCCGGTAAATATATATTAATAAAAGCCACTTACCGTACATAAATTATATGTCATATGTACTAATAACGTTATAAAGCAAACATATGTATATGAAATATCATATAAAATATGTACGTAACATACATTATATTATACACACATTATGTATTCTCTCTCTTAACATATTAGACAATTTATTTGTGTCTTTATATAAAAGAGAGTATATAAAAGAGAGAGAGAGAGAGAGAGAGAGAGAGAGTGAGTGAAAGAGCACAAGAAAAACTTCAAAATTTACATACAAAGCTTAATTCTAATCCAGTAATAAAGCTCTGGAGTTATTTAGGGGACAACTAAAGAATCACAAAATCTTTATATATGTTCCTTGATACTGGATTAACATAATTTTTTTAATTTTTCTTCTTAATGTTTGATTATATTTTATGAAAGATGCTCTTTGCAGCGCAAACTCTTTCTGGAGTTTAATTACAATTTAAATAAAAATTCTTTGACGACTTTTATAGCTTTCTAAAATTATAATTTCTTTAAACTGAACCGATTAAAAATTCGAAAACAGTGATAATTATCTGATTAATGATTTTTAAGAAAAAAACATAAAATATATAATTTTGATTACAGAAGAGCATTTCAAAAATTTTATACGCCTTTTTATACATTCAACATTTTTAAAAATTATTTTGTATGGCTCAAAGTATTTAGAACATTATTTATTAAAACAAAATAAATTTTGATATTTTAATCGTTTTCAAATGTATTTGTCTCCTTAAAATTAATAGGTTTTAATATAATATATTAAATAATTAATATATAATTTATTAATTATTAAATATATATATTAATTAATATATGTATATAACTATTTAATTAATCTCTATTTAAATAATTACAAATTAATTTATATTTAAATAATATTTTTGCCAAAGAAAAATTAATCGTTAAAATAATTAGACTGCCACGTATGTATCTTTCGATCTCGATTTTGAGATTCCTAATTTTCCAGGGTTATTATGACACTATGGATGCGGGTTACATCGATGAATTCGGTTATATTACGTGACAGCGAGGGACGATGATATTATAAATGTTGCTGGACACAGAATATCAACAGCTGCGCTGGAAGATATTATTTTAGCTCATTCCGATGTCGTGGAAGCTGCAGTTGTCGGTGTACCAGATCATACAAAGGGAGAAGTTCCGCTATGTCTTTATATTAAACGAAACGGTTCGTAAAATAGTCTCAAATATCCAGCTCTTTTCGAAAAAAAAAAATAAATTATTATTATTTTTAACCACGATCGATGTTTGGCAAAATTTTTTACACGTGTATATATATTTCGATATATTAAGAATTTTTATATTATGATATATTAATTATTCTCTACATTTTAATTTTTTCAAAATATCAATCTTATCAATTTGAAAAATCTTTTCTGAAAGCAAAGACAATAATAATTTAATGAATTTTTTATGTTATAAATAACTACAATGTTTTAATGCCTTATTAAAAAATAAAAAATGTGCTATATTTTATTATGATTAGTACACAGAGAGAATTTTTTTCTTAGAATTTATCTTAAAATTCATAATAATCGTGGAACAATATGGTCTTAGAAAAATTTTATAAGAATTCTTTGATTAATATTTACTATAATAAAAAATATGAATAATTGATTACAATAAGATATAAAAAGTTTGATTAATTTTAAATTAAAATATATAGTAAAATTTTAATAATTTTTAAATATATTAAATTTTTATGATTCTTTAAGTGTTTTAAATAGAATAGATACCAAAAAGGTGATAAACAAAATATTTTATATAAATTTTACAATGCAGCATGATATTTTCAATCCAGTTTAATGCATTGTAATTCATGCATTGAAAAAAAATTGTAACTTGATTAAACCTTTCAACTAAATTACTATTTTGTTAATTGAATATATATTAGTATTTATGTTCAATTAACAACATAATATCTAATTGAAAGGTTTAATCAAATCAACGATTTTTTTTCAATGTAATAATTTTAATATATGCAGCAAGATAATTTTCGATTTATTATCAACATGATAAAAGTAGTGAATTTTATGATAAAATATAACGAAATTTAAATTTAAATTACTCTTCGTGTATTAATCTGAAGTTTTTCCTGAAAGTAAAAAACAATGATATAATTTCTTTAGATTAATTATAATTTTTTTAATATATTATTTTTAAAAATTAAAATATGTATAAAAAATGTACTATATTATTATTATTAGCATATTATTAATATATTATTGTATATTATTATTATATATGTATATATTTTTTAATATATTAAGAGTTATTATAATTACACGTAATTTTATTATGATAAAAACAAAAAAATTTTTTTTAATTATACGTTATACAATTTTATTAATTTTGCGATTAGAAAATTATAATGAAGTATTTTTTAGATTCCATAAGCAACGAGGAGGAGATAAATCAAGAGCTAGTCGCGCGAGTGAGAAACATGATGGGGCCGATTGCGTCTTTCCGGACTGCTGCCGCAGTTTCCGCTTTACCTAAGACACGCTCGGGAAAATAATTCGCAAATCTATCGCTACAATGGCACGCTCGAAGCAATTTAAGGTAGGAGTTGACTGAATTAAAATTTATTTTTTAATCTCGACACGTTCTCACCGAATTCTCTTAAACGAAGTAAATGTTATTGTTGATTGAGAGATAAATACACTACTTGTTATCTCTTTAGTTAGAGTTTATTTATTAATTTAATTAATAATATATAGAATATAGTTTAATATATTAATTATTATAGAGTATATATATTAAATTATTATTTATATATATATATATATATATATATATATATAATTAATTATAATATATATTAATATTACAGTACTAAAAAGATTATCTTATTTTAATTACACAGTTGTATCAAAGTTGAGAAAAATTTGAATGCTTCTCTCTCTCTTCGCGATTGTTTTTTATTATTTTATTATTTATTATATCGAAACTATTTGAGGTAGAATTCAAGTATTATTGTACGAATCTCGAAATGAACAAGCATCTCGATAATCAAAACTTCAATAAGATAAATTATCTCTTATTATAATTTAATATACTCATCTCTCTCTCCCTTTCTTAAAATCGATATTCTACGTGAGAAAACGAATTTGAGGCGATCGATAATTTGTATCACAAACCTTTTTTTGGCGCTTTCATGTTACCTGCGACGAGCATCCCGCCAACTTGTTTAATTTTCAGATGCCAAGCACGATCGAAGATCCAACAGTATTTCGCGAAATTAAGGAGGTACTTCAAAAGCTTGGATACGCGAAACTAGCTCCGGATCCACAATAATCTTTCACTTTTAATTAACGCAACTCTTACGCACGAAAACTTTTCTTATTGTGCTTTGGAAAAGAAATAGCTAACAATGGCAGCCAACTTCGTAGAAATAAAACGCGTCATAATTGTGTGCAATGTTCACTGGATAAGCCTGTTCTTTCTAATTGCGCCATGTTGCACTTCCTGTATTCAAATGTATGTATATATAGGAACATATATACATTATTATATAAATAATAATTATATTATATAATATAATATATAATATATATAATATAATAACATATTTTAATAATATATAATGAATAATATATAATATAATATTAATATAATTAATAATTATTCGAATAATAATATATTATTAAAATAATAAAAAAATAATATATTATTGTAATATATTTATATTATAAATTATGCCCCTGCGGAAAATAGAAAATTTTTTTTTTAAATAGAGAAAAAATACAGAAAATACAATTAAAAAGAATAGACCTATTGTTGTTGATTGAATTGTCCACATTGTTTCAATATAAACCAATTATAATATAAACTAATTGTAATAATTATTTTACAGTAAGTATATCTTAAATGCGTAAATAGTTGTACCAAAGTTAAGAAAAACTTGAATGATTGAATTCTTTTCCTTGTATATATAAATGTATGTACAAGCATTTATCTCTTTTCTATATGCAACTAACATTGTGTGTATTCGTAAGTATCCTGCGATGCATGTTTGAAAGTACTTTTTTTTGAAACGTATTTGTCAAGTACGTGTTAACGTGTCACATTGTTTCCTTGTATATATTCTGTCTTATTATATATTTGTGTAAGGGCTGAGGAATTTTAATAAGTTAAAAATAATGAAGACTATATATTTCTCTTTCTCTCATTAAAACTAAAAACTATTGACGTGAAATGAAATAAACATGGACGTGTTCGTGCACCTTGAATATCTGTAAACCCCACGTGCTATATTTTATTCCATTGGCTCGAATATAAAAATCCGTCATATTGCAAGGATGTATACGACGGATATACATCCACGTCCCTATTAAAATTATCAGGGCACAATTTTTTGCAAATTTGTTTTTAATGACAATATAATAAGAAACAGTATAATAATAATTGTAATATTAATTTTATAATTATAAATTGTTGTGTAACACTATCTTGTTGATTTATTCAATAAATTTCTTTTTCCAACTCTTACCACCACTTTAATAATTATTATTTTTTTTAATAATAATTATATAATAATATTAATTATATTTTCTTAATGTTAATCCGTAATCGATATCAATCGCCTACTTTATTCCCATTTATATGTGTCGCACCTCAGAAGAATAAAATATCGTGATTTTTTCTTTTTATTATCAAGGAGACACGGTAAAATTATTTGATCATTATCCATTTATAATTATTTCAATGCAAGTGCCATCATTTCAGCTTATCTAATTAAAAGGAACACACGCTCTTGAGTTTCGATTGTGTATGTCTCCTTATCTATATAATCGAATCTATTTGCTCTTATATATATATATTTATGTATATATATATATGTTCTTATATATATATATTATATACATATATTTATATCGTATATATATATACTTGCTAATATATATTATGATGATATATATATATGTATATATATTATATATATCAGACTATAAATAATTTTTCTTTCCCCCCTTCCCCCCTCCCCCCAATTCCCTGCTTGTTGCGTTTTAGCACGCGGACGCACCTATACGTGCGTCCGCGTGTTAAGACGCACGCTCTGCGATATATAGGTGAGTTGTGTGTTTATATGTTACATTATTACTAATCCGCCAAAATTTCATCATGCCCGTTTGGTTTGCTTAATATCGAGGGCTCGACTTGCATCGTCATATATTTGTCACATTGAAATAATGATCATTTTCTTTTATTATTAATCTGTCATAACATTTAAGCAAGTTTTTTTTACTCGACGACCTTCAGCACCTTGCCAATTGCGATAGTTTTATCTGAAATTGCACATATTATATACATAATTGCGATAGTTGTATATTTGAAATTGTACGCATTATTGTAATCAAGGCGTAAACAAGAGGCAAATGAGATAATAAAGAGATATGTGTACTGCGTCAAAATGGTACTTACTTTCATCCCTAAGAGTAAAGCGACCCATTTGTTGGAATAACTTGAATCTTTCGAGACATATAACTCCCGCACACTCGATTCTCATTATAGCCACTTGGTCCTGCTTGACAAACCTTGGCCTCGTCTTGCTTTTATCGCCCGTTTTCTTGTCGACCAAACAGATTAGCGCCTTCACCGTGACTTCCTCCGCGGCGCAATGAATATGCATGACAGCACTGTATCCCGCGCAAATAATACTCTTGTGTTCCAGAATTACAACTTGCGCGTCGAAAACCTTTCCAGTTTTGATAGGATTATTGCTGTCGCACAAGACGAATCCAGGACTAACATCTTCTTCTTCGATACCTTTCAGCTTAATCTTCACATTTTCTCCAGGTCCAACCGACGTCACTTCCTCGTCATCCGACCACAATTGATCTACCGTTACTGCCGTCTGTGTATTTGAAACAGAATAATTTTATAAATATATGTCATTCTATAAAATACTAAATGCAAAGCATTTATTTTTGAACAATATTATAGAAAAACAATATCATTTTTTTCTTCATTAGATTAATATCAAAAATTTTTAATTTGTTAAATATAAAATTGATAATAAAATTACATTACTTTCCACTTAATTGTTATTAATGGAAAGTTATTATATTTCATACCATTTTCACATTTAGGAAAAAGTTTTTTAATTTTTTTCTTACAAAATTCTTCCTATTTTGTTACAAATAGAACTTAATAAAAAAATCATCATCTTTATCATCATCAATCTAATATAAGTCAATGCATAAAATAATATAAATTTAGTCACTGTAGACGCAAGAGATATACATACCCTATTTGGCATAACAAGCAATGACTGTCCTTTTTTGGCTTCTCCTGCTTCAACTTTGCCCATAACTACTGTTCCCATATCTTTATATTTGTCGACGATTGGCATGATAAAAGGTCCATTGCTCTTACGATTGAGTGATGGTAGCGAATCAATAAAAGGTATGAATGGTGGGCCGCTGTACCAATTACAAAGATGTTCAGGTATTGAATCTTTCAAACCAATGCCAAGCTGACCAGAGACTGGCATAAATGTAAGATCTTTTGCAGGATTGAATCCTAATTTACGAAGATATGGCAGTATCTTATCCCTGTAAAATATATTTTTCATGATATCTTTTATTCCCTCAAATAGACAAAAATGCATGCATTACATTATCAGTTGTTAGAAAATGAATAAAATTTATTCTCTTAATAATAACAATAAAAAAACACAAAAAAGTAAAAAAACTTGATCTATACATATTATAGTTATATGTAGGTACATATAACTGTCCTCTAATAAGGAATGTATATTTTAAGTTTAACTAATATTTAAATTAAATCTGTTTATATTCTTTTTCGTCTATTATTATTAAATATTTCTAGAATTTGTGCATTTTCCATATATACCTGCATTCATTGTATCGACCTTCGTCCCATTCAACGGTAGGGTCGTCCATCTTATTCACTAACACAACCAAATGCTTGACACCCGCGGTTTTAGCAAGCATAGCGTGTTCTCTCGTTTGACCTCCTCTGTCGAATCCCGTCTCAAATTCACCTTTCCTTGCAGAAATAACAAGGACTGCTAAATCGGCTTGCGCCGCACCACCAATCATATTAGGTACGAAGCTTTTATGGCCGGGTGCGTCTAATATTGTAAAGTGCTTTCGTTCTGTCTCGAAGTAGGCTCTACCCACTTCAACCGTTTTTCCTTTTCTCTCTCTTCTTGATTTGTGTCCAATGCCCAACTTAAGTACCATGTTTCTCGACTTCTCTCTTTTGCCTCTCGCTCATATTTCTCTAAGGTACGTTTGTCAACCATCCCCGTAAGTGCCATAATCTGACCTCCAATAGTTGATTTTCCAGCATCTGTAACACATCAAAGAAATGTATTATATAGTTTAGTTTATTATGTAGTTTAATTTATTATGTATTAAATTTATTATGTAGCAATTGATAACTCTAAGGATGTATATCAAATATTATTTTATAATTAAAAATAATTATATAATTAATATTATACTCATGTACAAATTTAATACTCACCTACGTGTCCTATAAAAACAACATTAACATGTTCCTTTTTGCTTTTAGTGTCTTCCGCTACTTTGATAGGTTTCTTTTTGGGTACTTTAACAACCAGTTCTTCATCTTCTTCATTATCAGCCTAGATATAATATAAAATATATTAATAAACATAATATTAATAATGTAGCAAATTAATGCATATATGTATGTACATATATGTAATGTATGAAGTAATATTTGTATAATTAATATAAGACTATAAAGAGCTCGCGCAGAAGGAAGAATGTAAATGATCATGAGTGAAAATAAAGTAACATAGATCACAAATTCGTATAATCGATTTATAAAAAATATATCGTTATCGTATAATCAATTTATAAAAATTATCGTACGTTTCGGTGCTTTTTTTGGTCCATCTTCAGCGTATATAACAAAAAAATTACAATATATAATACCACGGAAATTTAAAAAAATGTATTCGTAACACTGGACAAAACGTAACCGATTATCTTAATCAGAGGTACAGCAATGTGAATGGTGCCGATCTTAGACGGAAAAAAACCAAGTTTATCTGCTGCAACTAAGGATACTCCTAATATTTATATATAGTTTAGCAATATTAAAATGACATTAAATAAAATATAAGATAATACATTTCTCTTTAATCAGCCATTTCTCTTTAATCTATTTAAATAAAAATAGATAATTTTTCTTTAAATAAATAACATTCCAAACATTCCAAACATATAAAGTTGGACAGATAATAGAATGAGAGATAACTTTGTTTCTTCAAACGTTATGTTCAGAATATTTCCATGGTTATTATAGATTGCAATGCTTGTAAAACATTCATAGTTCAAATACTAAGTGATTCATTTTATCAACCAAAAATGATTCATAGTTGTTATGTCCTTCAAATAACTTATTTCTGACTTTTCAATATAAGTTTTAAATATATCAACGTATACAAAATAAAATTGTATTTCAGTTATTTTATAATTGTAAGCATATAGAGTAATGCATTGGATAAAAATTTCAAATCATTGATTCATGAAATATACATATTCACTTTAGACTTATAATACAATTCTTGAATATTATTTAATAATCTGTACATTTAACAACCATAAAAATATTTGAAACACATTGTTTAAAAGAACATAGATGTCTTCTAGTTTACGATTATAATATATATTATGTTTGGAACATTGTTTAGCACAAAGACATTAACACTATCGACTTGATATATTTTCAATAATTAACATAAAAACTTTTGAAAACTTGGTATCCAGATAAACTGGAAATCATCCAAATTAATATTTCTCCTCTATACTCACTTCTTCATTCTCAGGTGTAAGCAAAGGATCACCATCGACTGCTGCTTCCTCCCACGAATCTGCAGGCTGATGTTCTGGACTGGTATTTAGTTGGTCATTAACATTCGGTGGTGGAGCCCCTCCCCCGGCAGGAGGTTCCTCAACTCGACTGCCAATTGGATCTGATAAAACGACGGGAGTAGAATTTCCTGTAAAAAAGAGAAAAAATATATTGACATAATACAAGATAATAATATATACAAGTGTTAGGTGTTTGAATTCTAAAGAACAATAGAGAAGGACATTACAGACATAAATATAAACATAAAATTGATCTATCATCTCATGAAATCTCATAAGTTATATACATTAGCAAATTTGATTACTTATAACAATTTTTTTTAGAAATTAATTATTTTACCATTAATTTTATCAATTTTATCATCTAACTGAAACTGAAATCAAATATTTCTAGTCTTACACAGAATTAATAAAGTAAAATAAAAGCTGAAAAAATAAATTCTAAATTTTTATATTACAATATTATATAAGTGATATCAAATTACTAAATTATAATATTTTTTCGTCATGCAGTAAAGGTCAATGAGAAAGATATCAATTCGACCTACCCAATGTTATACAGAACGCTCTTGAAAGTTTGCCCAAACTTTACCATGATAATATTTTGGCGATCGCACCAATACTGAACTGACAAATGTGGATTTTTCTTTTGTTCGACTCATAGTCACATTGAACATTTTACATTATAATATTCCAATATACTATCAAAGATGATATGAAATGATTAAAATTGTTGAAATACAATGTAACGTAGCATCATTACACAATTACAATTAAATATCGAATAATAATAGAGTACGCAACCTTACTTCTCATCAACACAGTGTCAGCGCAGCAAGGCTGCATATTCAATCTCAATCCTCATCCGCAAATCAAATCATATATATGTCTACATATATATCTATATATATCGACTAACATTAACATAAAGAAACGAATAAATTCCGAAAGGAGAAATCTGGAATATTCCAACCATATGGTATCCAAATGCACCATCTGGCCACGCGGTACGGATATTCCTGAAAATCATTGGTAAAAGAGCGAAGTTGAACGGGGCAGGGAGCCGCACGAGGGCGATCCTCGCGTCATCACCGAGGAGAGACGTGGTTCTCGCATGACTCGCGCGATTAAAAGGGGGTTAGTGCGCCGCGGAGGCGAAATGTGCGCGCGAGAATCACAACAATGATAATCGCGGCGCAGGTACGGTTTCTCGCGTAACTCCTCGGGGCACGTAGAGAAGCACTAACCGTGATGCAGCTCGACGGGCACGGAGGTGGTGGTGGTGGTGCTGGCTGTTACGGTGGTATTTATCACCGCGGCGGCGGCTGCGACGACATTGCAGGGACTGCTGCCGTCACTCGCCGCCGTCGCCGTGTTGCTGCTCTGCGGCGACGAGTTGATGCAGAAGGAAGGCACGAATTCCGCGGCGTTGACGTTCAGGGTGGAGAACTTGCTCTCGATCGACGACTTGTCCTGGGCTGGGGGGCCGACGATGTCGCCGTTGGTGTCCGCCTGCTGCTCCCACGAGTCCGGTGCTATGCTGTTCGCCATGTTAATCAGTTGTTTCGGGGGGGCACACACACACGCGGCCGGGTCCAAGGGGCCTTTTCGGAATCGCGGATCTTTTTAATCCCACCCGGCTGGGGGGGAATAAATTCGTGAATGTGGAGGCGAGGCGCGAGTCGCTAACCGGACACGCCGCGCTCTGGATCCGACACCCTGGGGGGGGGGGCCTCGCTCGGGACGGGACTTAAAAAAATAGTTTTATTTGTGTCACGCAGCACACACTTCTCGGCGTACACACTCACCGCGTACACGCGCCGTATGATCGCTAGTCCGCGTGCGTGCGTGCGTCCCCCGTGGTCGCGCGACACTAGCGCCGCCCCGCGGCGCATCGACGAACTAGAGCGCGCGAATCGAGAAACATCGATCGCTCGAGGCCGCGAGATCCCTCGCCAATTTCCTCGCGGGAATGGAAAAAGCCGAGCAAAGCGGAAATATGTTGTTCATTTTATTCATTATTCTTTATTAATTAACTTTTTTATCCGAAATTTCCGTTTGCGACCTGGGGATCGAGTGTGTAACTTTTTTGAAAATGAAAAATTTCCGCCAATCACGCATTGATTTTAAAATGAAATCGATGTGCGATTGACGGAAATTTTTCACTTTTCACGTTTTCACTTTAGAAAAAGTTACAGAATCGATACCCTGGAACTTTTACAAAAATGTCCCTAGCACCTCTACCTAGGGACATTTTGCGGGAGAGTCTTTCGAGATTTTTCGAATTCGTGTGCAACGAATTTGTAATATTTTTTTTTCTAATATATATATATAGAATTAATAATAATATAATAATATTTAATATAAATAATATAATATACACATATAATAATAATAAAATATAATGCAATATATAATTATTTAATTATTGAATTATGTATGACGTGTGCAGACAATGTGACAGCTGATTTTAAAAAGCGCGAAATAGGCGTCTGTTTGGAATTTCGCGTCTATTTTTGCAATTTTGTAAAATTATTATACGAATTATATATCTTTTAGCTAGTGTAACGTAAGATTTGAAAAAGTAACCATGCGATTACCTTTCTCTCGTGATTTCACCGAACATACCTGTGTATATAGTATGACAGATGACAGTCCTTTCCTGTGAGACAACTTCTTCGCAACTTTTTTGGAGCAATCGCGATCTCTTCTCTTCCTCCTGATATCGACAGGACTGAGTAAACTCGTCGAAATCATGGATTTGTTGGGCTCCATTCTGAAATCTATGGACAAACCGCCGTCAGTGAACGAAAAGCAGAAGGCGCTCATGAAAAGTCAGTTGAGTCCTAACCTAAAAATTTACAAAAAAAAAAAGACAACGATTTTGTCAAAAAAATTTAACAATTTCGTTGGCTCATGTGAACTCATTTCGATTATGCAGAACAGCAAGAGGAATATCAGAAACGTCAGAGGGCCGAGGCGGAAAAGTTGAAAGTCTTTCGACAAAAGGTGAAATCTTCATCCTTTTTTTTTTCTTTAATTATGGCTTCGTTTAACGCTTTAACGTGATATCATCTTCATATCGTAGGTCGAGGAAGAAATTAACAAGTTTCTACAGGATGACAATGTGAAAGAGCACAAATTTTCTTCCATGGATCAGATACACAGGAGTATTGTGTAGGTACAAATAAATTGTTTTGTGATACATTTAAAATGTTATATTTCTGGATTATTCTATATTTATACATTTCTCCGTCTTGCTTATTCAGTCACGATGTAGCAGAAGTGGCAAGTGTTTTGGCATATTCTTTTGGCGAGGAAGGTGTCGATCGGTATATTATGATCTTTAAGAGGGAATACGCACCTTCAGAGGATCAATTGAACACATTGCGTAAGGGTGAAGAGTGGAACGAGAAAGTTGCAGAAAGATTAAAGAAAGAAAGGGAGAATAAAGCCAAGGAAGAAGCAGAGTATACAAAATCCAGAAAACGAAAGGAGAATTTTGTACCCAACAGCTATTATAAAGATAAATATCAACATCTGATTGGCAAGGAAGCTGCTCTGGAAGCTGCTAGGAAAACAGAAGCCAACAGTAGCTATGGATGTGGTGAGTATAAATATAGATGTAAATATAAATGTACATAATTTTTACTGCAAACAAATCATTCAATCATTGTATAGCTTCAAAAAATTCAGACACAAATATGATAATATATAATTAATATATAGTTTGTATCTATTAAAATTATAAAAGTTATCATAATATTTAGAGGTGTGTGTCTGTATGTATGAAAAATGTATTCTACCCACACACTGGCAAGTAGAATTTATTGTCATTTTAAATTCTAGTTCCTAGTGAAAACAAAAAGGACCAAAGAAGTATAGAACAAACTCTCGCTGACATACGTGCTAAGAAGAGGAAAATGGAAACGAATAATGAAACTAGCAGTTGCAGCGACAACAGTACAAAATAGTGCTATTATATAAATAATTGTAGGTATACATAAATTATCTATATCCAATTAATTGTAAATAATACACCATACTAGATGTTACAATGTTATTACAGATTATTACATTATATGCATCCCTAGAGAAGTCGTACACGGCAATCTAATTTATTAAATTTCCGAGTTTACTCTTGTTCGTTCTTACAAGTCATAAGCATCTTACAAGTTCTATGATGGCATTACAATTAATATGTATCTGCGTTAGAAGTGAAGCAACAAATCACTTCTACTTTATCTCATTATGATACGTATATTTCTATATTACATCGAAGAAACTCGATCTCATATGTACAATATAATACATTATCCTGCATATTACTTATATATAATGCATGTATGTACACATGCAGATATTTTGTTCCTGTAACACTTCTTCCTTGCCTATAAATCAAGCGATGCAAAATTTATTTCAGTTAGAGGTATTCTGTCGTGGAGTATTTAGTAACCGATGTTCTCGGAGCCGGTTTCGGTTTTGTAGGCGATGGAGATTCGAATACAATCTGTTCTTTCAAAGCAAGCAGCTTCGTAAACTTCTGATTTGTCACGGATTTGTACAGTTCCATCCCACGGACGATAATAATATCTCGCACATACGCTGCATTATTTTGTACTAATTTTCGCTGAAAAGGATAATAAAGTTTAGTAGAATTATTACACAACGTCTATTTATAATATAGTCGTTCGATAGAAATGACATTATTGAATTTACCTCTTGCTTCAACTTCGGATCCGTAAGCGAAAGAATTAAATGTTGAACTTCGACCCGCATCACGGACACAAGTGCGTTATCTATCGTAGACATAAGCTCAGGTATGGCTACGCTAAGGCAATCTTCTAACAGACTGACATAAATCTTGGAGAAAGTTAATGTGGTGTGTGTCAACGGTATCCAACAGTCATTTGTCGTCGCGTACGATGATGGTACGCCGATACCGAGCTCGTCGAGCTCTGATAATAGCTTCTGAAGATTCTGACTAGTTTCCAGATTCGTCGGTCGCCAAGTATCCTCTGCAACATGACGCTTCGTTATATCAATGCATTTCTCTCCCGCATCTTGGATGGCTTTAGCTAATGGAGATCTCAGTTGTCCATCTAACTGGTAACGAAAGTCCATGCCCAGCTGAGTTAGCTGAAAATTGAATTATTGAATTATTATAAATTAATATTTAAATATACGTATCTCTATTTTAAAAGAATACGCACCTGATCGCAGTGACCTCGAACAGCAACAATGCACTCTACTAATATGCTTAACGTGACTTGTGGTACAAAAAGTTGCTCAGCTATGTGCGACGTTAAGTGTTTCACCTCTTGGCTGCACCACACAATTAAACCTTAAAGCAACAACGAGCAAGTCAAGTTAGCAATTAATTAAATAATCACTTGTAATCAATATTCTTTGTATCAATGTTAAATTACCGGAAGTACAGTTCGTAGATTGGGGAAAGGTTTTCAAGAATTCCCTCGCTATTTCCACTATATTGCTGAAGGCAATCGCGCTGAGTTGCTTTACGTAAGCTACAGTTGTACTTTCTCGTTTGATCCTTGATAGTCGTGCCTTCAGCATCGCGCTGCATAATCGCAGATACAAGTGACACGCCTGAGCGCTCCTGTTCAACTGTATCAGGAGCTTAACTGTACGTCGAGCGCTTCTTAAACCGCCTCCTTGCAGCGACTTCGCCTCGGCGCTCAATTCCAATTCCTTGGTCAGCACATTCACCAATGATCGACCTCTATCATTCACCTTCGTTTGGATCTCCGTCAGTAACGGTATCGGTTGAGCATCCTTCAGGTAGGCCTTTGCTTTCTCTAATAAACTGTAAGCATCCTCAAAGTGGCGTTGCGCTATGCAGGAATCCAGATCCTCAGCCACTTCCAGCACCCACTCCGGCGGTGGTTCGTGATATTCCGAATCGTCATCGTCATCCATCCCTAAAATTTGGAATAAAAATCTTTACAATTTAAGTAATTAAAAAAAATAGAGGAAAGTTAGATAATCGATATGAACCAAAAGCAGGTGAAGACAGAATAATATGCATGAGTAAAATAAAAGCAAGAACATTTATTGTATCTGCAAATCTCACCTAATGTATTCGAATCCAAAGACATTGAACGAGACGGCGCTGCTTTGTCTTCCTTTGGATGCTCGTTATCCGGTTTATCATTATCAGTCGAATTTTCCTCTGCTAGCTTTGTTCTTTTTGCTTGCTCGCACTTATCTAACCACTCTTTCTGCAAAATAAATAGATTCAAATAATTCTACTTTATGTTTTAGGATTACTTTTGTTCTTGAACACACTAACTTTACTTGTCGCAGTGGGACACTGAAACACTCTTGTGTCGGAAAATGCCAATAGTTTGAAAGCCAGCTTAACTGTGCCGTGATCTCTCACATTGACAATCGCTAAGCTTTCAAGATTATAAACCGCTTGCATTTTATATCTAGGAGGCCCGCGTCTGCCGCCATTCGCCAGCCAAGATGCGACCATCAAAACGTCGTTGAATAAATATGCGTGAATTCTCTTTAATGGCGTTCCTTCGATTGGGTCTAACTCGAGCAGGGAACCTTCATGTAAACACACACGTCCTGGAGTTTCAGCTAAGCTCTGTGAAAAAGAAAAAGATGTAAATGTTTTATACTCATATAATAATAAATATTACATTATATATGTTTGATATATAATATATATATATATATATATATAAGTACATATATGATAATAAATTATCTTGTTTATTAGATATAATGACCAACCAGAGCTCCTTCGACATTTTCCATCAATTGAATGAGTTTTTGTTTTTGTTCCTCTTCCTTAGATACAGAATTGACAGAGTTCTCTTGCTGCGACTCGGACAAATCTTCAAAAACGACGCCTGGTGTTCTAGTAGATCCTAGCATGCTCAATAAAGCACGTTGCTCGCTCAAGAGTTGAGACAGTTGATACATCTCGCTCTCCAGATGTGAGATCTCCTTGGCAGTCTCGATAAACTGCATATAATTTTGATAAACATTTCGTTTTAATTGAGCAGATGTGTTATTTGCCAGTTCCTGTATTTTTGCACGTTGTTGCCTTAATTCATCCGCACCAATGCATTGCGCACTGAGTTCCTTTACAACTACAAATAAAATAAAACAAGTAAATAAATAATTTTTCGTCTCTTTTGCATAATGCTTTTCAAAATACTTATTAAACTTCATAAAAATCCAAGTACATGACATGTTAAAGACAGAAGTACAAGATAAATTTTAAATATCCTCTGACAAGTCTCTCATGAAAATAAAAGTCATCTGATCCTATCATATGTTTAATAAACTTATTGAGAAATCGAGAGATGAGGATCGAGAGGTAGGATTTTGTGAAATAACTTACATTTTTCCGGATTAAAGTCCTCGGCTGCGAAAACCTTCGCTAAATTATTATCAGCCATTGTAGAAGACAGTCGTTTCTCTCTCTCTCTCTTTCTCTCTCTTTACGGAGAAGTGTTTATTGTTATCAACAATATAAGTTACGTGCTCTTGTCATGTTACGTTTTCCCTTTACGTCACTTGTCACGAATAAATCGACATGATTTACAGCTCCAGTTTACACCTCCTCCGCCTCGACATTAACCTCCAAATTTTCGGTCCTCTTCTCCCAAGAGGAGACCGACAGCGAACTCGCTCGATAAAGTATCGTTCTTCAGTTACCGACGTCATTTATTTATATTTTATATTTTTTATTTATATTATATAAGTAATTTATATTTTATTATATTAAATATTTATATTATATTATATTATATTATATTATATTAAATTACATTTATATTATATTAAATTATTCATATATTATTTTTAGCGTATTTATATTACATTAAATTTTGTTCATCAAATTGGTGCAAAATTTCTGGTCGAACAAGAATTTTCGAGTACGAATAGTCGAACGATAATGCGAAAATAATTGTTACGAGGTGTATTTCGGAGTCGAGTCGATATTTTCGACGCCTTATATGCGCAATTTTCACTAGTAATGTCAGCTGGGAGTGTGGCGGCTCCTGTAATCCGGCTACTCGGAGGCTGGTTATGTAGGAGGGTCTGAGGTCGGGGGCCCCTGCTGGTGCGGGGTTCACGTTGACTGGGCGTCCGCACTAAGCTCGCCATCAATATGGGCACCCTGGAGGAGTCCGGGGTGACCAGGTTAGCTAAGGAGAGGCGAACCGGGCCAGAGGGGAAACCCAGCAGCCAAAAGTCTCCGTGGCGGGCAGTAGTGGGATCGCGCCCGGGAGTGGGACCGCATCGGCAGCCTGGCTGATATGATCCGACACATAACTTTTGCTTTTTTTTACAATTTTCTGACAATCCCGAGAGCCTCCTCCTGCACTCCCGCCAGATATTTCATTTTTCCGAGATCATTTTGCATGTATTTTTTAATTGCGCGACATGACGCCATATGACTTTTTTGCTGAGAAAATGAATATTTTAAAGGCTTTTCGTTCCTTTTTTTAAACATTTGTGAGTACTGATTGATATTATTTGTATTTTATATTTTAAAATAAATCTGATTATAAAATAGGAAGATTTTAGAAGTTGATGTTTTAAATAATTTCAGTGATACAAGTTGGATGTATATTAAATTAATAATTTTCCTTAATTTTATTTATATTTCAATTAAAAAATCCAATTATATTTTACAGATATTTAATACAAATGTGTTAAATCATAGAAAATACCTAGAATAAGTTAGACGATTATTATTAGTCTGAAGCCATTTCTCTCATTCATATGGTTAAAAAAACTGATGAGGAGAAAAGGAATATAATATATAACACATATTTGTGGAAAAATTTTTATCCGTGTTGTCTTATAATGATGCTGTAGCACATTGGTAAGAATTAACTCATTGCGGCAAGGAGATAATTTATAATATACAATATAAAGATTTAAATTGTATGTGTAAATCAATAAGCTTAGCTTTCGACTTATCTAATATAAAATTCTACGATTTTTGCTTTTCCTTCTTTGCTTGTTCCGCCAATGCTTCTAGCCGATCATGCTCTGCGATTAAGGCATCCACTTCATTTGCTGGCAGTATTTTCGTTTTTGTTTTACCATTTTCGCGTGTTAATATCGCCATTTCCACTGCACATGAAAAAGAAAGACATTAATAATTTTGCATCATAATTCTATCAAACTTTAAAACTATGATTTATATATAAATAAAAATTTACCTTTCTCAGCAGAGAGTTTGTTCATATCTAACGTTTTAGAGAGCACTTTAATAGCAAGTGCCATTGCATCTTTCAAAGTGGTCTCGCCCTCTTTATATTCCTGTTTCAAGGACGATACTGCTGCTGCTGAATTATTCCCGATACATGTCGCCTTCCAGCCACCATAATTTCCACTAGGATCCGATTGATACAATTGATAGCCATAATATTTGTCCCATCCCATGTATAAAATGGACACACCAAAGGGTCTCTTCCCACCATATTGGGTGTATGCTTGTTTAACGTCACATAACCATGAGACCAGCTGTTCGCAGGGTATAGCTTCTCCATACTGCAGGAGATATCTCTGTGCAATGAGACGCAACTCATTTGTCAACACATTCGCATCAGAAGTGATACCAGCTACTGAACAAACTATGTCGTCGTTCAGCTTGTAGATCTTCTCTGAGAAGAACACTTCGTCCAACAACTTATTGGTGTTCCGTTTCTCCGCTGCCAGTAGAATACCATCGTTTGCTAATATACCCAAGCAGGTACCGGCGTGGCTTATAGCTTCCATAGCATATTCGACTTGATAAAGTCTCCCCTCTGGGGAGAAAATCGTAGTACGAGTGTCGTATCTACGAGCCTGTAATATATAATCAATAATTAACACATTGTCAAATAAAAGACATTGACTTAATTCATTACCACTACGAATATGAATTCGAAATAGGATTAGAAAATTGTTGCAAATTATAAAAGATTCTTCTATAAATTAATTTCAAAAGTACTCCATACATACTTTTTTTTTGGTACCATATTAAAATTCAAAATTATGAATAAAATATATTGATTTGATTTAAAAAATCTTACAATATTAAATATAGTTATAGTAATATGTAACAACAATTTATGAATTTGTTAATACTGTAAAATTGCAATAAATATTAGGCTAGATGACAGTGCACTTCCCACATAACCTATAAACAGTGAGTCTCAAAAGTGCTAATATAATTTAAAAGCTGAATAAATATAATATTGAATTATAGCAAGATTCGTTAACTTACCATTTTGCAGAAAGTGTTGTGTTGTTAAAATAATTATCACTTATGTACCAGGAAAATGCCGCCTATGAATGTCACTTCGAACGAAGAATGAAATTGGTAACAAATATGTCGACAATTCGATTATCTCGAATATTCGAGAATAGCAACTTAGAATCGATAAAACTCGACAATGTTTCAAATCGATGTAAATTAAAAATGAATTATATTTTATATTACGGGACGTTTCTTTAGAAATAATTATTTTTTTAATTTGTTTGTAAAACTATTCGAGAATAGCCATTAAAAAAAATTTATATATATACATCAAAAATGTCTTTTTTTAAATACTTCTCGAATTTTTTTACAATTTTTACTTTTTTTTTATATGTATATTTTACAATTAGATGGGATTTTTTTTAGTAAAAGAATAATTATTTAAATATTCTTAAAATTTGAAGAGTTTAATAATAACATTTAGATATAACATCATTTTAGAGATATATAATATTATATTTGGTAATTAGCTCCAAATATGGTTTAAACATATATTTATGTTTAAGGATGTATGGGAAATACAATCGGAGACAAAAGCATCAACGCTATTCTTTTAAAATATACAAAATCGCTAGTTTAATATCCTAATTTTTAGCTGTTTTCAGCATGGACACAAATCAGAAAAATGGCAGAATTGCAACAAATTTAAATGGTTTAGTATATGTTAATGTAATTTTGCAACATTGTTCTTTGAAGTTCCAGTTATACTATTTGCCATAAAAAAAAGTTTGAAATTCGAGGTCCCAAAAATGAGTAAAATTTGCCATCACTCTTTTGTACCATTGTTAGATGTTTCCCATACATCCTTAAATAATAGTTTAAACATATACTTATCTAGATTAATAGTAAATTATTTAATTAGTTAATGGCCTTGTAATTAATTGAATGATGACAATTAATTAACTATTAGTAAACCAATTATGTTAGTATGTAAATATCTATACTTATAAACTATAGACAATTGTTATAGACAATATAACCACAATGTCATAGACCATCTAAATAACTTTACTTTTTTTTTAAAGATTGTGTTAAATTCCATTAATTTCTTACCAATGTATAAAAAACATAATACTGAAGTATGAAAAAAATATAATATTAAAGTATAAAAAATAACATAATACGTTTGTTTATGTTATTGTCAACATAATGAATATGTAATATACATATTGTGTATCGTTTGAGAAAAATTTATTTTTTTGATGGAGATTCTTCACGCAATTTAAGTTCATTCAATTGTTTGAGCAATCGTGCACTCTCCTCAGCAGCAACATTTTGAATATCTGTCAAATAAACTAATCTATCATTGAATGACTGAAGGATATCATTCAATTTTAATCCCCTCTTACTTAAATCTTTATCATTTTGACTGATCTTTTCTATCTCATCTACAGATTCTACTTTTTTAACATTATTACTCTTTAAGGAAGTCAAAAGATCAGATGCTTTAGGTGCTTTACTTTCATTAACATATTCATTTTTATCTTCTTTTATGTTATCAACTACTTCGTAAGTTTCATTTAACGTTTGTTTAAATTTTGTCTCATGATTTTGATTAAAGACTGGCAAATTTTTCTCTTTTCCATCAATATGCTGAGAATTTCCTGCAGACGTTTCCTGGAAATATATATATTATTCAAGATTTAACAAGTAATTAAAAAAAAAGATTACATTCATATCATTACAATATCTTCATAATATTATTTATTTACAGACAAGTTCAAATGTTTATAAATGTTATATATATAAAAAGATAATGTATTACCATATCAGTGCTATGTAGAGAATACTCCAATTGCTGGTTAGTATTATTGCATTCAGGATCTAATTCATCATACAATGATTTATAGAATAAATTTTTATATTTATGACTGGGTTCAGCTTCAGTACTTGCATTAAGATTATTTATCTGATTTTTGTCAGAGTCCTCTTGTGTAGTTTCTGCATTATATAATGTTTTAGAAGTGCCACGTGGAGGACGTAATGGCAGTTCTTGTACCTAAAATTACAGCAAACATTTAAAAAAATATATAAATACATATGATATTATAATAATACAAATACATACACACATATATGTGTGTATAACTGTAATATAATTAATATATTAATTATAATGTTATGTATTCAGTTATATATTTAACATACTTGTTTGAAATATAGCTTACCGTTTCTTTTATTGACAACTCAGTTGTATTTATAGGATTAATCGCCTTAAGGCTTTCTACACGCATTCGTTCGTTTTCTCTAAATTTCCTTTTCTCTGATTTTGACAATCCAGGTATGCACCGCATTACTTGTTTACTTGCTGACACTTCCATTGGATTGTAAGATTGAACTTCTGGTTCCTGTTAAACAAGTTATATACATATGTAGTAACTTTAAATTAGTGCTGATAAATTTCTCATAATACAAATTAATTATCACTACATTTCATACCTCGTCCCAGTTTTCAGATGACATGGGTTTATCCACAATTATATCTTTTTCTTTTTCCTCATATCTAATATTCATATCTATCAAATTTCCAATACTTGGACATGTTGCAATATGTTCCTACAATATTAAAACATAAATAATAATAATATTAATATAACAGAAACAGTAAGATTTTTTAAGAATAGTGAATATTTTTAGCAATATAATTTTACATTAAGTCAATAAATAGATAAATAATAAAAACTTGCAATTTGTCTATATAGATTTATACATACCCTAAGATGCTTCTGATCTACTATATGACTCTTGTCCAATGGACATTCTACCTTGTTTGCTGTATTAGCACTTTTTTTGCATTTAGCTATATGAGACATAAGTTTGTATTGTTGAATGCGATGTGCAGGATTGTAAGGACAGCTGACTATAATATAAGGTTCCATGTCTGAAACATTCAATTTTTTGTGCAAAATTATTTGTGCAATTATTACAATATTATTAGCATAAAATTAATTATTAAATATGAGACTGTGGAAAAAATATGAAACAAAATATGTTAGTTTTTAATATATGTATATATTATTGTATGTATTACTGTCGTTAACTGTTTGAAAGCAAAATCTGCAAAAGTCTTTCCAAGGTTGTTTGAATATATATTTTTTATTATACATTTGTATATATTTATTATACATTGATTTAAAAAATTAAAGAGAATCGGATAAAATTATTACAGAACTATCACGAGTTTTATATTATATATTTATGAAAATCTTTCATATATTTAAAATATATAAAAGATTTTTCAACAGAGAGAAAAATTTCATAAAATACATATAACAGAAAAAGGTAAAAGAGATAATCACTTTTGAAGTTCAAACTTTGTAATCAAACAAAGACAGACATTTCTATTTTTATTTTGATTACATTATTGACACGAAATTATATTTTTTTTATTAAATAAAATTATGTTATAAAGATCTAATAGAAATAACAGTAGGAAAATACAATGTGTATGCAACAAATAAAACTAATATTAATAAACAACCAATAAAGTAAAAAGATTTATTCGAATAAAAAAAATGTTTAACTTTAAATAAATAATTTTATCATCAATCATTTCTCTTGGAATCAGCGAAATATGAACAATGACGCAATCAAAAGTTCATGCAAAGAAAAGCTTGAGCACGCTTTCTTTGTTACGAATTCTAGCAAAATTCCCGCAGATAGTTCATCAGAATTATAATTATATACTTACTTTTGCACAAAATAATATACGTAATTCGTATATTTTTCAGATATTTGAATGCTGTATTCTTCCTTTTTCCGATACAATAAATTCACGTCCACATTGATTTATTGATTCGCATAAAGGCTTTTGTGAAATGTGAGATCGGTATATATGTATGTAATATATTATACTACGTTATCACCGGAGCAGTTTCTGATTGGCGCATTCCGGCCAGTCAATCTGCCAATCGCAGACGAGCGCGCGAAATTCGACTCATCCCGCGTTTATTTGAATGCAGAATAAATTTATTTTTGAAAAAAATTGAAGGATAAAAATTGAACACGATCGATTGCATTTCAGACATTTCACTCTTTATTTTCTTTTTGACTATAGTAACTTGAACTCTTTATACACTCTCATAGCCTAAGTACGTGTAAATATAATAATAACAGAAATTATATGTAACTTATCGTGTGAAACTTATTGTTTAAAAATTCTATGTTTATAAACCTCCCTCGTTCTTTCTCTCTTTCTTCCTAATCAAATTCAGTGGAATGATTACAGATATTTGTCTCAACATTCTGAGAACTTATTCGAGAACAATAATGATGATTTTGATAAGTCTTATCACGTATATCTTTGAAGTAAATTATGAAGAGTGCAAGTTTTTTTTTCACACAATGCGCAATAAAACGACGTCTTGCACGCACACATAAATTTATAAATTAGTTGTAAGTTTTTGTTGAAAATTAATCGATCAAGAGTGTATAGTCTTCCTCACAACGGGTGGTATTATATTTTATACTTAGCACTCGAATTACAATGAGATATGCTGCTTTGTCGTGTGATAAATTATTTTTTACCAAAATGTAGATTAATGCATTTGATATAATGAAATATTAAAATTCATATATAATATATAAATGAGAAATGTAATACATTACTCGATATATTATCTAATAAGATAAACCTTTATTTTAAACATGTAAGGCTTTATTTTGTATAATATAAATTCACGAATTGGTATTTAATTCACACATTGGTCAATTTTTATTATTAAAAACAAGTATAATATATATTATTTTTAAAAGAATCACCACAATAGACTCGAAAAAACTATAACGCACATAAAATTACATTTAATATCCGATAACAGAAATGATTTAATATATACAGTTTGCGAACATAACGTTTTATGTATGTATGTATGTATGTGTGTGTGTATATATATATATATATATATATATATATAATTGTTTATATATATATATATATATATATATATATATATAAATTTCAAAATTCACTTTGATAAAAACAAATACAATATGTATTTCACAAAGAGGAAATTCGTTCGAGCACTATGCACACATTTATAAATAACGCAGCGCAATAAATATGTAATAAACAGTTACATGTACATTTCGGTAAATATCGACTACAAATAACTCACGCGAATTGTACAATATATATTAAGTTATATTGTACGAATCATCCAACAAGGATTTCAAAAAAACACAGTCCTGCATGAGCTTATACAGATTTTATATTTAGTGGAAGTCAGAAGTCCGATCTACTGGTCATATCTTACTTAATTGTTTAAGAATTAAGTATTTCTTACAAAGTGCAGCAATTTTTGTTCATATATATTCGGATGGACAATTAACATTTCTCATTTGTTAAGTTCATACAGGAATTAATTTTCTTTCAGAAAACGCACTCTATTTGTTAATTATACACAAATCGAATATTTTCAATAAAACTGTCGTAATTGTTATGTTTTTTTTCTGTAAACGCTGGCATAAAACATTACGAGTAACTTGGTGTATATATATATATATATATATATATATATATATATATATATATATATATATATGAGGCATTTTTAAAAATTCTTCAATTTGTCAATTTTCCTTACAGCAAAATACACGCTTCAATGTACAGATTTTCAATGTACAATATATCTGTACATAGTTCAAGGAACTTTTCTTACACGTACAATGTACACGTGATGTATAAATTCATAAAATATTCCATGTACATAAATTCTAATATATACTATATATGTGAACATGTGTATGTGATGCATGTAACATTTTTTAAAAATTTTAGGCACATCGAGCACACAACAATGATGTACATACACAACAAGCCCTAGTTATAAGAGCACGATAACTTTTGTACATATATAATTTTTCAGATATAATTAATAGTACAAACTAAACACGGCAGCAAAGTTTATGATTGAAATCATAACAGCATTTGTATGAGCATATATATGTATACAATATAAATATCTAAATATACATATATCATATATTTGAGAGAGTGTTAATTAACATTTTATAAAATAATTATATATATACTATTTCATTAAGAATATTTATAAATTTGATTACCATAACATTAACATACATTTTATTATATTTGATTTTTTTGTACCACAGAGATTTTTCACAAATTAATAATCTTTAAAACTGACAATGAAATATACACATATAAGTAACAAATGATAACAATATTGAAATTATTAAAATTATATATATTTTGAAATTATTAAAAATATTCATGTAACTGTTTCATATATATATAAAATTATTCTGCAACAGTTTATTTTTTGTTATAATCTTATATTCCAATAATTATTGTATTTCATGAGGGCACTTTTATATACTTTCATTATGTATTCAAATCTGTCAGCATTTTTCAATATATTGGATATTATTCGAAATGCACATGTGGATATATTTTAAACATCATATTAACAAATGCTTTCAGATATATTGTCTTTGCAATCATTCTCTATTCACACTTAATTAATTAATTTCACCAATTCAACGAAAAATCAACAATTTGCTATAAATAATTTATATTATATAATTTTCTATTATTCTTTGTATAATTTCGTTATATTACTATGTAGTCATTCTACATTTAATGTGATGTAAAATAAACGATGTGGCAAATTATTGTATGCAAAATATTAATTTTTTTACATCGCGAGGCAACGTGATTACTCTACAGACTTTGTTTATGTGACGGTAATATTTATTTTGTTTCAATGGCAACCGTATACTTTAGCACATTTTGTTCTCTGTAAAAATTTCCGATTTCCTAAGTCAGATTGGTGACTCGTAAAATATATCTTTCTTATACATGTATAAGATACATTTATATATGTGTAAAATACATTTTATATATATTAAAATATCTTTAAAAATAATTATATAATTTATGATGTATGCTCCGATAACTAAGGCATAATTATGTACATGTGTATAAACATGCTCAAGTGTATAAATATATATAGATTCATTTATATATGTATAGATATAATATATAGATCTTTTATATTTTTGTTATAATTTATCTGTAACACGATACAACAAATACTGTTAAGTGTATCTTAAGGCACTCGTGCGAATAAAATCTAAAACATTTGAAACAAATAATGAAAAACAAAGATTTTTTAACTATAACAATCCATAAACGTACATATCTAACTATTACATTTGGTTAAATTGGTCCAGAACTAGAATATATTAAATAAAACTTTCACTTTGCATTAAACTCGTCATAAGATAAATTAGGAAATAGTGTGAAACGATTGTCGAGAACACAATCGATCAACCCTGTATTAATATAACATTTCATTATAGCCTCTCTCTTAACAAATAATATTATGTATTTTTATATATAACCCCGTCTATAAAGCCAGGAACTAGTGCTTTAAGGAATTATTTCACTCCCGACACACGTCTTCACACTTTAATAAAAATCTATAGTGTAAAGTTTCTCAACTGCATGTTCTTTTTTTTACTACAATCAGCATCCTCAATAACTAGATATACTTTGAATAGTTCAAATCAAGTGCAAAACACGTGTAAAAGGGAGCATGAAACTATGACTAAAACCTGTATTAACAGAAATTTTGGGGTAAATATACAATATGCGTAGCATCCCTATCCAGTGCTTGAAGACTGTGCACGTGTAATACGCATATTTAGACCATTTATGGAAAAAAAGAAAGAAATTATATTGTAAACTGTGTGAGATTGGCCTCAACTTGCTCACTTTAAATTCTTCTAATATTAATATCACGGATTTTGCTTTAATAGATCCTCTGTGTTATGGCAATATATACATTCGTCAATGCCTAGTGTAACGTTAGATGCAGATTTTCTTTACAATCCTCTCTAACACTTTACCACGGTTTTTGCATCAACTATATATAATATGAGAGCTATGGGACATTATTCATTTTGCATAACCCATGATATGGTTTTAATAAATATTTAGCAATGCCATAATAGACATTTCAATAATATATATATATATATATATATATATATATATATATATATATATATATATATATATATATAATACATATATATCCTTCCTGTTTTCTATGTGTGATATGTAACATTATTACATTTAAAATAACATGAATAATATGTTACAAATAAAATAACAGCAAGATAAAATATTGCACAAATAAAACTTTATAAATAATTATAATTTTTAAAAAACTAATAAAAATGTGTGTGTAAACAATGATTTGATTATTTCAAGTGCATTTAACAGCAAAACACACACGCACGCACACACACGCACAATGATAATAATATATCGACAGTTTTATACATTTAAAAATCGCGCAAACAGTTATATATAAACTTTCTATTATGCAAGATAAATCACTTTTATGTTCCATAGCTCACAAATTCGTCCATATAATATCTCTATATTTATAATATAGGAATGTTTCATTTTTTCTTGTACGACATCTCTATTATTCTAGAGATATTTAATCATATCTAGAGATATGATTATACCATAAAACGCAGATTTTTTTACATAATTTTAACCGTATACGTTTCTCAGTAACATAATGTTGCCAGTGTACATATCTTTTGCAAACTGGAATGATAAATATAATTATAGATTTATATCCATGTGTGTATGTATATACGTTTTATATGTATATATATTATTATATAAGTCTCTTCATAATATAAATAAAAATTCGCAGTGAGCACATTCAGCGCGTTTGAATCACTCGTAAAACTTTGTACAAATAAAAGACCGGAGTCTTCTGAAAAGTGTAAATAATCGAACGTGTATTACTTTTAGCTTTGCTAAAGTCTTTGGCTAAACATCTAGAATTGCGAGCTAGAATTGTAACTCTTGGGTAACTTTTTCGTTTTACTGATAATCTTATTCATCTTGACTTGACTTAGCTAAAAAAATCAGCAAACGTTTTAAACATTTTAAAGCGCTCCATTTATCTAGCAGGTAAAATTTCGATGCTGACGCCGGTCAGTTAACAGTAGCAGCTATTAATTGCGTTACACCAATCTCTAGCTGCGATAGAAAATATTTCGTATCGTTTTTCGTCGCGAATAACGTTTATAGAAGATTGCACTGCAAGCCATGTCATTACGATCACAGTAATTGTATATGTATATATGTATATGTATGCTTAATTCGAATATGTATATATGTATATGTATTCGTACCTCAAATAACTTCATTATTTTTTGTCAACGTCATTCTGCTTTTTAGGACTTTGTTGCGTACAGTCGAAACTATTTATAACATCCTGAAAAAAATCATTTATATAATAATGATATTAATATAATGTATATATTATATTATGTTATATAATAATCCCAAGTAACAAATTGACATTGCTACCTAAGATATAATAATATATAATATATATATAAATAATATAAAATATAATATATATAAAATATAAATCAAACAAATATACGTATAAGGCATGTAAAAGTTTAAATACGCTAAGTATCTCACCTCTATGCATGTAAATTGTTATATGTAATATTATAGTGATATGTAACGTAATACAGATACATGAAGATACAAACCTGTACCGCAATTTGTAACGGTGTCAATTCACCTACGGAGCAGTCGTTTCTCGCGACATTCGCCGGCAGTAGCCTAGGACAGGGTTTGCCCGTGAAGAGCATGAATAGTGCGTGAATGCTTCTACGTTGGGTCAATTCTATGTGACGATGTTGGTATCCAGCCAGGTGCCGACGATGCCGCGACGTTGTCGGGAACCACCTCTCGCACAGATTACAATACCGTCTGTGCTTTATCGTTGCCTGTGAAAGAAAAACGAGATAAGAAAGATTCAAGTTAAATATAGTGGAAAAAGGGAAAGCAGCAGATGTATATCAAAGGGACAAGTTTGTTTGTTTGTTTCTTTCCTTACCTTCTCGTGATAAGCTAATTGAGTTATGAAACTGGCGACAGACATCTCGCTCTTTTCGTTAACGTCCTTCGCGACGTCCTCGATCTTATCGCTTATGACTTTGTCGTCCATCAATTTGGATTCTGCTACGTCGAGATCTTCGTTATCTTGGATGGTGATGACCGGAGGCGATCGGGAATTATCTCTGTCGCAACTGGTGTCGAAATTCACGGTGATTTCAGGTTCCAATATCGGCATGTTGTCCTCCTTGATCTTAATCTCCTTCGTGTTATCGCTCTTCTGATCCGTGGACTTGGAAATTTTGGGAATCTTGTAAAACGCAAGCTTATTCTCCTTCCTTTGTGGTGGCTCCTGCGATTGAACATCGTCACTTGGCTCCTTTGTTGGATCCTTCTTCCTCTTCTCGCTCAAGTATATCGTTTTGCGAATTAAGCTCTCGTTCGACAAAGCTTTGCCGAATTGTTTGAGAGCCTTTAAGGATATCGTAGTGCATTCACGCGTGTCCTCCGTCGTCTTCTCTTTGGTATCCGCCTTGTCGTTCTTTCGGGCGACTTGGTCTTCCTCTTCACGAAGGAATTCTTACTTTGTTTGGAATGTTTCTTGTCAGACTTCTCGGTACTAGATATATTCTCAGTCTTGTCGGATCTACTGGCCGCAGGTGTAGAGCCCTTCTGCGACGTAACATCCTTTGGACAGCCCTGGAAAGAAGCGTCGTTCGAGCACGTCGTCTCCGAGAGACTGTTGAGATCAAAGCTCGAGCCTTGTTTTTTCTCCGCGGCTGTCTTCGGCCTCGCGTTGCCGTTCTGGCTCTCGCATCGGGATTTCGAAAGGCACTTCTTCAAGGTCTCCTTAGCCGCCAGGACTTCTTTGATCAAAGAATCGTTGCAGCAGAAATTTTCCCTCGTCACGGCGGTAGAAGCTACCGCCTTGTCGCACGAGGATCTCGAAGAAATCTCCCTGATGGAGTCCACCGAGTTTGCGTTCTCCGACATCGGTCTAGTATTGATGTCAACTTCCACGAGGGGTTTATCCCTCAGGCGAGCCCTTGCTGCTTCGAGACGAGGTCTCAAATATATTGCAACTTCTGATCGTCTTCTGATCGTCGCGAGACTCTTCCGTGGACGCGCGACGCAAACTGTAATCGGTGATGGGGTCCAGCTTCGGCATAGGAACATCCAGCAGATCCGTGTCCGCAATCTCCAGCTCCAACTCAAACTGGGTTGGGATCGCATCGGCCGAATACAACTGCTCGCTGTCACCGTCGTCGATCATGTGGTTCTCCAGCTCGCCAGAAGCGTCCGGCGAAGCCGGCAGGATCTCTATCGTAGATTGACTCTCGTCCGAGGACTCGATTTTAATCACCGAGTTGTTGTCCACCTCAAAATTGCCCGACACACTCGCAGGATCGTCTTGCAAGGTGCATTCGTCGGAATTATTCAGTCGTTCCTTCTTTATCACGATTTTATCGTTAGCATCCTTATCCAAGAAAACATCATCATTATCATCATCCTCATCTTCGTCATCAGCATCGTTTGGTTCTTTATCAGATGACTCCTTCAGATCGGACAATTTTACGAGAGAAGAGGTCGTCTTCAGTTCCTTCAACGCGAGTTTAAAGTCCATGGAGTGATTATGCTTGGAAAGATTCTTCTCGTCGAGTTCGCTCGTCGAGAATATTGTGTCCTCGTCCGCCTTTGTGACGAAACTACCAGACTTGGGTTCCTCGCATTGCAAAGTGATCTTCTTCTCCGAGCTGGATCTCTCGAACGATCGACTTATCTCTTTATCAGACAAAGGAATGTCCGCCTCCGGCCGTGGATGGTTATCGCGAGACCTCGATCTACGTTTGCTCCTGTCCTTTCCATGACACTCGTCGACGATCGACTTTCCGTGACCTCGATTCTTCTTCGGCGTCGTGCATAACTTAACATCCCCGGTATCTCGCGACGGTGAGGCGAAACTCAACGTGTCGTTGCTCTTCCTGTAATCGTAATCCGACATTCTCCTCTGCTTACACTTGGCCGGAAGCAGGTTGGACGTCGAGTTCGACCTAGACAACTTGTGGTCGCCGTTCTGCTCCCGACGATGGCCGACCTCCTTGGGAGTCGAGAAGATCTGGTCTATAGTTTGCAGCGAAATGGGGGACAGAGTTAACTTCAATTCCTTTACCATGCTGTCCAGAATCCGATATCTCTCCAGCTTGACCTCAGGTTGCCACTTAGCGCTCTTGGCGATGACGTTCTTGCAGCCCTTGCTCAGTTCGCATTTGAACTCCGCACTGGCGGACGCTCTCTTGATGATGACCTTGGGAATCTTCTCGGAGATGCAGACCAAGGGATTCTTTCTCGTTTCGCATTCCGAAGAGGTGGCTCGCATGGAATCAGAGGAGCTGCTGCGTCTCGTCGAGTATCCAGCCTCGTCGCGTCCCGATTTCTTCCTCTTGAATGGTACTTCCGGGTGGCACGAGCTCTGCCTCTTCCGTCCCGTCACCTCCGGGGACGACGATCTGTTTCTCTCCTGCTTCTTCAGTTTCAACACGGGTATCTTCTCCTCGTATCTTCCTGGGTCTTTGGATTCTTGAGAGACTGAGCTGCAAACCGAGTTCTCCGACAGATCGTTTCTCGAGGAATTCTTGACCTTGGGTACGGTTTTCTTCAGGCTTTTACGTTTCATCTCTGTAGTGTCCTCGGCTCTCACGATCTTATTCGAATGCTTCTCGTCCAGTTTGATCTTCATCTTGGGAATCTTGTTTCTGTAGCTACTTGAATCTTGCAGAGAGTTCTCGGAATCGTTCTCGTATGTTGGTTCTTCGTTCGCAAGCAGGATCCGATCCGAGATATTCGCTTGAGCAGGTGCTTCCTCGTGAACGGCCTCGATGGACGGCGTACCCGGGCGAGACCTCGCATTTCTGATGATCATCTTCGGTATCTTCGGTTGACAGCCCGGTTTAAAGGGCGATTTATTAATTACACTGTCCAGCTGTGGAAGAGAAGAGGTACCCACCTTCGAGATGAACTTCGAACTCTGAACCTCGCTCTTCTTGATCACGAGTTTGGGGACTATCTTCGTGTTGGCGTTGCAGTCTGTCGCTCGCAGGTACGCCACCTTCTCGTAACTACTGGAAGAAACTTGATCCTGCTCCTTGTCCACGTCGTTGCTAGTCGGGCTCGCTCTGGCCACCTCCTGGGTCGTCGGTTCGATAACTGATACGTTGGACTCGTCGTTCGGTTTGCTCGCAATCTCGGCGATCCCTTCCTCGAAGACTCGAGACTCCTTGACGATCGATGTCCTTGAGAGGGACAGATTGTCCAGCAACGAGTTGCTGGCTCCATGCAGCGGACTGGTTGTACCTGTAAAGTCGATCGACGACTCGTCGATGCTGCAGAGACGGTTGACGGCATCCTCCTGAATCTGGCTGGTCTCCCATTCCATTGGCACCATGCTGTCTTCCTCGGGAAGGCGTGCTCAGACATCTGCACCAGGGGACACCTGTCCTCCGAGTAAATCCCGCAGTCGGAAGAGTCGATGCAGAGTAACTTGGAGTCGATGCTGATGTCGCAATCCCCGGGATTCTTCTCCTTCGTCTCTTCGGGTTCTCGAGGCCGTTTCTTCTCGCCGTTAATTATGCTCTTGATGACGGTAAACTCGGATATATTTTGTTCGCGCTTCTCATTCGCGAATAAATCGCAAATATTGCCTTCATCCGCAGGAAGATCCAAAGGAACAGTAGATGTAGATGTTATTATTGTGTTGCTGCAGTGATCCACTTCGTCGATTCCTTCATCCTTCGAAGGTTCTTCATAATCTTCAGTTTCTTGTGCTCCATCATTTTTCGGCTTTTGCTGCTCGTCACTTTCTTCTTCGTCGAGCGGTTGCTCTACGGATGCAACGTCGGATGGATTCTTTTGCGGGGTAATTGATTCGTTTAATTTACATACTGTAAAATTTTGTTCATCTTGTTGATTATTCGTTTGATCGATTTCCGTCGAAATATTGGATTCTACTGCAACCTTCTCGCTGTCTTCGCGATCAATCGGGGTCGACGGATCGTGTTGAGGTACAATTTCTTCATCTGCAGGTGAGTCCGAACTATCCTTCGCCGAATCGTTGACTTTGTCTTCCTGTTTATCTAAAGTAAGCGTAGAATCTTTCACCACTTCTGCACATTTTGATTCGTCGAGCATATTTTTTGACTCTGCGCTCAATTCGGATGTGTTTGCGACTTCGACGCGACTTTCATCCGAGCCTTGTTTCGCATTTGCATCCTCGACTGCGTCGGATTTATCTTCCTTTGGAGAAGCAGGTGTACAACAAACGCGAGTTTCGTCTTCAACCACGCGAGATCTTACCGATGCTTCCTCGTCTTCAACGTTATTCCTAGAATCTTGATCTTTTTCCAAATCGCAGGCTTTCTCATCCGCGACTTTAGAAGAAGATTCTTCCTTTTCGATGAACAAATCGTTGGACTTAACTTCATCGGATCGAGTTTTCTGCTTCGTTGTGTATTCATCGTTTCGTTGCATTATCAACGACGTGTCTGGCGATTTATTATAAACGTCTCTTGCTAACGCATCGTCTCGATTATTATATTCATTTCCTTCTTTATTATTGCGCGAGTCAATATCCAAGTGTACTTCGCCCTGCGAAACGTCGTCTCGGATCGAATCTAGCTCATCGACATAGTCGGATGTAGGACGATCGTGCATTGTCGGCTCGTTCGACGTGGGACAAAGTGCCCTGCTGATGTTGGAAGAGTAGTTTTGCTCGGCGGACAGGAACGAGAGAGAATCCAGCTTCTGCGTGGCGAAGATCTCGCTGAAGTTCAATTCCTTGAGATTGTCGCTGTTCCTCCTGTCGACGTGGGACGAGTACGACTTGATCGACTCCATAGTCTCGTCCCAGATGGGTGGTCTCGGTGCCAGGAATAAATTCGACTCGAACGCGGAGCTCTCGCTGTGACCCTTTTCGAGATTATCCGTCAACGCTTTCGACTTGCAAGGTTTCACGCTAGAATTTTCGTTGTCCAGGTTGTATTGTTTCTCGAGAAAGCTCAGATCCACGATATTCTTCCGGTTACCTTCCTTGCTGTCTGGTTGGTTGCTCCTGTTCGTGTACAACTTGTCCGCGTCGTCGTTGAAGAACTCTAGATGCGACGTACTTCGGGGTGTTTTCGAAGAAGCGCAAGGAGCACTTTTGGCGTTCTTATTCGGCGGATGATCGACGTGTCTTGCCGCAGATTTGGTTTGATCGACAGGTGAGATCTCTCTCTTTCTCCCGGAAGCGACGTCGCGGTTCCTCTTGAATACCTTCCGTAGCTTGGAACAGTTGTAATAATCGTAGGACGGAGATCTCGCGAAGTAGGATTCGCGTCCATTGTCGTAATTCTCGTTCCCGCGAGCCTCCATGATTAATTCGCGATACGTGAATCGGGGATTGGGACTGTAAGTGATCTTGCCGTCCTTGGTGGTGTACACAGGAACCGTATTCAAGTTCTCCACTTCGTCCGCGCTGAAGAAGCTCGGATTTACATACCCGCTCGCGGTCTCGTACAAGTCAAAGTTGTCCCCATATCTACCGTCGTCCCTCTTCGACCTCTTCCACCTGTCCGGACGCTTCGCATCTCTGGCGTCCGCGTTCTCGTTCGCAGCAACGTCAATGTGATTGTAATCGAAATGCGCGGAATTATCGTAACTGGCGTTCTCCAAGCTGGGATCCACCGTGCTCGAAGAAGTCGACGGGATCGCGTTTAATCTAGACGTTACATCCTCCTGGAAGCTTCTCGCACTCCTGCATGAAGAAGTCATCTCCTGATGCTCCTTCTTCTGAATGCTTACATTCCTCGACTCCACGCATGGAGCATTATTGTCCGACGAGGTCTTCAATTCCTCGCTGCAGAAATTGATAGCAGCGACCTTCCTGTCCGACTCTTCATGCAGGCTTCTTTTTCTGATTGTTGTCTGCTCTGCTTTCGAAGTTTCCAAGATCTCCGACTCAACTTCGGGATCGACGTTACCTGAAAAAGAAATTACGTAAGATTTTATCACACAACTCTAGGATTTTTTTTTTAGAATTCTTAAAAGTGTAAAGTACCTTTATCTTCGTATACATCATTGATTAATTCTCCTTCCTTCAACAACGAGCCTCGTCTCTTCTTAAGCGAGCCGGATGTGTCGTCATTGTTGGTCGAGTCTTCCTTGGTGCTAATCGCGTTGTGTTTGACCACTTCCGCGTTGGTTGGATCCTCGATAGAGGTTTCCGGTGAGACAGCTGAAGATCGATTGCGTCTCTCGTAGTCCTTGTCGCAAATAGACTTCTTCTCGCACTGAATCTCGGTTATCGAACTCGTCGAATTCGATCTGGGTCCGTTCGAGATCGAATGAGTCAGGTGGCCGATCGTTTCGGCCACGGCATTCTTGATATTCTCATGCAGCAGCTTCTCCGTGGTGTTCCGTTCCGTGCACGAGACGTTTATCTCGATCTTGATCGCGTCCAAAGAGCCGCTGGTCTTCGCCTCCTCCTCCGCATCCTGCAATTCATTCTGATGATCGTTATTATCTTTCAGTTTCAAGTTAACGTTCGTAACTTGAATGGCAAAGTCGGGGTTTACATTCTTAGCCACGAACTTCTTCAGGATACTTCCTCTAGCGCGTTTCCTCTCTTGCTCCTCGGACGACTTCAGCCTCGCCACATCCTTCTGATACGCCTGTTTATTGCTCGGTGATTGTAACAATGCTTCATCAGGATTCGAAGAATGAAGCTTCTTCCTCGCTGCATAATCCAAGTCTTCTTTATTCTTATGCAACCGCTCAGCGGGCGATTTGTACTTCATTCTTCTGTATTCCTTCAGAAGACGCAGTCTCTCTCCGCCGTCGTCGAGGCTGACGTTCTCGATCACCCTTGGTTTATTATTACGCGAAACCTTGGATTCTCGGAGATTATCGACGGAGCATAATTTTCCTTGAGTATGTTTATTGTGATGTACAACTGTTCCGCTGCATAACTTATCCGAAATCGACTTCTTCCGATCCTGCGTCTCGCGTCGAGAAGATTTCGAGTCTTTCGCCGCCTTGTTGATTTTCTCTCCGAAGGGGAACCCTCCTTCGCAAACTGTCTCAACTTGTCGCCGCTCAAGATCGAATGTTTCGTACTTTTCGTCATCTTCGTGCAATCATCTTCTACGGTCGATCTGGAATTTCTCGACGCGACGTCATTTGTCGATAATAAATCTCTTTGACAAGTGGATCTTTTTTCGGAATAATTAACGTCCCGGTCAAGGTCAACGGAGTCCGGCTCGCTCGTGACACTTTGCAATGCAATGTTATTCAGCTCCATCGAGTTGGCATATCGAAGCGTGGCCTTCGCGCTCGTTTCCGGAAGTGCTTGTAATTGTTTACGAGCATCCGGGCTGGTCAAGGAGACGGCCTGAGATTCGTTGGTCGTTGAATTTTTATAATCTCGTATCGCGGGTTTGTTCTGCTGCGTCCCTGCCGCTCCCACGATCTTTAATTCATACTCGCCCGCAGAGGTCAGAGTCATTCGTATTCCGGAGGTCGCGTTTTCCGCCTCATCGTCCAACGAGAACACTTTCTCGCTATTGTCGTTTTTCGAATTATTTTCACTCGTCCTCGGACGTTCCTTGCCGTTTTTTCGCAGACTCGTTCGTGGAAAATTCAAACGTGCCCAGAACGGCCTCGTGATCGAGTATGTTGTTACCTCCGTCGTTCTTGAAATGATGATGATTCTCCAGGCGATGATATTCACCTTCCGACGAGTCGATTGACTTGTTCTGCTCGTCGCTTAAGTGATCGTAGGGCTCTCCCTTCGTTGGCGACTGCGTGAAACTGATCATGGGACTGTTTTGTATGATTTCTATCGGGTTCGTCGGGATCGTGAGATGATCGTCGACGCTGCCACGACGGGACTCGGACGATTCCTCGTTGTCCGAATGAATGGGAGTGTTCAACGTGGTGGAGATCGGGGTGCACTCTGACGTGGGTAGATCCGGCAGGCTTATGTCGTCCGGATTATGAGATTCCTCGCTCGCGAAACTGCTCTGCTTCTTCAGATTCATGTCCTGAGCGGCGTCCAGGACGTTGTTGTCCTTCAGAGACGTAGGTAGGGCGGCCGAGACCATCTCCGAGTCGTTTATCCGCGACGTTCGCGAGGTGTCCTCCACCGTCTTCGGAGAAGACGAACTCTCGACGATGTCCTTGCTCGTTAGACCTCCAAGATCGGCGTTGTACTCGGCCTCGACGTCGGACTTGCCGACCTCGGTTTTCTTGACGACCTCGACGAGAGTCGGCATCGAGCTCGCCGCGACTTCCGGTCCCTCCCGGAAGAATGACACCGCTTCCTGGCCCTCCAGAGTCCCGGCGACCGTCTGACCGTTCGCGACCTGCAAAATACTACCTATCTCGAGATTATCGACTATGTGGATCGTCGGGACTTCGTCGGGCCCGTTGCTGATGCACTGTATGATGTGGCTCCCGGGTCCTACGATGTTCTCCTTCGAGATGATCTCCTTGCAGGTCGAGTCCTTGGACGAGTAGGATATCGTCAGACAGTCCTGGGCGGGGACCACGTCGATGTTGCCGGTCTTGTCTCGATTCTCGAACGTTATCACATTCGAGGTGATTTCAGACTTGCTGCCGCTTAGATCCTCCAGGGTCTTCGCCGAGAGATTCACGTTCTCGTAGCCCACTACCACCACCGACGTCGAGTCGCTCAGGATGGCGTTCGATAAGTTGTTGCTCGCGCCGTCCTCGTCCTCGGACTCATCCCAGGTAGCCAGGAACTGTCGCACGTCCAGCTCCGGCTTGTCCGCGAGCTCCTTGGACATTTTCTGTCGCATAGCAGTGCCATCGCCCGCGTTTGTATCCAGGGTATTATTGAAGCCGTCGCTGCCCGGAGTCTTCTGCACCTCGAACTGGCTCTTCTGCGCAGGATACCCGTCCTGCTTCGGTACATTCGCCTCCGTGTACAGAGCAGCAGGCGCTGCAAGACCGTTGTTATGCTGCTGCGGGATCAGTCGTTCCGGTTTCTGAACGTTGTGGTTCACCATTTCGGGGACCCCGTTGCCGTCCTGCTTGCTCGCTTGCTTATCCGGCGAGTTGTCCAACTGCGGAGCCTGAGGATTCATCGGCGGTGCCTGTTGTATCCTGGGGAAAGCCTCGGGCATGTAGTTGGAGTTAATCAGAACCCCGTTCTGATCGAACTGCAGGTTTATAGGCGGAATATTTGCGGAAGCGTTGACGGTGGACGCGGTGACGCAAGGCGGAGTCTGCTGGATCGGACCCTGATACGTGATGGACTGCTGCAGCTTCATTATTTCCCTGTACCTGTGAACGCACTCCTTGTACTTGGGATGCGACTGGTATCCGGGTATCCTGGAGAGCTCCCTGAGATTGTTCTCCATCGAGAATCTCTGCATCGCGATCTTTTGCTGGTATATCTGGTATCGCGAGTTAGGAGGTGGCGGAGGAGCGTGCATGGCCGACGCCTGCATTCTGTTCACCATGGATACGTTGTCGGCGGCGGTGGTCTCCTGACAGTCGTGCGTCGTGCTCTCCGTAGGCAGGTTCCTTGGGTACTGCGAATTGAAGTAGGTATTCTGCGCGGGTGGAATCATGCTCGGATTCTGCACGCTCGTGGTAGAAGGCATCCCGCTCATCATGGTACCGCCGCTGCTTTGATAGGATACCTGCTTGCTGCTGTAGGACTGCTTCTGCTGGGGCATCGCAAAGCCCTGCTCCTGATGTTTCACCATCCCCTGACTCGGTACACTCATCCCGCTCATCTTGGAATATTCCTTGACGTTGTAGGGATACTTCTGATACTCCCCCGTGTAATTGTAGCCCTGCATAGGATAGTTCTGCAGCATTCCCGAGGAAGGCGGAGGATAGTTTCGCGAGAGCATACGATCCTTGCGATACTTGAAGTCGGGAAAATTCCTCCGGTGATCCGCGTTAGGTCCGTTAGGCGGAGGCACGACGGGAGATAGGGTCTCCTTACCCTCGAAATTGTCCTTTCTGATGTTGTAGTCGCTGTTGAATCTTCGGGCGTCCGGTTGATACCCGGCGGACGGGCGCATGTTGTCCCTGTAGGTCGGGTTGTTCTGATAGGAGCAGTACTTCTCCCATTGCTGGTAGCTCATGTTAGGGTCCGGATTGCAGCACAATGCTTTGCAGGGAACGAAGGACGGCGGCGGACCCGCTGTTCTGCCAGCGGCGTGAGAATTCACGTTGGTGTTTCGTGGTGGTCCTATGGATCCGTGGGGCGGCGGGTTCATATTCATCACGTTCGGTCCATTGAGATGGGAGATAGGCCCGTTCAAAGGCACCTGATTATTCCTGTAGCCCAGCTCTTCGTTCAAACCGCCCATCGGAGCGTTTCTCGGATCCATAGGATTATCCACCATGGGATTTCTTGTATTCGAAGGTCCGTAGTGATTAATGCAGTTCTGCATTTGCACCATGGACGCCAGAGGGGTATTGTCAGCGGCTGCATTGTGCCCATGGGAGATGTTACTGGGCAAATGTGGCTGGAAATGCCTCGGATTGAAATTAGGATCACTTTGGTGTGGCTTCTCAAATCCCTCGCTGCTGAGATTCAAACTGTTCAGCTGTGTCGGACAGGTTGGACTGATACTGGAGATAAACGATAAGTGTCCCGAATTGACATTTTGAGCAGTGGATGTTACGTCGTTTATTCCTGACTGCGAGGGATTATATTGATGCCAATCTGGCATATTTCCATTGTAGTTCATTGTACATTGTTTTTCTTATGTTGTTGCGTGATTACATTGTTCTCTCCTTATTTGCAGGAATGTGTGTCCATCTAATAAGAGCAGGAGGCTACCTAAAGAAAAAAGACAAAGCATGTTTTATATTTACATATAATATTAACATAAAATACATATTTATTTTAGGAAATTATATAAGAGTATGTACACATGTGTCTTGATAGCACAATCAAATAGAAGTATTCCTAAAGCCAGTACATTTTTTATGCATAGATTCTATTTATCATGTATACACATTTTATTATGCATCATTAGATACTTAATATATTTCGCAAGAACACAAAGAGAGATAATATCCAGCTCCGCAATCATTCCTACATGTATTACAAATGCGATGCACGATTAAAAAATCTTGACGCACTTTGCTCCGCGGTCAAGCTCGAAATTATACACGCGATATAACGTAACGCAGGTATGACCTAGATATTTCCTTTGACATCTTCGAAAGCAGCGCTTATCAGCTACACGTCTGCCGAATGTGTTTTCGTTACAATGCAAATAATCCGCGAATTATCCAGTCATGCGTCAAACGCGATACGGAACAATATACGTCGTCGCGGATCTGTCATCCTGGAAATTCGGCGTTCGTCCGAGCCGAGACGGGGCAGGTGACACCATATTTACCCTCTCGAGGTGCTGTGGCCATTGTTAAGCCACTTAGCCTAGATCGCCCGAGTTGCCCTTCCCGATGTCGCCGTTCTCCACTTTGACAGCTCGCCTGTTCAGCTGTTACTTTATCTCCCGCGCGAGGCACCGCGAGCGTGATAACGCGCTAATTTATACGCCGCGTACCTGGCGTGAGTGGGCACACGCACCTTGGTCGGACGGACCTTGAAAGTCGAATGCGGATCGAGACGGAACGGATTCGCGAGCGTCCCGACCTTTTCTCGACCGGGTTTATTCGCTGTGACGCGAATATCGCGAGGTCCAGCTCGCGCGTCCCCCAAACCTCGTCGTCGTCGAGGATGGAAGTGCGGGAGTACGCGGGAGGCACTTCCTGGACTTACCTGCACATTAACATCGCTCACAACACGCACGCCATATTGGACACGACTGCTCGCGAAGGAGCAAAAAAAACATCACGCGCCCTCTGCACCGAGAGGTGCCTCGTCGCTTGCGCGCGACCTATGTGTGTGTGTGTGTATGTATTATTATTATTGCGTGTGTATTCGCGCACCTGGTTTGCACCTGGGCGCACATGCGTAGAATACGTCAGGAAAAATGCGACACTAATCGCCTTACGCTTCGCTTAGTACAGTCACGAGTGCCGTTGCCTTGTTACGAGGAGGAACGCGTGAAAAAAAAACCCGTTATGATAATATATACTTACTGTACATCAATAAAACCAACTGCGAAAGAAAATGTCATTGCGGCTTAATAACGTAAATGAAATAAAAAATCAATAAAATATAATGAAATGAAATCAATGAAATATTTATGAAATGAAATAATATAAATGATATGAAATAAATAAAATGAATATAAATGAAATAAATTTAGCTTTTGACGAAGCTTTGATATTTGTTTTTTATTATTTGCACATTCATCAAAGATTGATGGGAAAACATTTGTTGCTTGTTGAAGATTGTTAAATATGCATAAAATATTCTGTTCTATAAGAGTATATGAAAATGTTGAATTTTATATGCAATGCTAAGTTTTTTAATTCACTTATTGTAGGGATATACACAGAGAAATATATATTAATGTACAATTAGATTAAAAATTTATACAGTATGTATCTCGTGTATAAATATACATTATTGCTTACTTTTATAACTTTGGACACAAAAATGCTAATATTAATATTAAGAATAAAGAATGGAATAAAGAAACAGATCTACTGTTTTTCTCCAGAGTCGCAAAATATATGCAAATCCAAGTTACTATATTATAAAATAAATATAATTAAACATTGAATTTGATTCAACATCTTTTGATTTGCTTAAAGAAAAATAACTTTTTTTATAGAAATTATACTTGTTTTATAATTAGTTCCAGACAAATATATTACATAGAAAGTACTGATGTATGTAAAAATGTACTGCAAAGTATATATTTGCTATTGTCAAATGCAAAAAGTAGATATTTAAGAAAAGCAATTAATACTAATTATATTATATAAACTACAATTACTTGATATTGTCCTTTGTATTATTTAAAACGTCTCAAGGATTTAAATTTAATTTGACAGCCTCTTGTCGTATCACAGAAATAAGTTCTTGATTTATTAAAAATGTGAACCTTAGTCCTGCAATCTATAAAAAAAACACAGACATTAACAGAAATTGTTATTAAGAATTACATTTACAAAATTACAAATATATTTTTTAGAATAATTAATTAATAATTTGTAAGAAGAATTTTTTAATTTATAAATAATTTATAAATAAACTCAATATATTGTAAAAATTTTAATAATTACCTCAATTACACTATTGTTATTCAGCTCACTATTGTTACTCAATATATTGTAAAAATTTTAATAATTACCTCAATTACACTATTGTTATTCAGCTTCATTTTATTGCCAGCTAGAATTGGTCTGCTATCCACAAAGATCGGTCGTTTTCCTTCGGATGATAAAAAGAAGTCTCCATTATTCCTCAGGCGAATGGTGCCTTGTCTACGTGAAACTTTCCAAGCTGGACCTTCTAAACTAAGATCCACATCAACAGTTTGATCCTTTGTAGAACGTCCTACACTTATCTGAACAAAGATATACAAGAATAAAATATAAATCTTTCAAAAATAAGGCGTTATAAATAAGAATGTAAATAGAATAATTATTTATTTCTTACCTCCCTAGATCTCATGAGATATCTGACAAGTCTTCCTCTTAGAATGGCCAAGGTTTGATTGTCAAATTCTGGAGGATTAATACCTGTTACACTATCGACGAGTACCTGCCATCTCCCAAGCTCGTTTTCCAATACTTTAATTTCTCTTTTACTCTTTCTATCTGTTGTTGCTAATTCAGCATCTATCAATTCATCTTTCGGTTCCATCAATTCAGTATCATTGATCATATCTTCTGCATCAGAAAAATTTAACACATGTTCACCTCTTGGTAAACTCTGTACTGTTTGATCTGGTAATAGATGATACTGTTTCATCAATTGCCAATGACTATGTAACGCTTTCGCAGTTCTAGCTGGAAAAATGTATGTGCATTTGCTTCAAGCAATTCTTGAAATACTTCTGGCGTTGGTTGAGAAGTCTGAGACAAAATAAAAGGTTACATTTTTGCAATACAACTATGTAACATATGTCGAAAATTACATTAATGATTAATTTAATAGTTTAATTATAAAAAAATATATTTTATTTAAAACTCACTGATTTAATGGTACCCAGTAAATCTTCTTCAACCTTACTATACAAAGTTCTCGCTTGCACACTAGCTATCAATTCAGGATGTAAATTACGCATAGCTTGCACAGCTACACGTGAAACTGCACTGTCATACAACAGCGCGTACCATCTTTGTTGTATCTCTTGCAACGTAAAGCGACAGGAAAACTTTGTACCTCGATGAACCTTAAATAATCAACATAATATTAGAAATATTCTAAATACATCAATTATATTTCTTCTCTCATTAATATGATTAAAAAGAAGATAAAGTAAGAGAATTAATGTAAAAATTAATTAAATAAGCACCATTCTCAGATCATTTGTTTGTTGTACACCAGTAATCAATGCCAAATCATCAGCAGGTTTCCATCGACCAAGGTCTTTGGTAGCATTGATAGAATGCGAGTGATTTTTATTCTTCTTATTTTTTCGTCCAGGATTCGAACCGCTCGGTCTAGTGGGTCTACGATTACATCTATCCGACTGTGCCAAGGTGGTTGGAATTGGTATCGGGGTAGGTAGCGTTTGCGTTGGTAGAACATCTATAGGACCAGCAGATACAGAGATCGTTCGCGACTTCGACGTTGATTTAGCACTCGTAGCAGGTGGTTGCAGATTGAACGTCGTTTCCACCACCTCGTCGTCAAACTTTTTGCGTTTTATCGTGCGAGACGAGCTTCAAACAGAAACAGAAAGCATTAGTAATGTCATGTTTAAGGTGTTTTTTTAAAAGAAGACTAATTTTTCTGTAAAATAATGATTTTCTACCTTCTTCGTTTGGTCGCCAGAGCGTCTAGAGCTGCTGATTCGATCGGAATACCCAAAAATCCGTCATTGTGTGCAAGTCCACTGTGGTTGAGACTAGTCGGAGTTGATATATCCATTGTTACGTAAATAAATCGTCGAATAAATCGAGGCTGTCAAACCATAATATTGCTCGATTTCTCGTCGCCTTCAAAGTGAATAAATTCGCAATTATTTAAAGTCTTCTATTCAATTCACACGTAATTAATTCCCACGAAAGATATCACAACATCAACACCTAACTTGGACAGTTCGATGCGAAGTGACTCACGGAAGAAATAGACAGTTCGATTAATCGATACGAGGAACGAAAGCGCTCGATTCGACTAATCGATAATATCGATTCGGCGAGATTTTTAAACGCGCAATATTCAACAAAATAAATTTTAATAAAAAAATATATAAAACACTCGTATCTATATAATCATATACTATATCTATTATATTTTCCAAATAAATACAAACTTTCTCTTTCATTCAGTAATTTTTAACTGAATAATAATTTTATAATTTCTTTTGTATTTCGCACGAAGAGGGAAAATTAAATACTAAGTGAACGAAATGAACCAATGAAAATAATCAATTAACTTGGAGGTCTCACTTCCGCTTGCCACACCTCGCGAAAATGATTGCGAAAAAAAAAAAGGGAGAGAACGGCGAGAAGAGAGAAAATCGCCTCATTCTCGATCGGTCGCCGCGCACGCGCGCTCGAGCCGTACGTCAGCGCGCATGCGCTCGGCTCCCCCGTACGAAGGAGCGATGGAACAACGCTGGCACGCTTCCTTCGTGATGGCCCGCTTGATTCCGGTTGTATTTGGTGCTCCGACGACGTTCGCGCGGCAGGTTTTCCGCTTGTCTATAGAAACGACACGTGACAAATAATCGACGACAATCATGGACGAGGAATGGGGTACGTAGCCACGACGACTCTCGCCTTCCCCCGGGCTCGTAAATTTCATTGCGGCCGGGATCGCGAGCTCGATTTTATCCCTCTCGCGGACGGGCGCGAACGAAGAGGGAAAACTCCTTATGCGCGATCTCTTTTAACCTCCACGCCTTGTGCGACTTTACAGATGTGGATAACGCCGAGCCGAAATTCGATCTCGCGACGAGATCGAACAAGTGGGAGGGCGAGGACGAGGAGGAGGACGTCAAGGTAAAAGCGACTTTCTTTCTCCCGAGAACGCCGAGGAGCCTTCGTCCTCACGGTTTTCCGCCGCGTGCGAGTCCGCACTTAACCTTCCTTTTTTGCGCGACACATGTCCTGTAATCCAGACCGTCCCGTTAGATTTTTGCTGATCATTGTGATCTCTCTCCTTTTAATTTCTCGCAACTCTTCGTCCTACGTGGTTTTCCTCAAGAAACACGATATCACGCAGATATGTAATTTAAAAATGATATATATGTATGTGTGTGAATATATATATACATACATATGTGTAAGGATGTGCATTTTTATCAAATATATATGACTATGAAATTATTGAAACATGTTTACATCCGAAAAAAATCAAATGATTATTTATGAGATGTTAAATACATTGGATTGATTTATTTGCACTTCTAATTGATAAATATATTGAAAGTATATATTCTTGCTCTTTTTATATTTCTTGTATATACTTAATATAGTTACGCTATAGAATATTTATTCCATATATTGCTTTATAAATGCTTAAATATTCTATTAAATTCTGTATTATATATGATTATTTATTAAAAAATATACATGCAATAAGAACATGGAAACTATTACAATTATTTCTTCTACTTCTGACGATGAGAATGCAAAACACTGTAATAACCATTTTTTTTATTGATTTAACTTCAATAATTCAACAGGACAGCTGGGAAGATGTAGAAGAAGAAAAAAAGATGTAGAGAAACCAGCAGAAGTACCAAAAACAAAGTCAAAACCTAAAAAAGCATTGGCTGAAAGAATCGAAGAGCGTGAGGTTTGTTTTAATTTTTTTTTGCAGAGGCATGTATTGCTTGTGATTTTATTTATATATTTGTAAAAAATGATACATTTCAGAAGAAGGCAAGAGAAGAAGCCGAGGTGAAAGCAAAGGAAAAGGAGGAAGCACTCACACCGGAAGAAAGGCGAGCTGAAGTTTTAAGACGCCAAAGGTTGCAAGAGGAGGCAGATTTACGACTGGCGATGGAAACTTTTGGTTTGTCGAATCTAGTAGACTTTAGTGATCGTAAACCACATAAAAGAGATAAGAAATGATTTTTCTCATGAATGAAAGATCTGATTCAGAGACCTGATGTCATTTTATTTTGCATCAATATATCTCTATTTCTAATATGTATAATTTTTGTTTGATGTCTAAAAGAGTTTTTTCGTTTTCTTAAAGCTCAGTTCTTATGTAGACATCAGATTTTTAATTTGATAAAGACATTTTTCAAGAGAGTGTATAATTCTCTTGATTATATATTTGTCACATATATATAATTTATATTATAATTCTTCATTTATAATATTGTTTATATTAAATGATGATATTTTTCTAAATATGCATGAGATGGAGTATAAGCATCTTTGCTTTGCAAGAATAATAGCTATAATTTTTTTTTTTTTTTGACAAGTGTGATAATTGATTCAAAAATTAACAAATATTAATGCTACACTAACTATTTGGTTTGTGGAAATGATGCGAATTATTTGTCATATGCACTAAACTGTAGAGTATTACAAATTTTATCATTAAAAAGCTATATACAAGGCTATATAAACATATACATATATGAAATATGTATATGTAGGTCTTGAATTTTTATTAACATTAATTTAATAATTTCGTGGCATAGTGTAGCTTTATATACAAATTATATTATAATTATCATTTAGCTATACTAGACTTATAATTGATTCATGATAGGAACTGTATCAGAGGGACAGACAGAGAGAAAGAGAATATAATATACAAGCATTTAAATTTATTACAAGCTCTATACATTTAAATTTATTACTGATGTTGTTGTATTTTAATAAAAATTGCTATTCTATGCAAATTGTGTTTTTGTATTGTTGCATCAGTTTTTGTAACCTTATCTCTCATGTGTTAACTGTCTCCTGTACCGTTCCTGATCAACTCTTTTGATATATATGCAATATAGGATATTAAACAAAATCTGTTTGGCTACACAAACATTTTAGAAATGCAATATTTACAATATAATGTGGCAAGTATTTCTCTCATGCAAGTATTTCCTCTATTCAAATATATATGTAGCATATTAATGAAAAGCTATTCACATATAATTATACTTATTCAATTTAATATGTCTATAAAAAAATTAAAGTCATGAGAAATATTTTATTGTAATTTTTATTATTTTTATTATTTTATTGTTTATTATAATAGTTTCAACATGTATACATAATATCACTCAACAATTTTACATTACAGGTGTACAGGTGACAGAAGTAGCAAATGAATCGCTCGATACCATGGTACCCGACACAAAAGAGGAGTTTGAACAATTTGGCACAGCACTTTCACAAAAAATTAATCAATTTAACAAACACGCAGAATTTCCAACATTTGCAGAAGAGCTTATAAAATCCATTGCTCTTAATTGTTAGTATATCTATTAATGATATTTATTAATATTTTGTAAAATACATGTAGCAATATTATTTTCATCGTAATAAGCTAACAAATATTCATATTCATCAAAGAAACAATATCAATGATTTTATACTTGCCAATATTTGTTTCAGTATCGTCAAATTACTTGAAAAAGGTGAAAACTATAGTTGATAACTTACTTATTGAAAAGCAAAAGATGGAAAGGGGCGACAAGGCCAAAAAGAGCAAGGGGAAAGGAAAAGCGAAGCTTAAAATTGAGGGTGACAACACCTTGTTGAGCGAATACGGTGATTACGTATATGACGAATACGACGATTTTATGTAGCGACTTTTCACATATTCATACATTCTAGTCGCCTAAATAAACGCAGAGAGCTATTGATTTGCAGATTTATACAGAAACTTTATATTTGTATTTTCTGCATATTGAATTGTAACTAAAATGTACAACAGTTTAAACTATAATCCGTGGTACCGTTTACACCTAACAAGATGAAGAAATAGAAATGAAAATTAGTATCATATTATCGATGAAAATGTTTAAAAACAAACACTTCTAACTATAGTGGTGATATAGTACTCACAGTTACTTAAAAGAACAGAGTTCAATGTTTTATGATTTACATGTTGACTTTTATCGGATTTTTATCCGTGCGTCATTCATTTATTAAATTTTCAATTTAATTTATAATAACAAAAAGTGATCCGATTGCCAGTTGAAATATTGAAATAAAGATACCAGGGAATCAATCGACCAACACTGGCTAAGGTGAAAAATCTTTTATTGAAAAAGACGCAACGTTTCAACCCCGAATCGGGTCCTCTTCAGTCTGAATGTAATGTTATGTCAGAGTAAGGACCCGATTCGGGGTCGAAACGTTGTGTCTTTTTCAATAAAAGATTTTTCACCTTAGCCAGTGTTGGTCGATTGATTCCCTGGTATCTTAATTTATAATATATATATTAATATTTTCAACAAACTGAAAATATTGCATGTAATATTTGCGCGACTCTAACTATTCCTCAATTGTGAATCTATTAACATTTAAATAGAGCAGAAAGAAAATCTTAAATAGAGAAGAAATTATACACATTTATATCTTTGGGTTGTAATCGTATCCTGTCAACTGTTAAAAAGGAAATCTCATCTTTATATAGTTGCGTCATTGCAAATTGAATCTTGTAATTACATTATGGAAGTTTTATATGTAACACAGCTTATATATACATACCCATACACACATACTTTTATTGAAGATCAATTACAAGTTGGTTTTGAAAAGAGTATATTCCTAAATAAAGGTTGATTATAAATTATTTTCTCCTTTTTTCTCTATAATTATTCATAGTAGCTAATATACAATTATATTCGCTGTGAAGAGATATGTGTGTGTTACACATTATTTATATATCATTTATATTTATACATAAGATAGAAAAGTACTGTACTATATTAAAAAATGTATATACCGATAAAAGATAAGATCTCAAGTGCTAAAAGGTGAAAGCCATTTCTTTTCATGCGTTTTTAAGAATTTAGGTCAAGATAAATGATAATATTTCACACACATGTACACACACACACATATATATATATATATATATATATATATATATATATACATCATATAATATTTAATATATTATTATATGTAATTCCAAAATTATTAAGCTCTTATTTTTTTGTTTTTTGCACATGCATTTTTAAAGATGCATGTAAATTGGCAATTTTGCAGTTTTCTCAAAATCATCAAATGGTCTGAACATAACCTATATACACCTGTTTCCTGTTTAAAGATAATGAGAATTGGTGATTGACATGTGCAATTGTAAAGAAATAAATCAAGTTTGTTAAATTATTTAATTTGCATAATTATACAAGATACATGGTTTTGTGATGTAATTATATTAGGAAAAAAGGAATTGACATCAATTTAGGAAATGGCATTACGTTTATTATTTTACAATGTAAATAGAACATTTTGTCACACTAGCTCAAAATATGTTGCCACTAATAATTCTAGTATGACAGAATCGAATGAAAATATAACAAAGGATTGGAAAATAGAATTATATAACACTATGAAAATCCTTCCAAATTTTATAAATGAAAAAGAGGAAGATATCCTGCTACAAGAGGTTGATCCTTATATGAAACGATTGCGCTATGAATATTCACACTGGGATAATGTTAGTGAAATGAGATTGATTATTTATAAAGATTATTATCGCTATATTTATGAGTATATTTATTTAATTTTAATATTTATAAATATTTTAATTTCTTGAATGTATTTATCGGAACTGTTTTTAGGCAATACATGGTTACAGAGAGACAGAATGGAAAAGTGGAGCAAAGATAGTTCGCAAGTTCTTGATAGAGTTCGTAAAGAAGCATTTCCACCTGAAATGACACAGCTCTCCCTTGTACATATATTAGATTTAGCCTCCGAAGGATGGATAAAACCCCATATTGACAGTATCAGGGTAACTATAAAGAATTGCCTATTTTTTAAAGCTTTTTCTACTTGAAATGTTTTTTATATATTTTTACCGAAATGTTTTACAGTTCTGTGGGGGCATTATTGCAGGATTAAGTTTGCTGACCGATAGTGTGATGAAATTGACAATGGAGGGCATAAGAAAGAATGCACCGAGTGTTTCTTGCTACCAAGAAGATCATTATATATTATGAGGTATTCTCTCTTTCAATTTATTATATATAATCTTTCCATTATTATCAAGTCCTCATTATAAATATATTTACATATATTTTAGTGGTGTTGCTAGATACAAGTACAATCACGAAATTCTCAAATCTGAGGAATCATATTTTGAGGGACGACACATACCAAAAGGTAGACGTATCTCCATAATATGCAGAAGCGAACCTGATCCTGAAATTAGTAAAAACTCAGGTGCATAATTAAGAAATTGTGATGCAAAGATCTCTGTAAATATTTCAAGTTTAATTGGAGCAAGAGAGGAAGAGTGAAACACGCTTGTGAATAAAATATATTATTTAAAAATAAACTCAGAATATTGATATAGGATTGATTAATATGAATTGATATAGCATATTGATATAGACTTAATTAATATTGATTGATATAGCATATTGTTATAAAATTAATTAATATTGATTGCTATAGATAACATATTGATATATTGATTAAAATGGATTAGTTATAGTATATTGATGCAGGATTGATTAGTGTAGATTGATATAAAATTAATTATAATATGGATTAATTTAGATATATAGTATATTGATATAGGATTGATTAATATGTTAGTATATTGAGATAGGGAATATTTATATGTTATTTATGTCAAATTATTTCTCGCAGTAATTGTAAATGTGCGAAAATTCGCACTTGACACTTGGAAAAAAAAAACGCGATTCAAAATTCCCGCCAAAAGAAAGATGACAGTTCTCGCTCGGGGTGACAGATGGCGGTGGCGCGCGCGGCGGCGAAATTCGGCGGCGCGAGGACCGTCTATGGCGGGGCCGTCGTAAAACGAAACATGGCGTCCGTGAGGTTATTGCTATGAGGCGCTGCTCCGTTTCCCTACGTTAAATGTGGCATCGGACATACGCGAGCTGCGGGCTGACGCGGAGGGTCGCGTCCACGGGGCCTCGGAGCGCGTCCCTGTGAAATACCACGTGAGTCCGGTCGCCGCCCGCGACAGTAGAGACCTGGGAGTCAGCGAAGGAACACGGGGCAGCACATCCACAGTCAACACACACACACACATACATACATACATACATACACATACATATACACTGAGTAGTGAGCTTGTGAGTATCAACACACCCTGACGCGAGGATCTCCGCACCAGGGTGCGAGTGCGATTTCTCTCCAGGAACACCCTCTCCCCGGATCGAATCCGCGAGCGCCGAGAGTTCGACCTTCTCCTCCCTCCCCCCTCCCCTTCCCCCAAACGGTACCCTCCCCCGATAGAGATAAGAGACGTAGGGGCGCCTCCCTCCCTCGTGTTCGCGGACACGCGCCGGTCCCGGGGACGATCGACTCGGGATGCTTTCGCTGGAGCGGCGTACTCCGGATCAGCTGTCAAGCACGTCGTTGCCGAGGAGTGTTTTCGATGGTGACGATTACGACTCGAGCTTTTCGCGGAGCCCGGGATATTGTGAACTCGCGAGGTGCGACGTCTTCTCCGTGGCATCCGGGGACAACCGCGTCGTCGCCGAGGATGCAGCTGATCTCGCGGTCGTGCCGAGTCCTCTAGAGCGGTAGGAAGATAAACGGCAACGATATAAATCATTATTCCTGCGAGAAGCGAGGATACAGGCGTCCTCGAGAGGAAAAGAGAGGGTGTTGAGTTACTCTACAGAAGAGAGGAGCGAGGAGAGTGTCGAGCCATATGCCGCCAGCCGGGCTTTCGGCGAGAGGCTTGTCTACCTTGATGGACCACGGACAACCGGACGCTCGTCATCGGAGCGAGCGTTTCCTACTATATCCAGAGAATGGCTCCTCACATCCTCATAGTCCGAACACGGCCAACTCGTCGCCAAGATATCAGCACAACAGCAGAACCAATAGTCACACTACCACTAGGTAAACAAGAGTGTATCATTCTTTTTCAAGTGCGACTAAGAGCTTGTTTTCTGTTCCTGCGCTGGCTGAACTGCGCACACTGGTGCAATAAGTTAGAGTGAAACAAAATATATCGTCTCATTCTAACTTATTATTATATATTATTTACATATATACTAGATACTTATTATTGTATATATATATATTAGATCAGTGTGCAACGGTTTATTAGTGCGGGAACAGAAAACGAGCCTAAAGGTTGAAGTGATGTTTATATCATTGCGAAACATTTTTCTTGCAGCTACGGATACATATATGGACGTACATCCAGCAACAATATGTCGGATAGCAGTGTTTCTGATACACATAGTGGTGGAACTGCGAGAACTGTCTCTCAACAGACTAGTCCCTCTCACGGCACACATTCCTCTTCTCAATCGCGACAGGACAACAGTACCACTATCTTCACAGCCCTATTTGATTATGTTGCTCAGGGTGAAGACGAGTTATCCCTGCAGAGAGGGGAAACCGTTGAGGTGACTTTTACTTTCTTGATGTTATTCTAGAAATAGCACACTAGAATAAACAAGGTACAATTGTTACTTTTTTTTTTTTTTTTTACTATAGGTTTTATCTAAGGACGCTAAAATCTCAGGCGACGAGGGATGGTGGACTGGAAAAATTCGTGGGAAAGTTGGGATTTTTCCCGCAAATTTCGTCGCAGAAGCGGAAAGCATCGATAGAGTTTCGTCGGTGATTGATAAAGTCGAACCTATCGAGATCGATTTTGACGAATTGCAGTTGGAAGAAGTTATAGGAGTTGGAGGGTTTGGAAAAGTGTACAGGTATGTGCGTGCAAAACTAATATTATTATATTTTAGTAATGTTTTGTGGAAAAGATTTTGATATCATGATTCTAAATTATTGACAATATTTCTGATATATATTTTATTTACAAGTTCATAAAAGTGCATGATTATAATATTTAGTAAAATATATTATTTTATATATAAATCTATGAAAATATAAAATATTTTAATCAAAATTAGTTTTTAAGTATTATTTAATTAGTTTTTAATTATTATTAAATATAATTATTAAGTATTTAATTTAATTAAATGTGGAAAAGATTCTGATATCCTGATTCTAAAATATTAAAAATATTTTTGATATACATATATATATATTTATTTACTAGTTTATAAAGTGCATAATTATTATATTTTAGTAATATTTCATGGAAAAGATTCTGATATCTTGATTCTAAAATATCAGAAATAATTTTGAGATATATTTCATAACTTTTTTTAATGAAATTGTCTCTGTTCTTAGGGGTTTTTGGAATAAACGCGAAGTAGCCGTGAAAGCTGCGCGTCAAGATGCAGGCGAGGAACCCAGTGTAACGTTAGAAAATGTACGGCAGGAAGCAAAGTTATTTTGGTTGTTAAAACATGAAAATATTGTGCAATTGGAAGGAGTATGCTTAAAGATGCCTAATATGTGTCTTGTGATGGAGTACGCTCGTGGCGGTAGTCTTAATAGAGTCCTTAATGGCAGGAAAATAAGGCCCAATGTGTTGGTCGATTGGGCGATACAGATTGCGAGAGGCATGGATTATCTTCACAACAAGGCTCCTATAAGTCTTATTCATAGAGATCTAAAAAGTTCCAACGGTAAGATATGTTATATATTAATCGAGAGATGACAAGCTGCGTTATATTTTTTACTATAAATTGATTTTTATGTTGACACAGTCTTACTAAGCGAGCCAATTGAAAACGACGACTTTCAATACAAAACTTTGAAGATCACAGACTTTGGATTGGCGAGGGAAGTTTATAAAACGACTCGTATGTCCGCGGCTGGCACGTACGCTTGGATGGCTCCAGAAGTTATTAAGCAGAGTACCTTTAGTAAAGCCAGCGATGTATGGAGGTTGGTCTTTTTATACATGTATATTCTATATGTAACAAAAAAATGTATCTTATAAATGTCAGATTTATTATTATCTAAAGCATAAAAGAACTTTTCTTTATGTATTTATTTATTCGACTTTTTATTAGAATATTTATAATATTTATTGATATTTATCGGAATATTTATAACATTTATTATATTTGTTGATAGTTATGGCGTATTGCTATGGGAACTTTTGACTGGAGAGACACCATACAAGGGTATCGATGCTCTGGCTGTAGCATATGGTGTTGCTGTCAATAAGTTGACTCTACCTATACCATCTACTTGCCCTCAACCCTGGAGGGTCCTCATGGAAGGTAATACATTAACAACAAAAGGATATTCTTTCTTCAAATACTACACATGACAAATTGAACAAATTTGGTATTAAAAATAATTGTTATATACAGAGTGTTGGGCATCAGACAGTCATGCTCGTCCTGGATTCACGGATATTTTAACAGCTTTGGATGATGTGTGCAATGCATTTGCGGCAACACCACACGAATCTTTTCACACGATGCAAGAAGATTGGAGGCTGGAAATCGAAGAAGTTCTGCATGGATTGCGCATGAAGGAAAAGGTACATTAAACATTGTATGCAAGTTGTTTATATAATTGAAATTATTCGATTGAGGACGCGTCATTGTATTTTTCTATAAACAATTTTACTCGTATAAAATATTTTTGATTTTTATGTATATATAAATATGTAGAGCAAAATGAATAATACAATTCAATCATTTTTTTAAATGCTTGCCAAAGGCATGCCGTTCTTTAGAAGAGGTAAGACAAAACAAAAGAGTTGTGATTACGATATTAATATTACAGAAAGTATATTATCTATTTTATCAGTTGAATCAAAGTATGATAAAAGATTCTAAAACTCTAAATACAATTACGATAATTTAAATTAAATCCTGACATGATTTTTATATCTTACTTATCAGGAGCTGCGCTGTAGAGAAGAAGAACTCACGAAGGCACAAGTTCAACAGAGACAGCATGAGGAAAATTTGAGGATGCGGGAACAAGAATTGGCCGCGCGCGAGATAGATCTTTTGGAGCGGGAACTTACTGTAATGATTATACAACAACAAAACACGCCTACGCCGAACAAGAGACGCGGCAAGTTTAAAAAGTCGCGATTAAGATTAAATAAGAAAGAACCTGGGAGCAACATCAGTGCACCATCAGGTATGAAGAATTCATTCTTCTTATATTTTGTATTTATTCATGTCATTACAATTTATATTGTATAGCGTCAGATATATCTTAAACTTTCTTGTATTACTCTTGTACATAATAATTTTATCTTTTACTTGAAAAAAAATGTATTTTAATATATATAGACATATACATATATCTAAAAAATATATACAGGATGAGTCTTTAATTTTAACAGGCAAATATTTCAAAAATATGCAATTTTGCAAAAAAAAATTCAAATAAAAGTTTAAAATGAAGAGCACACTAAAGTCACCATTGTACGTCCCCCTTTAGATGGCCCCCGTAGAACTTTTATTTGAAAAAACTCACCCTGTATATTTAAAAAAAAAAGTGTATCATATAGATAGATGTATTAATGATCGGGAATATATATTGTTTAGATTTTCGTCATACAATCACTGTTCAGCATACAGCCTTAGATCGAGGTAAGGTGAGGAACCCGTCAAGACCTAATAGTCCTCCAGGTTCACCCAGCATTCCGAGACTCAGAGCGATCGCATGTGAGTAGTTTTTTTTTCACTATGAAATATCGCTTTTAGTAGTACCGTGATTATGACAATGTATTGTGCAATTTTTGAGTGATTTTACGAGCAAATCAAACGCATTAGAAATTGTAATCGAATAATTTGAGTGTTACACTGTTTGTATTATGGTAGACACTTTGTACTTTTATTCGTATCGATACATTTTCGGCATGGTGTGCACAATTATATTGTTTTATACATATATATATATATATATATATATATATATATGTATGTACATATATGTATTTATATATACATATATATATGTATATATATTTGTTCAGTTTCTTTTCTTTTATTGTAAAGTTCACAGTTACTTTGAGCTAGAGTGTCTTATTATTGTACGAGTGTGTATATTTACACGTACACACAAACACATAAATTGCTGAAATTAGTGTGCACAATTATAAATCGTTTGACATATATATACATACAGTCGCTTACCGAAGAGTATATCCGTAAAGAAAAGGTTTACCTATCTACCCTACGCGGCGAATAAGCGAAGGAGAGGAGAGAGAGAAAGTAGTTGGTATACTCAAGTAGTGAGTAGCATTCTGTTTCTTTTTCTTTCCCCGTTTAGTACCTGCGGATGGAGTTAAGGGTAAGACTTGGGGACCATCGACGCTACATCAACGTGAACGCGGGGCTATTATCACCCAGCCGCCAAATCCCGCCTCACCAGGCGGCAAACGCTGGTCCCGTTCCGCGCCAGATCTTGAAAAGACACCGCTGCGTACGGCCCTGTTGGCGAGCGCGCATCGCTCCCCGCTTCTTCAGGAAATAGGTAACCCAACCACCAGAAAATTGTACTCCTCGGCCAATAATCTGATAGACAATCAGCCGGGTTGTAGTAGTAGTAGTAGCTATAACGAAATAACGCCGCAACACTGTTCCCTCGACAACTTCCTGCAAGGTATGCGCTATACGTCCAACATAGACGAAGACTTTGTCATTCTGGACAACGACATATACGAGTCCGTGGTTCTGCATAATAAGAATCCCCCGTCGAACAATCATAAGACCCCCCACTTCACGGAGGAGCCTCCGTCGATCATCAACGACGAGTACCCCGTGAAAAGTAGCGCGAAGCTCTCGGTAGCGGGGCACCGGGCGCCCGTCGAATGCCCGGTTGCCGCAACGCCGTCGAAAACCACCACGTGCCATCCAAGACCGCCGCTCGAGCCGTGGGAGCACTCGTACTCCACGAATTTCGTGCAGAACGTAGCTAGCACTCTGGTGGGCACCGCGAAGCGGGTCAAGTCGAAGAAAAAGCGCGATCGTAGCAAGTCGAAGGAGTCGAAGCGCCGCGACAGCTCGGAGTCGCGATTCGCTCTGGCCGATTTCTTCCGGTCGCCGTCCGGCTCGCGCAAGAGTTCCCTGAACTCGCCGCTCAGCGGCGAGAGAAAGAACTCGGTCACCATCAAAATTAACGATCAGGACGGTTTAGAGTCCAGCCCCGAGAATTCTATAACCGGCGGTAAAACGATCCTCCAGCAGTCCCAGCACAAGTCCCGCATCTCCAAGAGCCCGCTCAGGGTGTTGAACAAGATGCGCACGTGGGGCAGCCGGGACGCCCTCGACGACAAGACGGTCAAGGTAGAGTACAGCGTCACGGAGAACGTCATATCCATACCGCAGCTGAGTCGTCGCGATTCTGCTGATCAGGTGTCGGGAGGCGCTCAGGTCTCGGTACCGAGGTTCCTCGCGGCGAACTCGCGCGAAGGGATAGACTTCGAGAGCCTCGAGTCGGAGCTCTGCAATTTCGACTCGGAGCACTCGAACGACAGCACGAGGTCCAAGAGCTCGTTAGGCCCTTATCACGTCGGGGAGATGCACAAGAGATCGCCGATCGCGTTCGACTCGGACGCGCCCTACGTCCGGATGGATCATGAGATCAACTCTCTCGTGCACCACAAGTCCAGGAGTAACGAGTACTTGCGCAGCTGCATAGACGGCGAAACGTCATCATCGTCCGAACGTCGGAGTCCGCGCGACCGTAATTACACAAGTCCAAAGAGAAGTCTGCCCGCGTCGCCCCCGATCGATCACCCCGGTCTCTCTCTTGTGTCCTTGACCCCCGAAGACCTGGACGTCGCGTCCACCGTTAAGCTATTCCCCGCGGAACAAGTCCCGAGAAAGAGCGATAAGTAGTAGGCTTCGACGTAGATGTGTTGTACGGATGTACTCTCGCGAGTTCTTGTATACAGGGTGTTCCTGCTAGATTGTCGCGTCCTTTTTTTCTCTCTCCAGATTATTGGAGTCGGAAGATGAAGAGACGAGCGCGTTGTTATCCGGTTATTAAGAATAACGCAGCCGATTACCCTGTATTCGATGAGAACGCAAAGTAGAGTCTGCTGCTCGAAACGCACTTCGATGGCATGTCTCGTTTCTTTTCTTCTTCATCCCCAGTGCACTTTTCTCCTTATACATATATGGTGTATTCTGAAGAATATTTCGTACTGATCGTGTGTTTCTATTCTATCACAGGCCTCTCTGAGGAAAGCATCTACCATACCCGTAAGTTTTCTCACTTCAACGATTAGTTGTTTATGTATTTTCATGCTGAGACACACATATTCCGCCCTATTTTCCGAACTCTATTTTTTTTCTTTTTTTTTTACCGATAATTTTGCGTAATATTGTAAAGCTAAGGCGGCGAGATCTCAAGTAGACACTTTTTACTTTCGTAACTGAACGTTTTGCAATGAGAAGCCCTATCATATGTAGTTTATTATTGCTTAGTTGGTTGATCACATAGTTGATAATGCATGTATACACCAATCGATAGATGTTTTCGTTTCTCATCGTTTCTGCCAATCGCTTTTTCGCCAAAAAACGATTGGCAGAACAATGCAACTTTTAATTTGGACGATCTGTATACGCGTATCTTGTGAATGTTTCCATACCCTTGTTCTGTACGTTGTTCGTTCAAGATCACTTTTATTTGGGATGAACTCGGTCTCCGGTAGTAAACTTATTCTGACTTGCGACGCGGATTTTCGATTAAATCCGGTGAGGGACCACAGATTTTAGAAATTTAAGCTTTTTTTTAATTTTACACGTGTGAAAACGCGAAAAAGTCGCAGGCTCGAAGAAGATTGCCTCGAAAGATGTGGAAATTGTCTAAAGTATATATATATATTTAAGCATCAATCATTTTTTTAAATAATTGTTTATGTAGAGAGGGCACGGACTTGTTCTTTTTATATTTCAAGTGCTAAAAAAATTTATTTATCTTAATTTAAGGCGATGTGATACTCGTAGTACGAGTAAGTCGAGATTTAACGAGGAAAGAGGAGAGAGAGAAAGCGCATAAGAGAAAAAGAATAATAGAAATATATAATATACATATACGCAGTCTTTCTGGTGTTGGTTCTTTTCTGATATTATCTGTGGAAGACATTTAACATTTCTAACAAGCAGATCTAACAGCCCACTACTACGTGAAAAGAGAGTCATACTGCTTCGTCCATTAAGTCCGCAAAGTTCAACTTCAACGGTACTGATTTTATTACATTGGAGCGTTGCCAGGTTGTATGTGTCTGCATAGTCATAATTTTAATAGTGAAAAAAAAATCAAAAAATTACATCGTATGTATTGTATAGATATATATATTATATATATATGTAGGGAGAGAGAGAGAGAGAGAGGAGAGAGAGAGAGAGCGAGAGAAGAAAGGTGCAGAGAAAAGTATATATATATATATATTTGTTAATAGCCCTCTTATATACTTTGTGCACTTAGATCGATTGCAAATTTATTAATTGTTAAATACAAACTTTGAGAGAAAGCGTGTTATATAATATTCGTTCCTGTATTATTCGTTATTCGTCAAACCTCCAGCATTTTCGAGAGCAAAGATTTTTTGCACACATCACATTCGACACACGGAGCCACACGCACATACACACCTGTATTTAGAAATAGAAATTTTTTCAATAAAACCTTTTCAGTTGGACACAGTTGAATTTTGTTTTTTCGTTTCGCTGTATTTTTACGCTCTACACACAACATTATAAATATAACTTTCTTATATATTTCACATTGATAGAAATTATAGGCATAATATATATATTATATCTTATGCCTGCTCTTTTCATTTCGATACGATGTACAACTTAGAGAAGGAATTTTGTTAGTAGAATTTTCAGAGACTTTTGTCAAGAAGAAAATGTAAATTTTTTTATATTCACAACTATCACACTATCACGCGTCTGATTTGAAAAGGATTTATATAGTGTGCGGAGCGTAAAAAAAGAGAAAATCCTTGCATGCTTCCAGTAGGAAAAATCCTAACTTTTTAACTCCGATTTGGGTTTTTGGTTCCTTTCTCTTTCCCAAGATCCTAGGAGCAAATATTGCGTGTAATTTTGTTACATTCTATTTTTTTTACAGTTTCGAGAGGAATGTTGAAGTGTCGCAACAAACATTACTTGTCTGATTTTAAGTGCTTCTGCTACAATTAATCCAGTGCTTTATGTAATTTTGTTCTTCGTCGATTTGTTTTAAATTCAACGAGTGGGGGAAACAAAAGTAAAAAAGAAAAGATTTTTACGCAAGTAAAAAATGTATAAAACACTATCTCTGTAATACTTTGTCGATTTATATAATGTAACAAATTATTTTCCAAGTTTGGAATGTTTCGTATATTTTAGATGTGTGTGAGAGAAATGGCTTGTGGATCTCTAAACGTGTCACGTAAGGTCCATACAACATTATGCGTACAAGAATGAGTAGATTGATACTTGATAATTTGTCAGTTTGGAATGTTCCTTTAGTGTTGAACTTTGCTTGCTCTCTGTAAAAATTGGCTAAGACTAATATATTGTCAGATTTAAAATATTGAAGAATATCTCTCTCCGTATTAATTTGATATAAGAACTTGTGCCTTCTTAAAGAGATATATTTTATTGTAATCTGATTATTTTTTGTACATTTTGCTGCCTTAGCCGATTTTTAAAGTATGTCCTTAATATTGTAGTTAAATGGCTGTACATCTTTTAATAATGGGTGTTTGTTCTAGAGACCGTAGTATTAGAAATAACTGACACGTAAAGATAACCAGTTAATATCCTCTGACACGATATAACTGCTTGTCTGTGTGCATGAATAATAACGACCATGTAATAAAACAACTAAGCGCGCGAATTGCAAGCTATTCTTCTGTCGCACTACTTCATTAAAAAAGTACTTTAAAAGCAAAATCGATTAAGATAATTTATTAATCGCACGTGGGCAAGGTAAGAGGGAATTTCTATCGAATTCCAATCGGAGAAATGAGCAAACCCAAGTAGCAAACTGACGTCATTTTGACGTTCAATAACATCATTCAACGCGAAAGTGACGTACGGTTGCTACGCGTTATGTTTCGTAAATAAAACAATGGATCCGTGAATTATCGTCGTGTACAGATGACGGGAGTGTTATATATAAAAATGCGAAATGAATCTTCTTCTCCCCAGAGAAAAGAAACAACCTGACTATCTTTTGTAGATTATACAGCATTACCGCCCGATCTGTCGACCGATTGGATAACGTCGGATTACCCTCTGAAGCCCGGGCTGACCGGGCCGTACATCATGCCGATGCCAGTCCCGATGCCGACTCTGTACAACGGCGAGACGAAGAGGTCGAGGCTGAGCATAATCGAGCTGGTCCTGTACGACATCGCGGCGATGCTGGCCGGCGTGGCGGCCGGTTACGATGTCAGGATGTCGAATGTATCCCCGATCCATCCCCGGCTATATCCCAGACTGGGCGGCGAATGCGACGGCGAGGAGCAGGCGTCTAAATGGTGGTTCCTGGCGGACGGAGGATCGAATCGCAACTCCTACCTCGGCGCCGATTACGAGTTCAGCTCCAGCAGCGGCTATGCACACAACACTTATCACGGACGGGCACACCATTACAGGTAATCCGCCTGAAAAGGGAACAAATTATAGAGATACGAAGAGTTCCTCGTACGTTTGTTTAGCTTTCTCTGATATTTACCGAGTAATCTTCCTCGCAGACCGTTCCTAAGCAATATGGGTGGCATAGCGCCTGGTCTTCCAGCCACGGGGATGCCGCCGGATAAGCCTCTGCGCTTCACAGACTCACCGCAGCATTACACGAGCAGTATAACGGGCTCCAACGCACCGACGCCGAGTCCGAGGAGGAAGAGCAGCAGCAGCACCAGCAACGAGGACGCGTATTCGCACGAGGCGCCTCGCGTCGATCCTCGGATGGAGAGGGTGCCGACGATATACATGGGCAACGTCGCCCCGTTCCCGGATTACGGACCCCCGGTGTATTCCGTCGTTCCGCCAGAGTATTATCGGCCCCCTGAATCCTATTTCGTACCTACGGAATATCAGTAAGCATTTATATACACACACATATATATATATATAGCAAGGTAGCAAGCATACGTCATTTTCAAGTCTAATGACGTCAGTTTGCTACTTGGGTATACATATATAATTTATATAATTATATATATAATTTATAATGTAAATAGGATAATAGTAAATTATATGTAATTAAATTATATAATTATATATATAATTTAATTATACATATATAATTTATATAATTATATATAATATATGAATCTTAAAGGGTAAGTCTGGACTAATTTTTCGTTTCTTTTTCTCTTCAGTGACCGGATGCTCGAATGCCCCGAGTTCCCGCACGCATATGACAATCCAAGTAGCATGAATAGCCCGGCAAGGCCGGTGTCGTCTAGACTTTTGCCTTACACGCATCACCGAACCCCGTCGAACGTGTCGAACGCGAGCACGTCGAGCCAGAGCAACGTCAACCCGACGTTCCGACTGGAGGACGAGGACGATTACGGCGTGTACTCGCCGGTGTCGTATTACCAGCGACCGTCGAACGTTATTTCGAACCTGGTATCGACGTACAGCACGACTATACTGAATCACGAGTACGGCTCGCCGTTGCTGACCCGGCAGAACTCGCACTCCGACTCCAACTCGAACTCGGGCGAGCGACCGAGCAATCTTGAGGTCGTCACTCGGCTGCGCTCCAGCCTGAAGAGATCCAGCCACAGCAGTAATCCGTACAGCTCGCCCAGCAAGAGCGTGAGCAAGAACAATTCCGGTTCCGGCACGCCGACGAACCCGACGCCACCGGACTCGCTCACGTCCGAGGATTCGAGCTACGTTTCCGCCAAGGACAGCCAGATCTCCATCGGCCGCGTGCGCTTCTCGCCGGTGACGTTCGATCGCGATGTCGCGCCAGCGCGTGAGGTTCACGTGAGGGACACGCTGCTGGACATCCCGGTTCACGGTCAGAGCCAGGATGTCACGGTGCCTTTGCAGGCGAATCGACGTTTAAATCGGAGCAGGAAGCCGAGCATCTCGGAGCTGGAAAGAGAGTTCTTGTCATAGCACTGGCTTATTTAAGATCGCAGAGCTCTCATTTATCTAGGTAGAATCTGAAGCGTCGACGCTTCAGCTATTTATCGAGATCTTTAGGGAAAATCCGATCTCCTTGTATCAATCGCGACGATGATCCGTAAAATTCGAGCCGGTCGACCGGTGGAAGAAGAAGCGATAGGGAAAAATTCGCGAAACGAATTGCACGTTGTCGAAGCACTGCCTCCCCGCGGACGATTTTCATCATTATATATTAATGAGTCCGGGAATCAACATTCCATGTAACACACGTACAATCCAGCGAAATTCGTGTAACGTAACGTAATGTAATAGGCGATTAGACGATTTTTAATATGATAATCGTCGTGTTGTAGCCACTCGCGTGGCTATTATATATTTATGCAATTTGATATTTCTTTGTGGTTTGTCGAGACATTCCGAGAATCGTTATCATGTTTGTATAATTAACGTTTTAACGATATGCGTATATATTTGAAAGTGCAAATAGGAAAAGCGATACGCGACTTTTTGCGAAGGAGAAGAGTTATCGAGGATGTGTAAACATGTTACATGCAATTCCACTTATGCTAGTAAGATTAAGAAGGAAACTTTTCTTCTCGTTTCTTAGCTCATCGCGTTATTCGATTTTATCTCAGCGCGAAACTCGTAAATATATAGCTCGTACTTATAGCACGAAATTTTACATTCGTATGTTCCTCGATAACGAAACTTTTGGTGATATTCGGCGCGAACACGAAACATTCCAGAGAGAAACTTGTCGGAACGGATTACAGAACTGTTTTACGCAATGTAGAATTAACATTTCGTCTCAGATCTCGAATCGGATTTAAATAATCCTAAAGTTATTTTTTCCAGAGTTTATGATAAATGCTAATAGAGGAAAATGTCAATTCTACATTGCACGGTTCAATTGGAGAATGAGAAACAGTATTTCAATTAAAGAATGAGAAACAGTATTTTCTTAGACCAGACAATGCATTGCGCGTACCTTCATATTGATTTTACCTAAATTGAATTTTCCTATTATGGTATTATCAGTAGAGTCTTGGCAAAAATTGCGTAAATTTTATGCGTTTTGTGCAACTTGTGTGAGCAAATCACGTTAAATTACAGGTTTGTTCTTTATTGCTGCACTGATGAACTAGTGCATACTAGTGCAATAAGTTAGAGTAAAACAAAATATACTTATCTTACTTTAACTTATTGCACTAGTGTGCACTAGTTCATCAGTACAGCAATAAAGAACAAACCCTACGTACGCATCGGCAGCTCGATTATTGTACATTAAACAAGAATATGTAAGATTGTTAGAAGAATATTCTCGTTTGTCGAACTAAAAACAATCATTTATATAATTATATAATTATATTAATATACAATTATGTATATAATATTATATAATCATATAACTATATATATTATATATAATTTATATATAATATATATATATATATGTATAATATACGTGTTATATATAATTTATATATAAAATCGTATAACTATATGAATTATATATATATTATATATTGTATATATATATATATATATAATATATACATATTACATAATTATATAATTATATATATTATATATAATAATATTACATAATTATATATAATATTATATATAATAATATTACATAATTATATAAATATTATATATAATTATATATAATAATATATTAATTAATTATTTATAAGTAACAAGCAAGCTGCAAAGTATTAATTGTAGTATTATGTACTTAGCTAACTTTTTCTTGCGATTAAGTGTATTAATCTACAGTATTTCCGACATAATCTCTCCTTTTTATCGCAATCAGTGTAACTAGTCATTTATTATTGTATTTAAAGTTGTACCATTGTTTTTTTATGGCGATACAATTCCATTTTCTTTCATTTCAAGGAAACAAAATAGCTAAATTAGATAAAATTTTTGAATTCCAAAATTTGTTAAATTAGACCATTTTTATTCATTAGACAAATTTTTAATAATTTTTTTATAAATTGTATAATATTTGGGGGTATCTATTCAACTTGAAAGATTTATATAAATGTGGAAAAGGGTGCTGTATCGCTATTAAAATAGCGTTTCTGCTCAATGATACGTTCTGTTGCGATGCACAATTGGAGATGTACATGATTATACATCCATCCATGGGTACTTCTTCCATCTCTTAGGACGAAGCGACAAAGCGTACGATCGATAAGTAATGCTTTCGAAAGACATGTACAGTTTTTGACACAACGTTTACGTGGATTATCGTCAGACGTGATTCGGTAAACTGCGTTTTGCGCAGCTGTCACGCTCCTTTTGTACCTTATGAAACAGTGCGCCTCTTTATAAACGATTTGCGTGTCTGTAGAAAGTATCCAAAGCGTGTAGTAGGCAATTACAATGATGCAGCTGTGCAAAACGCGAATTATGTGTTTGTAGGGATCGTTTTTGGAACAAAGATCCCTCTTTCCCTCTCTCTTTTTTGCGCGCACGTTGTACATATAGAAATAAGGATAATATTATTATTGTTTAATGACGTTTAGCGACTCTATACTCGTACATTCCTTATACAGTTCACGCGTCTTCACGATATCCACGGTGTATTTGTCGGAATGATGTAAGTCGGATTTTTTTTGTGAATTTCTTGCATCGCACCGATAACGAATATAAGCGTTTCGATTTAAGCGTGATATGGGTGTCTGTGTTAACTTCTTTTTAATTGAAATTATTCAGGGATATGTCGAGAGGGATATTCGTGTACCGAATAATGCAGACTCGATATGCCCCGAATGTACATACATGATTGTTGAGTAACGTAACAAAAGCAGTGAACGTAACTTTAATTTATCGATATTACGATAAAAAATAAGGATTGCTCGAATTCACTTTAAATTTGTAAAATCAAAGTTATTACATTGTGTCTACGTCGTGTTCGAAGAAATCAAAACATTATTTGTATCGTCAACTTCACATTATATATACAAAGTCGCAAATTTCTTTTTATTTTATCGTCGCGGAAGAGTCTTTTCATTTACACTGTTTGCTCGAATGACGATCATCAGTATTGTAGATAATGATGTACATTGTACATAAAACGCAAAAAGTGGTTAAAGAAAAGAGTGATATTCTTTTATGACTTTGCTGAAATGATTAAATGAGTTGCAATAAAAAAAAGAAGAAAATATGAATCAATCATAAAATTCTTCCAGAAAGGAAGAAATTCCAAGGGTAAAAGATTTGAATTCGAATCTTTCTTAGAGAAATATGAACTTGACATCGAATTGGCAATATTCTGCAATAACGAAACTTTTGCAATTTTTTTATCTAGACTTTGCAACTCTTTCTCTCAAAAATCAGCTTTTTATCCAATTGTGCATAATTTTAGACAATTCTGTTTGCATTTTGTAACAATTATCTTTCTCGCGACGCATTTAATGGGTATATGCCTTTCTAATAATGTGTGCGAAGGTATTCTGCGGTGCTAATATCACGTACTTAAATAAGCGACACGTAAAGAAATTCAAAATGCTTCCATAGATAATAGAGAAGAGAGAGAGAGAGAGAGAGAGAGAGAGAGAGAAAGAGAGAGAGAGTGTGTGTGAAAAAGAAATATTTGACAAAGTGTTGGAAAGAGCGCTGATATATCGAGAGAATAATTGTTCATATATTATAATAATTATGTAATTTAATTGTACGAGGATATACATATATATATATCCAAGTAGAACAGAAAAGTCCAAGTGATGTCAATTTGATGTTATATCGACCAAATTTGGACTCCAAATTTGATCAATATGATATCAAATTGACATCTTTTTTTTCTTTTTTGTTTTACTTGGACATAAACACACATATATATAAAATATTCGCGGCAGCTATTGATTGTGTAATGGCGTATCGCCGACAGTGCTAGTCTAAGCTATATTTATTTTTTATATATATGACAAAACACTTTAGCCTATAGAGATTAATGAAAATCCGATTTTATACTTTATTAGAGAGCATTTACGCGGAATATGTTTGAATCGTTGGACAGAACGTGTATAAGAGAAACGTGTGTTCAGAATAATTCTATACATAGAGATAAACCAAGTTGTATCATATCAAGTAAAACTTGAAGTCTCTTTATATATTATCAGTCTATAAATAAATATATATATATATATATATATATATATATATATATTATATATATACACATTTCTGTAAAAAAACTCAATAAATTTATCGTGTATCTCGTTCATATGATATATTACGCAAAATATACCAGTAATTTATTTCTTTCAGATATTTTCTTATTGTGATATTTCAGATAAAATAATTTCTCGATCAAAATCTTTCATGTGGGGAAAAAAACATGCAATGTGATATTGAAATAATTGATAAAATTTATAATTTTGAAGGAAACTAAAGATTTTATCAGACTCAAAACTCTATAGCAGAGTATAAAATTTCTTCCTTCAAACACTTATATATTAGCACCACATCAATGTTATTATGAATCCTTTTCTCTTCTATTCATTCCCTTATTATTATATGTCTTTGCCAAATTTGTCGTGCACTTTGATACAGGATAAATTTATCAAATTTGTCTGCAAACATAATAAGAATAAGATAACTATGCGAAATTTTAACAGCGTTTTTACACAATAATATACGACTCACGTTTATATGTACGATAAAGTTGTCACTAGTTTAGTTAGATCTAAAAATCGAGATACTGAAAAAAAACATACACATAAAAAATAATACTCATCGTGAAACATAACAAGATCCCGTTGCTCTAAACCTGTTTCTTATTTAAAACGTGTAAATATATATATAATATATATATATATATATATATATATATATATATATTATGACGTACCTATATATAATAGTTATATCTCGAGATTGCATGCATTGCTTGCGCGAATTAGCAAATTGTACAATAATAACGACCATGACCAAGATGATTAATTATTAAACGAATTGTCTAATCGATGTACACACGTTCTGTGATAGCTCCTTATTCAGATATTCGCTACGCTTGCGATGCGTGCAGAAAGTTTAATGTACTTATAACGTAATATATTTCATAAGTATAAAAACAATTCAATACAATTCTTGGGGCTATCACAATTTAGTGTATATATTTATATATATATATTTATTTAAGTTTTTCCTTTCCAGTATTCCTTTGTAATACTGCGATAGCTATAGAGAGCGTAGAAACGTCGCAAAAAACAGTTGATTTGGAATAACATGGAATAACTCTGTAGCTTATAAGTATGTTAACGATATAAGCTAAGTGCAATGTGTTCCACGTGTATTTAAGTGAGAATAATGAATCGCTTCGGTGCGCGCCTTAACGAAAAAAAATAATAATATGTATATCGCGAAATCCCAATAACGCTTTTGACGGAAAAATTGTTCAATGTAATATAACTTTCATCGGCGATTTCGCAAAATTGAGTTTGGGAAAAAATCACTCTCAATCGTAGGAGTCGAAATTTAGAATAAAAAAAGAGGAGACGATTTTTCCTGTAAACGATATAGATTGCCAAACACGACGAGCGAAATCCTAATCAAGAATCGTTTTTATCTACGAGCAGGGAGAGAAATGATTAATATTATATAGTATATATATATAGACGAATAAATAATTAATTTCACGACAGAGATTCCCCGAGAACTCGATTATTTAAAAAAAAGAAATATATCGCAATAATATATTCTGTCTTCGATTTTTTATGTGCTGTTCTTTACTCCTTATTAGAGTGTCTGATGTGTCTGACCTGCACTAAAAGTTAATGTATTTTTCCAAACATTGTACATTTTACTCTATAAATATTAATTATATAAATGATATAAATAATAATTATATATATACATAGAATATATATATATATATATATATATATATATATATATATAAATGATAATAATAAGAATAATAATAAACTTTATTACTTTATTATTATATTATTATTAATTACTAATAATACTATTAATGGTCGTAACACTTTGTAGCGATATGAATCACAAATAATGCATTCTATTCATTTTTATATTTTATTCTTATTATTATTTTTATTATTATCATTATTATTATTAATAATAAATAATTTGAAATAACAGCATTAATAAGTTTTTTAGCTTTTTGGGTGACCACATACACATTTCATGCTTTCCATATTCCTATATTAAAGTTTAACGTTTGCGAAAAGTAAAGAAGACGATATTCTAATGTTGAAACAACAAAAAATGTAAAAAAATCGAGGTAATATTTTATAACCCATTATTTATCATTTATCATCTTATTGCAGAAATGTCACACAATTGTTTACAAATATAAACGCGAAACCGTAATGACAAAATTTCTCGTCGCGTCATATATTTGCATATATGTGACTTGGCAATAAAAAGATAACGTCAAAAAAAATAAAAATAAAAAAAACATGGTCACTTATTGCAGTTGCAAGGATGTCGTAATTACGGAGGGAATATTTGGAGAGATTTATGCCGGTACTTTGTTATTTCATGTCCAGTTTTGCATTGAAAGCTGATTAATTACATAAAAGCCTTCTTTATGCTCTTACAGAATCTTCTAAGAATAAAACACGTCACTATGACAGTAAAGAAAATAACGAGACAGAATTATCCTCGTATATCAATGATGAAGGACCTCGGCTGATACCAGTGAAATCCTATACGATGATTAATAAGAAAGGGATAGAGATCACCGTCATTTCTTGGGGTGCCACGATCATCTCGCTAAAATATCCGGACAAGTTCGGAGACATCGCGGATGTTGTGCTCGGTTTCGACGATTTGAAGAGTATGAACTGATCAATTAAAATATTGATGCTCGATTAATTGAATCTTGATTCTAATTTACAAGACTGACTGATGTTGCAGGCTACACGAATCCCAATATTAATCCATTCATAGGATGCATACTGGGTAGATGCGCGAATCGCATAAAGGATGGTTGTATCGTTATTAAGGGTAAAACCTACCAGCTCACCAAGAACGACCTTGGCAAACATCATCTGCACGGAGGTGTAAGCCTCTTTCCGCTTCGCGGAAATAAAAAATGTCTTTTACCATTTTTTCTTTCCTTTTTTTAGGCCAAGGGCTTTGGAAGACGATTATGGAACTCGTACGTCGACGGCTGCTCGGTCGTTATGACTTACTTGAGCGAAGACGGCGAAGAAGGATATCCTGGTGCAGTTTTGTGCACGGTGAGATTCAAGTTGACACCTGATAACAGGCTGGAGATAGGCATCCGGGCGACCACAACAGACTCCACGATAGTCAACATCACACACGGTTCCTTGTTCAATCTCGCTGGACATGTAATTATCAAAACATAATATATTAATTATGTAAAATATTAATTATGTATAAATTCAGTAGGAAGTTGAAATCATCATTTGTAGAATTAAAAGCAAACTAATGTTTTATATACCTAAACACATATGTTATCCTTTTCTTGCAAGTCAGATGTTGAATGGTTCTAGCTTTGATGAGAATCATGTGGATAGATATTTATATATTCATCCTGTATGTAATTGTAGGACGCTGGCAAGAAGGAACTGATGAAACACAAAATTTCATTGAACTGCGATCGCTGGACCTTTGCGGATTATACTGATCCGATTCCAACTGGTGGTATCAGAGGAGTTGGAGGAACCATCATGGATCTACGTATACCAAAGTTTCTGGAGAGCTGTATAGAGAAGGTCTATTTTTGCATAACAGATTAATATATAATGTAATATGATCTCGATAAATAGCATAAGTTTATGTAAGCTACAGGTTCCTCCAGGAGAGGGATACGATCATAACTTCTGCGTCACGCCAAATTGGTACGGAGGTAACACTCATATCGCACGAGTCAGTTATCCAGGAAACGGCCGGTAAGGCTTATAATTATTCACATTATATATATGGATACAGTCAATTAACAAACTGACGTCATTAAATATCTAAATGACGTACGTTTGCTATCTGGAAGTATATATTTTGAAACTTAATAATCATATTATCATATACATATCTATATATGCAGCATTTTGGAAATTTATTCCGATCAGCCTGGTGTACAGTTTTATACAGGTGGCCGTTTGTCAGACATAGTTTCTGAGGTAGTCTCACTTAAATATCTAAATAATTAACATACAATGATAACGAACATATTAATTTGTGTATCAAAAGAGTATAAAAATATTACTACGTTTTTACAAGAAAATATAATATTACAATCGTAGACTGGTAATAATGTTGAACAAAAAGACAACTCGAATCATGACGAAGAGCAAGAGGGAGAAACATTGATGACCGATCAAATGGAACAAGATGCGATATCTGAACCGTCGACTAAATTTCTTTTGGGAAAGCAGGGCGCTCGCTACGTAAAACACTGTGCTTTCAGCATTCAACCACAAAACTATCCAAACGCCATTAATTTTGTAAGTAGTTAAGATGTAAAATTATATTCTTATGGCATTTATTGATTCATAATTCATGTGAATTAATTTTCTCTTTCAGTCACACTTTCCTTGCTCCATTCTACGGCCCGGAGAAATGTACCGACACGATCTAATTTACAAATTTGGCATCCAATTGGCCAATTATATGTGATATATACATATACAATTAAAGGCGCATTAAATATTCCTTGTAGTTGGTACAAAAAATATTTAGTATGTTGAGATATGTTATAGTATCAGCGAAAAACATGAATCTTTAAATTATAAAAAAAGTTTCTATTCAAATATTATAATCAGTTTCATATTACTGAAAAAAAACCTTTGACTAGATATGATTAAAACGTTTCAAATAATCTAATAGTAAATTAGTTGATCTATTGATATATGCATCACTGTTATTATTATCATAGATTAGATTGTTTTCGTTTCGCTGAAAAAAATTTTGCAATGTTACCAATCACGGGTCCAAATGAATCGTTGATCGTCACGGAACGTTGAATCCACTGCGGTAGTACTTTGACTTTATGACGATAATGTTTATCTAACAATACAACTGTCGAATAATCATTAATATGACGAACGGATCGGCCGATGCATTGATTCACCGCTTTCATGCACGAGTTCTCGAAAAAACTGCTTCCAGCGTCCGGTTTCTAAACAGAAATGGTAAAATGAGAGGATATTAAAACATTATACTAAATTATAATAATAAATTTTACTTAAAGTGATACAAACCACATGCTCATTTAAGTATTTCATCTTTTCTTGCAACTCTGGTGATTTGATGTTGGGATATGGCAAGCCAACAACTATAACACATCGACCCAGATTGTCAGAAAAGTTTAAACCTTCGCTTAATTTACCACCTGCAATATATCATGTAAATTAGAGAATTGATTATTTGGTTTTCTTATCGATAACAAAATAATTTTCATAATATAATTCTCTAATTTATACTCACCGACTACACTGAACAGTAATGATCCATTACACGGAGGTTGTGGATTCTTGATAGAATGTGCATATTGATCTAATATTACGTTGACCTACGTTTTATAAAATAAAATGTATAAACACGTTTTTACATAATATCAAGCATAAAAATTAACAATTAATATAACAAAATTAATTACTTGTGATGCTAATTTAGGTTCACGGTAAATACGTTTCTTTACAGATATTTTTGATATAATGCCAGATTTATCCAAATGATTGAATACTGTGTCTTCATAGTTGTAAGATGGGAAAAATATTACAATTCCAGCTGGTACAATATTACATAAATTTAACAGAGCTCTACCTAATTCATCCAGCTAAAACAAAATGTCAATTTGAATATTTTGCAATTAATTTTCATCTATCAAGATTATATATGTGTGAATACAAGTATTTTCGAGATTTATTTTTTTAAATATAAGAGGAAAAATTTTATTACCAGTTTTGTATTTTGCCGATTTTGAAAATTAAATTCGAATTCAACTCCAGTTGGACCACGTGTTACAATGTTGGATATAATATTTTCTTTGGGAATTACATGGTCGCATGAAAATGTCATGATTCTATCTGGCGTTGCACCTGCCATTAAGAACAGTTGATCTATAAATTCTGACATTGGCTGCATTGTGCCACCAGCCAGGACCACTGATCTGACATCTTTCACTATTTTGCAATAAAAAATATAAGTATAAAACAAGAAGTACATGTACTACATAAGTATTTAATGTACTTACTTACCAATATCATGAAAATGCGATGCTGGATTTAACAAGAGAAATTTTATAATCCCTTGTCCAATAGTAGCACCAGGTAAAACATATATTCTGCCATCTGTGCAACTGCTTTTCAGGCACTCTAGGAAGTTTAAAATTGCCATCAATGGATTGCTTGTTGGATCCTCGTTGTTATCAGGTACATTCGCGATACTGACGGTTTCTTGAGACGCTGCATCTTTATTTTTAATTGAGTTTAGAAATTCCGTAATACCGGACTTCTTGATTTTTTGTTCATTGATTTTTATGCTATTGCCATATTGCTCGACAAATCCTTGTAATTTATGAATGAGTTTTGAAGTTTTAACAAACTCCAACAGCTTGAATATATTTACTGTATCAATTTCTGTAAGAAGCTCGAATTCCTCTATTTTGTATAATTTGGGTGTTATTGCTTTATCAATCTGGTCATTGGGATGAGATTTTGTTGTTGCTCCAAAGAGAGTTAGAAGCTTCTTTAAGCAAAAACTTAGTTGACCCAAGTGTAATATGCTTTTAGCCGAAAATAAAGTTTCAAATCTGCAATCACATATACATGTATACATTATTCTCAATCAGAAATTTATTTAATAATCTTATCAAAAAATACATAGATAATATTGCAATAATACCTTTTCTGATATTGCGATAGCTGACTGTAACAATGGAGTAGATTTCTTCCTGTAATTATAGAACTGTGCATTCCTTCAATGGCATCCAGTAAATTATGAGCTTCATCTATTATCAATATATTTCCTTTCAAGTCTATTCCTAAACTGTCTCTTGTGCTCTTATGTAGAATGGAGTTGTATGGAACTAATATCAATTGTCCATTTTGCAGAGATTTTCTTGAGCCATAATATGGACAAGTATTATTTTCCTGCCCTTTTTGTACAATCTCTTCAACATCTTGAATATTTGTTAGAACTTCAGCCATCAGCAATTTCTGATCACCAGGTATGAAAGGACAACCGCTTGTGGTTTTCAATTTCTTTAGATCTTTCTCCTTTTTAACAGTAGTCTTCTTCTTTTGTAGCTGTAGACATGTTTCATTGATCAGACTGATATGTTTTAATCTCTTGACATTTTTGTTAATGCAGTAATTTTGTCTGGAAATACAGCAAAGTATTAATTTAAAGAGAGAATTAATAATAGATAAAACATTAAACAATTATAAAGATACCTTGATGAGAGTGGTACCACAGAAACATCTTGTGAATAAGGAGATCTCTTCAATTCATGCACAAATTGTGTCAATTGTGAATGTGTTCTGGAACAGAAAAAGATCTTTGTATTCTTAAATAATGGTTCTTCTTCTGCATTTTCTTCCTCTGAGTTTTCTGAATTTGATGCATCTTCCAAGATAAGATCCTTTTCAATATCACAGACATCAGTGTCAATTTCCTTTGTTTTACTAGACTCTGCAAACTTTGTTGCAAGTTGTCGTTTAATTTTCCCAATTGTTTTAGTTTTAGCAGCCTTCTTTGATTCAACTATCCTTTTAAACTTTTCTCTCTCACTTTCATATTCGAGGAGTGCATTTAATTTAGCTTCCAATGGCTGTTTCTGAGCATTTAATTCTATTTGTTCTGTTTGCACTGTAAACCAATCATCAGATGGCTTCTTGCAATTCTTTAACTTGTCATCTATTTCTGCAATTGTAGAACTTAATTCCTGCTTCTTCCATTTCTCATGATCGATCAGCCATTTAAGCGCACCACAAATGAGAGACAAGGATTTTCCAGTACCAGTTGGACTTTCAAAAAGACCTAATTTACCATTTTCTAAACAATTGTAGAGCTCCTTCATAAATTGCTTTTGAATTTCATACGGTGGAAAGGGAAACTGAAATTCTTGCGGTGGCTCCATTCTTGTGCACTCCAACTTTGGAAACTAAGGTTCTAAATTGTATGCAATATTTATTGCTGGCATTCAAAATTATTACACTTCCTCAGATGCAGAAATAATTGCACCATCTTTTCTGAAAAATAGAGAAAATATTATTTTATTATTTTTACTATTATTTTATTAATTTTTATATTATTTTATTTTATTATTATTATATTATTTTTACAGATCTTGACAAAACTGATTTTTAGCAAATTAAATTAATATTTCTAATGTAATAAATAAACAATATACGCACATAGTGACATAATAAATCATCAGCTGTATTTCTCTCTCTGCCACAAAACTCGCTGCTGAGTTTCCCGCTTATTTTGTTTTTGGAAGAGAGATTCAAAATTACGAGAAATGCTTCGAGTATATAAATGTAAGATAGAGAGGTGACTCTCTAAATCGGCGAGAGCCAATCAGCAGTCGAGGATAAAAGGTGCATGTAAAACGAATAGACCTAAAATAAAAATGGCGCGTACGTTAATGTAGACATAACCAGAAAATGAAAAACGTGTACATGATTAATAAGTTTTATTAAAGAATTTATGGACATGCACTTACGTTTTTAATAATAGCGTTTAAATAAACCTCCTTGAGACATGTTGACAACAAAGATTTTTTTTAGGAAGACGAAGGGAGGAAATATATTTAAGGTATGATTTTTCGAAGTATAGATTTTTCTCTTGGTAATTTGTAAAATTCTCAAAATTTTTTATAAAATTAAATTTACACATTTAATTTTTTGTATAAAAAATGTCTCATAATATTATACCTTAATAAGGTATGATTTTTCTTTTGGTAATTGTAAAATTTTAGAAACTTTTATGAGATTGAATTTACACATTAATTTTTTTATAAAAAATTTTTTATAATATATATGTATAATACTTTTATTACAAGGATATTTAAGGTATTTGCTTTTATTTTAGACTGTCAGAGAACACTATCTTAGAGATGATATTTACTGTGGATTTAAAGCGTGTAAGAAATGTAAGGCAAGATCTCGAAACATGATATTGGATGAAGAGGATGCTGGTGCGAAATCGTCTTTAATTTTATCCCCTTACGTTCTTATACTTGATACAAATATAATTCTGGATCAAGTAAGTCATTAAAATAATATAATACAAATATTCAATATATATAGTTTTAGTTGCATTTTGTTTTTGCAATGGTTTTATATTGTGTATAACAATTTTATATTATATAAATGTGATATTTGATTTTTATTTGTAGATAGATATATTGGAAGAAGATGTTATCACCAATGTCATTATTTTGCAAACGGTGTTGGAGGAGATTCGGCACAAAAGTTCAAATGTATATAAAAAGTTGAAAAACATTATAAAAGATCCAAAACGAAAATTTTATGTGTTTATTAATGAACATCATCAGTATGTAATATTTATTACATAGAACGTAGTGATATTTACAATTTTATAATTAAATATTTTATATTATTATTCCTAGGGGGACTTACATTGAAAGAGAACCAGGTGAAAAGATAAATGATCGTAATGACAGAGCAATACGAGTTGCAGTCAAGTGGTACAGCAATCATTTGAGTTCTGATGAGTACAATTTAAAAGTTGTTTTGCTAACAGAAGATGTAGATAATAAAAACGTGCAGATGAAGATGGTCTACTTGCTTTATCAAGTAAGATATATTTGATTTTCATATTATTAAGAACTATTACACAATTATAAAAATATCTATATTTTCTTTGCACAGTGGAAGATTATATTACATCATTGGAAAATTCAAGTTTTCTGTTGGATAAACTATGCAAACGTTCCTATACTATGAATATTCAAGGCCGAGAACTGTTTCCTTGTCATTTAACACCTGTGGAAGTGCATAATGGTATATCATCTGGCAAACTGTTGCAAGGAACATTTTCAGCATCGCGGGAAAATTTTCTTGAAGGAAATGTCAATGTTGAAGGAAGAGAGAAACCTGTAAGATATATATTTATATTTAATTTACAGATATTTTAATATTTAATATGCGGTATATATTACAGAAAATTGTTTTTTTTAAAGACAAAATATTTAATGTTTATTCAATATGTATGTGTAAATTATAAATTTTATAAATTTTTTATAAGTTAATAAATTTAATAAAAAATTATATGTAAAAATATTATATATTATATAAATATGTGAATATATATATAATATCTTAAATATATATAAAATGTCATAAAAAATTTTCAAATACTTGTCAAGTATTAATGAACTTATTAACTCAAACTCAATAGATATATGTTTAATTATTAAATTGTAATTATATTGTTTTGTATTATTGTTGTAGATATTTGTACAAGGACGTATTAATCTTAACAGAGCAGTCGATGGCGATATTGTTGCAGTTGAGATTCTACCAGATGATGAATGGTCATCTCCCAGTGAAATCGTTCTGCAGGATGAACAAACAGTAGATGATGCTGATGATATTTCAGAAGATGAAAAGGAGCTCGCTAAATCGAGCAAATTAACGAAAGAAAAAATACCAACTGGTAAAATTGTGGGTATTATTAGGCGGAAGTGGAGACAGTATTGTGGAATATTGCAGCCAAATCCGATTAAAGAAGTAAGAATCACACTATAATGCATTAAAACAATTTTTATGTTTATTGTGTATTACATATTGCTTATTGATATATAGAACATAAGACATTTATTCGTGCCAGCTGAGAGGAAGATTCCCAAAATAAGAATCGAAACTCGACAGGCTGAAATATTAAGTAAGCAAAGAATTATTGTCGCACTCGATTCATGGCCGCGAAACTCGAGATATCCACTTGGCCACTTTGTACGAGCGCTCGGCAATATAGGAGACAAAGATACAGAGAATGAAGTGTTACTTCTGGAACATGATGTTCCACATAGCCATTTCTCTGATGCTGTTCTTAGCTTTCTTCCAAAATTACCATGGATTATTACAGAAGTGGTAAAGATTTTTAATATATATATATTTTATATTTATTTATTTATATTTATTTATTTTAATTTATATATTTATTTTATATATATATATATATATTTATTTGATTGAAAATTCATTGAATCAGTCAATTTTGAATTACTGATTGCACAAAGAATGAGTCGACTCTACGAATATAAATAATTGAATGAATATAATGAAAAATGCGCGAATTAATTTATGCTTAATATAAAAGTGTGTAATTTATTAAATCTACAGGATATTGCGCAAAGAGAAGATCTTCGACATCTGGATATCTGTTCTGTGGATCCACCAGGCTGCACTGATATTGATGATGCATTACATTGCAGAAGTTTACCAAATGGTAATTTCAATGTTGGTGTGCATATCGCGGATGTGTCGCACTTTATAAGACCCGGAACTGCATTGGACAAGGAAGCAGCTTTACGAGCTACCACTGTGTATCTTGTCGATAAACGAATTGATATGGTCCCAGGTAAAAGTTTTGTTACAATTATATATTATTATATGTCGTATAGATATTTTTCTAGTATAAAGAGAATAAAGCGTATAATTATAAAATGATTAATATTTCAGAATTACTCAGCTCAAACCTTTGTTCTTTGCGTGGGAAAGAAGAAAGATTCGCATTTACTTGTATATGGGAAATTGACCCTGATGCAAATATAATCAGCACAAGATTTTGCAAATCTATAATTTGTTCGCGTCAAGCTATGACGTATGAAGAAGCTCAATTGAAAATTGATGACGTCACTCAGCAAGATGCTATTGCACAATCATTAAGAGGATTGAATCAATTAGCTAAAAAGTTAAAGAAGAAACGTCTTGAAAATGGGTACACTTATAAAATCTAAATTATATTTTAGATTATACTAAATTGCTTTTTACATTTAATAATATTAAATAATTTCTTTGCAGTGCTTTAACTTTAGCATCACCAGAAATACGTTCCAAGTAGACAGCGAGACTCACGATCCTATTGACGTGGAAGCAAAGAAGCTGAGAGAAACTAATTCTATGGTGGAGGAATTTATGTTGCTTGCAAATATTAGTGTCGCTGAAAAAATATTGGCAGAATTTCCAGAATGTGCTTTACTAAGAAGACATCCCGAACCACCGCAAAGTAACTTTGAGCCATTAATTAAAGCTGCAAAAAATCAAGTATGGATCTTAATTTAATTTAAAAATTAAATTTCGAAATTTAAGTATAATGAAGATATTCAAAAATGTATAAAGTTGCAATAATTTCTTTACATTAGTCACTCTATATATATTTATTACTTAATATCAATGGCTACAATATATTTTAAAATTGATTGTAGGGTTTTATTATTAATACAAGTACTGGTAAAGAGTTGGCGCGATCACTGGAAGAAAGTAATAAGGAATCGAATCCTTACTTTAACACAATGCTAAAGATATTAGCTACTCGATGTATGTTACAAGCGGTGTATTTCATCAGTGGAATGCATCAACAGGAAGAATTTAAGCATTTTGGATTAGCATGTCCCATTTATACTCATTTTACATCTCCCATTCGAAGGCAAGTTGTCCGAAAGCTATCACTATGCAATTAAATCAATTCCAATTTATACTTCTCTAATCGTATCACATGATTATCTTCTAGATATGCGGATATAATCGTACACCGATTGTTGGCCGTATGTATAGGCGCCGATGCAACTTATCCAGCTTTATTGGATAAAAAGAACAATCATCTGCTGTGTCACAATTTAAATTATCGAAATCGAATGGCTCAATACGCTGGTCGAGCTTCAGTTGCTCTTCACACACATGTTAGTATATTTAGTGTAAAAATATTTTACTAATATTCTTTGTTCATAATTTGGAACAAGAGAATTTGATCTTTTGACGAGATTGTATTGTGTGTTTCAGCTATTTTTCCGCAATAAAATTCAGGATGAGGAAGGATATATTCTTTTTGTCCGAAAAAATGCTTTGCAAGTTCTTATACCGAAATACGGTTTAGAAGGAACACTGTATCTAAATAATCCCGCTTCGTCGAACTCTGTCACGTTCACGTATAATTCAGAAGATCAATCTCAAACTTGTGGAAATGTTGTATTTCGGGCATTTGATTCTATCGTCGTGCAACTGAGTTTGGACAGATCTAATGTTCAACATGAAAAATTAGTTTTTAAACTCGTAAAGCCAGAAGTAAGTATATATCTATGTATAGAAAAAAAGATTAAAATTTTATTTCAATATATATTTCAAAAGAATTTATATAATTTAACATTTGTAATGTTTGTGTTAATTTTGTTTGATTATAGATTCCAGACTTTAGTATTCCTCCACTAAATAAAGAAACTGTCAGTGACACTGAAGAAAATTCTATGAAAGAAACATTAAAACGAAAGGCAGAAGTTCAACAAGAATCACCCATTGTTTATAACAAAAAAGTTGGGAAGAAGAAAAAGAAAAAGAAAAATTAAAAATACTCTATTTTAAAATAAATGTGATGCAAATTGTATATGATCTGGAATTGGATATGAATAAAAATGCATACATTATTTGATAAAAATTGTATTTTTTTTCTTATTTTTTTAACATTATTTACAACTTATAAAGTCTTTATAACAAAACAAAAAATTGTCAATAAACTATTGTTGGAAAATATTTTCACAAGAATCTTACATGCGCACAATGACATAGCATTATAATGCTTGATTTCAATTATGACATAGAGATATAATTATGTTTAAAATTAAGAAAAAAATCAAATTTTCTGGTGCTAATTGAAAAACGAAGATATGTATGATAAATAAAAAATATTTGATTACATCTGTCAGTCAAGCTTGATCATTACAAACGCAAAAAATGTTTTTTTATAATATATAAAAGAATATTAAAAGTAATGATATGAAAAATTAATATACAGTATATACAAAAATTATAGAGCAAATAACAAATTTTTAGTTATATACAAAGTACTCGACCACTAACGCATTTTCTATTTATAATGTAAGAATGTATTATGTTGGATGCTATGAGTAATTTTTAGCTTCGGATGCAATATATAAAATAGATGAGTATAATGTTAATGAGAACAGTAAAATGTACTGAAAAATGTTCACTAGTGTTTAACTAGATAAAAAAATCGAATTTAAAAATATATTTCATTCACAAATAGCACAGCAATAAATAATAAGATCTTATGCTGTACCGATACAAATAAATGAATTGTTTTTCTTATAATAATTCAATGAAAGAATGCTTGAGCAAGATGTTGAAAATATTTGCGCCTCCGTTTGAGATATCGCGCTTGATGATCCTCTAAAAAACAGTAGGCAATTTAAAATAAGTCAAACAAGTTGAAATTTTGAAAGAAAATTTATAAGCATACCCATTCAAAGTGTTGATAAAATCTTGAGTAGGCCACAATCGTACAATACCATCTATGCTTGCACTGGCAATATATTGGCCATCCAAACTCCAGTCTACATTCATGATTGTATCTTCGTGGCCTTTCAATTCAGTAAGTAATGCATTAGATGCTAAATCCCATATGGATATACATTTGTCATCACCTAAGCAACATGTTTCCAATAAAAGATAAATATTTATATTGAATATAATTTTCTGATTATATCATTTATATCTCTTGTTAGGTTTAATTACCTGCGGCAGCTAGATATTTCCCATCTGGACTAAAAGCTAAAGTGTAAATGGTCGATTGCGCTCCGACATATACCCGTACTAAATTCCCATCATCTTTGGCCCATAATCTTATGGTTTTGTCGGCGGAACCAGTCGCCAAGTATCGGGCGTTTGGATGGAATTTTATGCACTAAAATAAAATGTGGGCATAAATATATATCGTGTAATTATAATACTAAAACAAATATATACATATAAATCCATAATAATAAGAAACATACATTGACATCTAAAAAATGACCAGCAAATATTCTTAAGGGAAACGTTCTATCCAATGACCATAATTTGGCAGTTCTATCATGTGAACCTGTTGCGGTATATAAATTGAACACACTGGTATCCATACACCAAATCGGGTAACTATGACCACTGCAATAAAAAAATTCAACATTATATATACATATAATACATTTCATTATGTCGATTTGTATCAATTTGATGCAATAAGATTTATCGCGTTTTTTTTCTATTAAATATTGTTTAAGATAAAGTTAGCAATCAAGAGATGGAAAAAATGAACTAAAAATAATTGTAAGCAAATAAAAAAAAAGGGAAAATATATTAATTTAGAAACTATATAATTACAAATTTTAATGTTATTCGACTTGTAGTTAAATATTTTTATTTTACAAGATAAAAAATGTCACGATATTTTCTTTGATTAATTACTATTACCTGTACACTGCTGCGCACGAGTAATCGTTGAGTCTCCATGCTCTCATATCTTTGTCACTTGATACAGAAAGAAGAATGTCTGCTTCTGGAATAAATCTTAAATCGTGCACTACGTCTGTGTGCCCTCTTAATATTATCGCCCCTGCTTCGCTTCTTCTGTTGTTATAAAATTGCGTAATTGTTTCATAAGATGTTATATCAGCTTCAACTTAAATAAGAAAATAGTGTCGTCGCGACTTACATTGTGCTTTCGTGCTCGTTAAATTTATAAAACGGTGATACATCACAGACAAATGGAACATGCGTTTGCTTATCTTTATGTTTAACTAAAACCGTTTCACCTATACCCCATAAGCGTATTTCGGCCGTACTAAATCCTACCGCTAATTTATCCATTTTAGGTGCAATAAGACCACAACTTGCACTATACAAAAAAAATATATATATATTATGAGAGATACATTAAATATAAATATCACACATGCATCGTAGAAAAGATTTACAATCCCACTTACTTTTCCACAGCATTCTTCACTGTAAATATTCTTAATGCTTGATGAGAATTATTTCGTATTAATCGTATTGCTTCCTGTAATTCTCGCATTTCACGATCAACACCTGTACCAGATGGTTGTTCCACATGACCATTAATATTTGTTTCATATCTTTGACTTTTTTCTTCATGTGTCTCTCCATCCATTTTTGGACTGCCTGCCTTTCTGATTATCGTGATATGTGTATTTATAATCTATAAAAGAAAGAATTTTAACATAAAATCTTGACAGTAGATGTCACTAAGATTAAAAAAAAGCTAAACAATAAATAAATTCATATTTTGATTTTTTGCAATCTTTCTTTTGTGCTGTTAGAATATATTACTTCAATATCAATTGATAGAGAAATTAGTGGAAAAAAATTGAATATTGTGTTAATTCTTTAGAAAATTTAAATTGTGAAATATATTTAGATGTATATAAATGCAAATACAATTAATTATAGTACCTGCAGTAATATTATATGTCCACATCTTGTAAGATATTGTCGTAGAGAAATGTGAGCTAACTCAGACAGATCTACTTTGTACTTTCTAGTTCTGAATGCATTCACCAAAGGTCTCAATTCAATATCCTGTACTGAAAATACCCTAGATAATTCTTCTAAGAAATCTTTCTCAGTATCGCTAATAAATTCATTCTGATGCGCCTTAAAAATTGGATTGCAGCCTGTCTGTTACCAGCATGTAGCATCTCTAGATAAAGATGACAAAATATTGGATACAAAAGTCCTTGCAATTCTACTTTTATTTTTTCATTGACTATGATATTCATCCATTTCTTCAATCTAAAAGAATTAGAATTTTAATATATTGTATATCATAATTATCTTATTATTTTGTAAAATTGTTAGTATATTAACTAATATATTAACTTATTAATAAAAAAATATGTTAATTTAATATGAATAAGAGTATAAATATTTTTAATTTAAGATATAATCCAGAAATTATTATTAATAGTATAATTCCAACATGCTGACTGTATTTTATTGATCTGATAGAATTTTAATTCCTAATCTCAAAAATATCAGCTTTAACATTTTTATAACAACAATGATCACTGGTATCGTTTAAATCTTTGTTTCTACAGAAGAAGACATTGAATAAATAGAATTGTTATAAAACTCTGAGCATACTTTAACAAGACTAAACAATTTTATCTCAAACTTTTACTTCTTTCATAGAACTTGTAGAAATGAACTTTCCAAGAAATTATATAACAATCATAAAATTAATACACAACATTCTGTCTACATAGAAGATGCTTTTCTTCTTCTAGACTGGGCCAAGATTGTATACTATGCAGTCTGAAGAGGAATGCTAATTAGCAAACCTTACTGTTGATAAGCTTTATCAGCTGCAGTAACATCAATAGTGATCGCACTAAAAACTATGGAATTATCCTGAGAGGTTCCGCATTCAGCTGTCGCGTTTAACGTCATTTGGTCGCTGGTCTGACAAAACAACTGCTCGCTCTTGTAGTGGACGTCGTTGGTCTGCGAACATGACGGAGGTTACCACACCGTTCAGTTTTAAAAGTGATTTTAATTTTTGTGGGAAAAAAAGCTCCAAATAAATACGAGCACCTGATAATGACGTCGCTTCAAATAAGACTCGATCGTTGCGCTGATCACCTCGCTTTTCATTCGCTTCATCTTCATCGAGACCCCTCGACGTCCCGGATCGGCATTCACACAAACAGAAGTGCGTGACAGTCGCGAAAAATTACACACCATGCGACATCAATTGTGCGTCCTCGTCTGAAAAAAAAGAAAAGAATGTAGAGCGCCGTGTTCGGGTAAAGTTTGTTCCTGTTCAAAGTGCGATCTCGATTTTAGGATTTTGTCCAGACACATTCAGCCAATCGGAAGGCGTATAGTTACTTGAAAAGCGTACTTGAAATCATCTCGAACATGAAAACAGGCCCCAATGTCCAGCTGTCATGGCGGCGATTTGACAGCTCGCGATGACGTAAGAGGGCGCCACTTTGACATTTCAAGATCGTTTCGGAGCAACCGGTCATTTTTTGCAGATTTGAATCGGCGAAGTAAAGATGATTAATGATGTGTATTATTCGATAGAAATGACGAAACGGAAAGTATTTGCACTGAGGTATGCTAACGAGAGTTTAACTTAAACAATATCAATGTAATTTGTGCGAGTGCGCGATTATTGCATTCTTGAAAATTATTTCCAAAAAATAACCTGTTCTTTCCGCATAAAAGATACAATTGTTATTGTACATTATATATTTACATATATAAAATATAAATTAAAGTCTACAACTTAAATTCTCTATTATTTTCTCTTATATTATTGTATATATTTTCAATTTATTATATTATCTTTAAATCATTTATTATTTTTATTACTCATGCATTTATGGAAAATAATACGGTGCAATAACCTCATCTATTTTCTGATGAGTAAAAAAACATAATTCAAAGATGATATACTAAATAGAAAAAAATGTAATATAAAATAAAGTAATTAATATATAGATATAAATATGATAAAAATCTTTTTATTTTAACTTCGAATTTAAATTTGCCGAACAGAAAGAAGAAAGAAGAGATGAATATTAAAAAAGAAGAAAGAAGAAGGAAGAGAATATTAAAAAGCATAAAATGTCCGCAATGTTGAATTTATCTTGACAATTAAGAAATTAACTACAAATTAGCTGCAAGATTTGTAAAAATAAATAAGCTTGTACGTATATATTTTAACGTTTACGACATAATTATCTAAAAAAAACGCTCGCGTTTTTTCTGCATGTGTTACGTAAATCATTAACTCCATTTCAGACTCAAGCGCAGAGAATTAAACGTCATAAACGTCAGTTCCGTCACGTCGTCCGGCCCCTAGATCATCTCTGTTATCAAACGCGTCATTCGAAGAAGCGTGTTTCCGTAATCTGTTCGATCTTAAAGTAGAGGTCAACGCGGTCACCCGCTCATGTCCGATTCGTTCGGATTATATATGTAGCTAGCAGCTTTTACGATCACGTCGAAAATGACAGCGCCGAAGAATTTGATTAATTCATTAGACGACGCCGTGTGGGAGACTGTGTCGGGATTATCTTATGCGTATCCGCGATTGGAGCATCATCCATCGCACGGAGTCGTATTGTCGCCAGATGTAAGTATATATAACAGAAATACTTTTACATTAGTTAGATCTAGCGTCTTTGATTAGCGCCATTATTGTGTTCTATTAGAAGGTCAGGTTCACATATGTGTGATATAAGAAACTACTATATTATATATAGCTGAACAATTATATATTTATATATTTTAAATTAATATTATACATTAATTATATTTATATTATAATATAAATTAATATTATTATATTACAATGTAAATTTATAATATAATATTTATAATATATATAATATAAATTAATATTATATATATATAATTGTTCGGCTGACAAACAATAATAGAGACGTATCTAAAAGAATTTGATACACTGCCTTTTTCGTATAGTATCATTCGAATTAATTTAAATTTCTCGATAATAATTTAAAATAAAATAATTATTTATTCTATTATAAGTAATAAACTCGTTCAAATACAATTATTCACTTGTATATATGTTTTAGTGCAGAGATCGAAAAGATAAAGTAGCATTGCTTTGCGGTGGTGGCAGCGGACACGAACCATTTGCCGCAGGTAATTAATTCTCTCTTAATTAAGCCGCCGTTTTACCTCTATCCCTAGTACTGCTGAAAACTTCATAATCGAAAGATCTCTTGTTTTATTTAAATAAAATGAATAGAAGAGTATCTTCCTTGGAGAAAAATTAAAATTGTTATTGATAATATTTTCAATTTTCTCTCTATCGATTTCACATATTTTTCGATTTGAAAGTTATTATTAAAATGCTTTAAAAAATCTTTATTAAATTAAATTAGCTTTATTAATTTAGCAAAAGTCACGTGACTTAAAATGAAAACATAAATCTTTTCCCACATGACACATATTGTCGATTCTTTTTCACGCGACATTGTTTAAAATTATTTAAAATTATTTCTAGGCTTTGTCGGAAGCGGCATGTTGACAGCATCCGTAGCGGGATCTATTTTTGCGGCACCACCGTCTATACATATCACGCACGCTCTCCGGTGCATTGCAGAAAATAACAAAGGTTCTATCGCGTACGTTTTTTTTTGCATGTGGCTTATTTTATTGTTTATAAAAAAATGTTTCATTAACGTCACATCATCGTTTTTTCTTTCTTTCAGCTGGTATTCTGGTCGTGGTGCCTAATTATACGGGAGACTGTCTGAACTTCGGTATAGCGATCAAGAAGGCTCAACAAGCCGGCATCAAGGTGATAAGATTTCCATTCCATTTCTCCCGCGCATAAATAAATATACAAGAGAGAGAAGGAGAGAGAGAGAGCTATTAACATGGATATTTGCAAAATGTTCAGGTGGAGGAAATAATCGTCGGCGATGACTGCAGCATTCCCGCAAACGAGCAGAGCGTGGCCGGTAAACGAGGGCTGGTGGGCATGCTATTCGTTATCAAAATCGCGGGCGCTTTCGCTGAACGGGGGCTTTCTCTGGCCGAGGTAGTAGAAATTGCGCGAAACGTTTCGCTAAACACAGCGACGTACGGGGTCGGGCTATCAGCCTGCGCTTTGCCAGGTAATTCTACAGTTAGAGACAAGTTAAGTTACCGTTCAACTCGAGTCGAGACAAAGTAAATAAGCGAGTATCGCTAGACTGAGCAGCCACTTTCGAATGTTTGTTCTCTCATCATAAGCTTAAGTCTACAATCTTCCCGAAATATCTCAAAGAGATATATATGTATGTGTTGATAATCTTAGCGAAGGAAAAGTCGCTGACAGCTCAGAGACTCTATATGCGTATCGATATTTTACTAAAAAAAGGAAATTAATTTTATACCGATGAGAGAACATCTATCTATGGCTTATTTTAGAATCACTCTGTACGTTACCGAGAGAAAATTGAATGCAGGTCAAGGCCTCATGTTCGAGCTTGCACAGGACGAGATAGAGTGCGGAATGGGTGTGCACGGGGAGGCGGGATACGAGAGAATCAAGCTCGGGAGCGCATCCGTGCTGGTGACGCTAATGCTGAAACGCATTTGCGAGGCCTTATCTTTGGCCGCTAATGACTCGGTCGCGGTGATAGTTAACAATTTCGGTGCTTTAAGTCAATTGGAGCAAGGGATCGTCGTTTACGAAATTGTAACTCAGCTTCGTGAGTAACACGTTATCTTAATTCACTAGTATACCTAATACGGGCCATTTAAAGCGCGCCGGATTAATTATACCATATTAATTATATTCATTCGTTGACAAACAACATTGCTTAATTGCGAATCTTTGATAATGAACGTCTATCGTTCTTGTGATAAAATTTTTAATTATATATAATTTTCAATTATAATTATACAAATTTTCATTTTTAATTAACTCACTCTCTATTCTGGTAATTTCTCTTTTATTATACTTATAATCATGTTAATTCTCTCTCTCTTGATACACAGGAAATATGAAGATTGAGCCTGTTCGGGTCTATTCCGGTGTTTTAATGACATCTTTGAATAGCGCCGGTATACATGTGAGTTTGCTCAAGTTAACTGAAAGTTACGGGGATGTATTCGTCAAGTGCCTTGACGAAGAAACGACGGCACCTTGTTGGCCGGGTTGCAGCTATAGTATCCCTTCGACCGTCACACGTATCCCGTTTAAAGTCGCGGAGAAGAAGGAAGCGGAGAAGATAGGAATATGTTTAAACGTACACGAGCAACGTCTGATGAAATCGTGTTTGGAAAATGCATGTGCGGCTATTGTCGAGCAAGAGGCTTATCTCAACGAGCTGGACCGCGGATGCGGAGACGGAGACTGCGGTTCGACGCTGAAAAGATTTGCCGATGGTACATATGTATATATTATATATTATATCTCCTTTCTTTCATTTATTGATTTTATTTATTTATTGAAAAATGAATTTATATATTTATATATATTTGATTATTTAAAAAATATAATTATAATAATTAAATAAATAATATATTTATTATATAAATTATAAACATATGATATTTTCGATATATTGCAAAATAATATTAACTAAAATCTGTTAAATAAATTTACTATATCTTCTGTATATTTATAGGTATATTAAACAATTTGGACAACTTATTCTTGTCGCATCCAGCAGCGTTGTTATCGGAAATAGCGAATATAGCGGAGGAACATATGGGCGGAACATCCGGAGCTTTGTATTGTTTATTCTTTACGACTGGTGCGAAGGAGCTGGCTTTATCCAAGCAAGGAGAAAACTTGCAACATGGTTGGTTTTATGCGTTTCGCAGTGGATTAAATTGTTTAGAAAAATATGGAAAAGCAAAAGCCGGAGACAGGACTATGGTTTGTATTTTTAGCACCGTTATATAATATATTATTAATAACGATAGAAAATTGGTAGTTTTATTACGATAGAAAATAATTCATTATCTTATAAAAATGTATTTAAATAGCATAGAATGGTAAGAAGTTTGTATTAAATCGATATATTTTTTTAGATCGATACGATGGACGCGGTGTGTACGATGTATGAAAAAATGTTGAAGGAACATCCGAGCAACTTTTATGACGGATTAGCCGCGGCGGCGTGGAAAGGATGCGAGTCTACGAAAAATATGAAACCCAAGTGAGTATAAAAATTACGATAGATTAACACGCACATGTTTAAAAAAAGAAATAAATTATCCTGTATGCGTCAGAAATTAGAGAGCTCTATAAAAAAAATTACAAGGATTTAAATTATACTTGATTATTTTAAAAGCGTACGTTATACGTATGTGATTATAGAGCAGGACGAGCTAGTTACGTAAAACAAGCTCGGTACTTGACGGAAGTGGATGCTGGCGCATTCGCCGCGGCGACGTGGATTGCGGCTATTGTACGGACGATTACACAGTTTAAGGAATAACACAAACACTCTTGTTATCTCTTTTTTTTCTTTTTACTTGACAATTGTATTTCAGCGTCATTGCTGTAAACAGCGGCGACAACAACTAATAATGAACAACAAATTTATATCACCTAAATTGGAGAATTAATTGCGGTGATTATATTGATATTATTCTTTCTATACACAACAAGTTCGCTTACTTAGATACTGTAGGTACCAGAAGCACTAAATTTCCTATATTAGGTACCGCTGATTGTATAATAAAGTGAAAATATATAGTCGCGCGTTTCTGCCTTTATAAATACAATAGAAAGTACCCTTTTTTCAATACACGTTCGACAAGTTTCCATAAATGAAGTTAGTTTTTGTAACACGCAGAGATTATATCAGACTTAAACGTGCAATATAGTTCGCGCTAGTATTTTGGCAGTATTTTGCCGATTAATCGGATTATGCATCTGCACTTTACCGCGGCTTTTCCGTGAATAGCCACGAATAGACTAAACTCTTTATCTTATTTTATACACAGTATAATATATTATATATAGAAGAAATAAATAATTAAACATATTCATCCTTTCGCGCGCGGCAGATTTCACGAGACTATCCGAAAAGGTTGGTCACAAAGGTGTTAAATCCGTTACTGATAGACGAGAAGATACCGCTATTGGCATCGGCCGCGGTATTAACTCCGGATTGTGGTCGATAGGGCAACGTATGGTCTCGATGCGGATAAGGCCTTCCGCCAGTGTTTCCGGTATACAAAACAGATCCGTTTTCCTCGTTGTACTGTCTCTGTTTCGGGTACAAACAACCATTCTTGTAAAATATACATGAGAAAAACATGGGCGTCCCCAGGATTTTTTTCCAGGAGAGGACATAATTAAATATTTCTTATTTCTTATTTTTATTTTATGATTTTTTTTTGTTATTTTATTATTTTAATTCTTTTAATATTAAATATGCAAATAAATTCCAGTATTTATTCAAGAGAGCAAATGCTTGGTTTTTTACTGGCGCAAATTTTGCCCCCTGTGGACGTCATGGAGAGAGATATGATTGAGAATTAATCCTTTTGCTAAAATAAATTTTAAGGAGCTAAAATCGATGGATATGAAAGGTAGTTTATAGAATATATGTCGAGAAAAAAGTTGCGCTATTTGCGTTCTATTTTTATGCATTGCTTACCTTTGCCGAGTAAAGCGTAACATTAAGGAGCGTCGGATGCTGCTCGATTACCACAAATTCGATCTCGCGAGGTATATATCCATTCGAGAATACCTGACGTACAAAATAGATGTATAAGATGATGTAGCAAAAATGAATAGCGTTATTTTTTTAAATTTTATCTTTAATTTTATCTAGTGATAAGAAAGTGGTTGCATGAAAGGATTGCAACATACCTCTAACTTGTAAACGCCAGGTAGCAGAATTCTCCAAAATTCGCCGTATTTGGTCGTCGAAAAGCTGACATCTCGTGATTTCACTTTAACCGACGCTCTTTCAATGGGATTGCCGTTTTCATCGACAACGAAACCGTGAACGCCTCTGTGAGCTTCTGCCAAGAACTTGATTAAAGACTAAAAAGACCACAAAACACATGCGCTGATAAGTTTCGCAAATCTTAAGAGATCATTAATCATTTTGTTACTATTACATATCTCAAAAGTGAGATTTATTTTTTCATATTTTAGTTATATATTTATATTTTATCTATAATATATTTCTATTTTATATATATATTTATATTTTATGGAATTTTAGGAGGAACGATGAATAAATCTTGCAAGAGATACATATTTGAAAAAATGTACTCTGGGAGACTCACCGCTCGATTTTCCTCCCAGTAGTGAGGCAGATCCGAGGCCGGCGGATATTTGCAGCAAGAAAGTTCCAAGGTAATTTCCATACATCCGTTCCACACGTAGTTAAAGTCTTGCATTCCGCCGGTAAGCGGGTACCACTCGGCGCCGTTAGTAATTCCGCGTTTAAATGCGGGCTGGGACGGGGAACATGGTAATCCCTGATACATGGATCCGTGGTTTCGAGAGTACGTCAACGATAAATGTTGAAACACGTCGTCGTCCGGCGAGATACTCGGCGTCGACGTGAAACTCTGAAACACTGTTCTCTTTACGTGAGACTGTCACTGTTTTGCGTTCAAATGTGATTTAATCATCCATATCTCTCCCGATACTGCGAAGATGATTGTGTGTAATCTACAGGCTGTGAAATATCTCTGAAAAATTTAGGATTCTTTTCTTTATTTCATCCTATCTTTCACGAAATTAGCGTCTCAATTTTTCAGGTTTACTCTTACACGAGAAATCATCTCCTCTTTATCATTGTGTCGCGAATTATATTCCATCTTGTTGCGTTTTTTTTTGCTAGAGCCAGGCCGTACAAGGACATGCATTTTATGCCAGAAGCGTGTAATCAGAACACATCCATGTTCATGATGTGTTTCACACATTTTCACATATGTTCATTTATTTATCGCGAGTGAAACTATTAACTTCCTCTACAATTCTTCTATTCTATTTTTTTTCTACAGTTATTTTATTCATCTTCTACAAGTTCCGTAGACTTTATCATTTACCTTCTCAAAATTATATCCACGAGTCAATGTTTTACCGAAAGTTATCAAAGATGTAACTAAAAAGGTAATTACATATGCGTATATATATATTTTTTTTTATATTCCTCTAGTAAATGATAATGTCGTTGATTGTTGAACGCTAACAATAAGATAATCATGCGTTGCACAATACCTGCACATAGTGGCGCTGATCGACATATTCCTGACGGCATGAAAGTTTACATAATATCATGACAGCTTCAGAGCTACGCGCAGTTATAGTCATAGCTGTCTGTAATCTTACATAAACGGAACGTTAACGGAATTCGGAATCGACATACGTTGTTGAAGGGCACTCGAAAAATTATAACGCTTTTTTCCTTTTTTTAAACATTATTTCGCAAAAAAATGATAGACCAATTCTGTGGACGATCGCGCCACTTTAATTAGCTCGGCGCACAATAATTGTACACGGAGAGAATTTTTCGTTACATTTTACAGCAAAATTCAATATAAATTTTATTCTGTTTGATATAATAGGTCGAAAATTATCAATTTATATAAAATATTTTATATGGTTATTACTTTTTTGACATCTATTCTATTTAAAACATTTAAAGAATAATCAATTTTTAATATATTTTCCAATTATTAAAATATATTAAATATGGAATTAGAAGAATTTTATAAGAGTTCCTCTGATTAATATTTACTTCAATAAAAAACATTAATATCTGCTATAATATATTTAAAATTAATTAAACATATTTTATATCTTATTGTGATAGATATTAATTAATATTTTTTATTATGATAAATATTAATCAGAGACACTCTTATGAAATGTTTCAATACCATATTTAATATAGTTTTTTTTTCATAAACTTAAACATATTTTATATCTTACTGTGGTAGACATTAATATTTTTTATTATGGTGTAAATATTAATTAGAGAAATTCTTATAAAATTCTTCCAATACTATATTATCATGAATTTTTTCAGGATAAATTCAAAGAGGAAATTCTCTCTGTGTACAAAAAAGAAGAAGATCGACGAATTTTCAACTTACGCGAATTTGGGGTATTGTCGAAGGGGTAGCTGGCTACCAAAGCACCACCGTGCAAACTACCCGAGAGCACGAACTGAATCTTGGAGACCCATTCCTTGACAGCCTCGGTCTCTGGTTGGCTCTTTTTGTTGTTCTGCTTAAAGTAGTCCGGGAAGTTGCGGTTTAGGTCGAAGCCACGTGCGTTATACCTATTCAAGTCGTGAATATGAGAATATACGATGAGAGAGAATCAGGAGCTCTTTTCTCCTCGTTCGCGTCTTCAGCGGAAACGGAACCGCTCGATATGTGTCGACGAGTTCTGAATACAAGGTGGCTATTTTAAAAACTTATTTTAAGTTTTGAAACGCCGAGAGCAAGAGGAAAATCTTTATGCAAATTTTAAGTATTTTTTTCTAGAAAAATGTCGAAGAAGTTATGAACCGTAATAATTTATAATTTATCTTTATATTTTTATGAGAGGAATATCTTATTTATTATAATTTTTTAATATTATTATATATATATTTTATTGATTGCTAAATTTTAACTCGATTTGAATTGCAGATAGACTAAAAAACTATGCAAATATCTAACCTGCCTTGACCACCATCGCAGCGTCCTTCTTTAGAAACTTCAAAGCCATCAGGATTCATCGACGGAAGAATATGAATCCTTGTGTTATCCAATAACCACGTAATATATGCATCTGATCCGTACGATGTCACGAGGGACTAAAAGGGAAAAAAAGGAAAAAGGATTATATCTCGGAACATATTTGTGTCATCTTTGTCGAACAAAAATAGATTATTAATATTATTATTAATTTTAAGGTAACTAATATTTTTATGTGTTAATTATTAATATTATATCATAAATGTTATGAAAATTATTATTATTTGTATTTTTACGCATTATTAATATTTGTAATGCTACAAGAGCACAGATGGTCTGTGAGAATATTTTATTAGATAAAATTTGATTCGAGTATATGTCAAATCTCTCTTATCTTCGTAGGATATGACGCAATGAAAAATATAGACGTCGTTTTACGTGCATGTCATTGAGAGGAACACGTGACGCGGAATTTCCAACACCTGATAATTACGTACATGAATGAGATGCAGCATTAACTCGCGTCCCACAGCTTCGTTTCCGTGTATGTTAGCAATATACTTTACATCAGGCTTTCCGATCATGTGCTCGTAGGGCGACGACGAGACCACCATCACCCATAGATCACGACCTGTCGCACGAGTAAATCTCTTAATTATAATATACTCTGCTCTTTTTTATTTTTTAATTTCCAACGAAGCTAAAATATAAAACTTTATAAATTTCGAAATCTTTTTCCCCAGGAAGTTGCTGTCCTCTTTTTCATCGAAATCGATACAGCGTCTACAGAAGTGTTTTTTTTTCATCTCCGAAAGCATGTGATGTATTCGCACCGCATTCCTTCACACATATGTAAGAGAATCCGTACCTTTCACCGACTTTCCTATCGAGTACAGAGCGGTGAGATTTTGAAATCGAAGGGACGTCGCGCGAAGAAAGCGGCTCATCTGCTCGTAATTGTGGTACTTGAACTCGATATTGTATGGCTCCTCGTACATTAAGAAACGCGGATGATATTGACGAGGTAAATCCCCTTTGTTCGGGAATTGCATTCCGCGAATGCTTCCATAGATGGAGATGAGAAAAAGTAGCACGCGATACATTCTGTAAGCAACGTCGTCATGTAGACTTGTGTGTGAGACAGTATAAGAGTTGTAATTAACAGTAATCATCTTTTTTTTTGCTTTCTAATTCAATAGAACATTAATATAAATAGATAAAAATATAAATACATTATGTATAATATATATGAAATGGAATATTCACATTATATAATATTCATTACATATTCATTAATATAATTCATGCAAATGAGTAAGAATTAAATAAAAGAAGAAATATAAGTGCAAGAGAAAAAGTCTCATATCACATCACTTGAAAATTGAATAATGTATTATTTTAATTAAAAGTCTGTAAAAAATAATTGATTTTACTAGTTAGAATATTAAATTAAATGTTTTTGTCATTTAACTGACCAAAGTGTTAACAAATATCCTACATATATATTTCAATTAATTTGTTTGCGAACTTTATTAGAAAAAATTTACATTACCTGGTATTTGAAGAGAGTATCAGTGATAAACGTTTGAAAAAATGTGAACACGCTCGCACAAACTTCGGAGCAATCTTTTACGCGCGATCTTCCTCTTCCGTGTTCGTTCGCGCACGCAGAAAATTTAAATCGCAGGGCAGTGAACGATTTTCGCACAGCAGATTTGTTTTCGCTATACTAATATTTTTATTCCTCCGTAGAAAAGAAAAAAAACCCGTTTACGTGGCGGCGACCGGCGCCGATGACGAGGAGGACACGCACTTTTCGTCGTATGCGATCACGTTGGCGGATAGGTCGACGGACGGCATTTGCGGAAGTCGAGGGGGATCAAGAAGAAGAAAAAGAAGAAGAAGAAGAAAAAAGGAGAGGAAAGAGAAGAGGAAAATCGCGAAAGAGGAGGAACGCGCGCCGGCAGTGAGCGAGAATGAGGTCCGCGCGCGGACACCTCTGACAGTTGACGTCCGAGTACGTAGGAGGAAGGTGTTAGCCGCCTCTTCTCTTCTCGCCTGCGTGAGAGTATAGCGGCGAGATACGTGATACTGCGAACTCTTATAAAGAGAAGCGAAATATGCCGTGCACTCACTATACCACCACCAGTGTACCGGCAGAAGAGCAGCAAACCACCACCACCACCGCTGCCGCCTCCACCGTCAGCGCTATCATCAGCAACCACCACCACCAGCAGCGGCAACACCACCACCACCGTCGACGCCACCACCGCTACTTAATGAAGCCCACTTCCTCCGTCACCGGTATCTGCACCGCTGTCTGCTCTCTCTCCGTTGTAGACCAACCACTGGCACAATGTGTACCAGCTAGCTAGGAGACAGCCCGTTTACCCGTCTCATCTCTCGGGCACCTACTACCACTATGTTATACCACTACTACGTCAAACGGCCGCAACAATGAGCAACCCGTCGACCGTATCGCCGCGAATTGTTATATTTCACGCACGCATTTAGCACGTACACGCATATATATTGTATACATGTATGTATATATACGTTAACAAGAGCGCGATGATATCTCCGGGGATCTTTTGCGTAAACGTAACACAGGAAGTTTCGTTTCACCGCGCGATGCGGACGAGATAAAGCTTCTGTCGTCGAGGGAAGGGAAACGTCCCGTAAAAAGGGAAACTTTCGACAATTACAAGCGAGTCAATAGAAATGGGAAAATAAATAGATGTCTAAATTTAGCCGAGCAGCGACCCATAAAGATTCTCTAGATGAAATTAATATTTGTTCTGCGATTAACAAATGTATATCGCTAGGATATTCAAGTAATTCATTAAAAATTCTTTTATCATATTATATCACGAGATTGTAAAAGTCAATTCTGCCCAAAAATGGCGCATTAATTTTAGACCGACAGAGAGTGGTCTCCACTAAGACTAATTCCACGATCTAGCGTCGCTTTACATATTAAAGAGGACGAGTACATATGTATCAACTCGCGTGCTTGACTACCGGTTACGGATCACCACTACTGTTACACCATTACAACTACATATCTACTGACGTTCACCAGCGCTACCGGTGTTAATTGAGGTGAAGAGGTTTTCGTTCTTCATGTTTGGACCCCATCCTCCCCCCTATGTCAAGGGGGCCGAATGGGGAGAAGAAGAGGAGGGCGAGAGTTCGCGTCAGCTCCGGGTGCTATATATTTTCGAATATAATGAGCCCGCCCGCGTCCATCCGACTGAGACACCAATACAGCGTTGGTATACAGGTCGATAGAGCATTCGTAAGATCACCGACGCGTCCACCGACACCACCAACACCACCACTATCATCGGCCACGTACTTTCGACGAGTTATTGAGGACGGTGTCCTACTAGCGGTGCCCGACCCCTCTTCTCTTCCTATTCATGCTGGCCGAGGCACACGGATCACGGTTTCGGATGGATCGTTGAACCCGCGGGAGGAAGGTGAAACACGTCGAAAAAAAAGTGCTCAGTCAGAAGTGTGTCACCGAGGCGAGCGAGCGTGATGAGGTGGGGAATGAAGATGAGAGAGAGGAGGAAGACGGAAAGGAAGTCCGAGAACTTGGTGCGTTCCCCCAAGGTGGATTTCGCTCACGGTCGACGATTTACCTTGAAACGACGAAAAAAAAAAAAAAAAGAAATCATCTCCGCTCGTATATCGAAGAAGAGATCTCTTTCGTAACGGATCACGTATACACGTATCACGTATACGTCGGCGAAACGGGAATTTGTGTTAATAAAGTTCAATGTCGGAATTTAGATGTATAGAAATGTGGCGACCTAAGTAAGAGCGCTCCCATGTGTCATTTATTTATTTGGGGGGGGAACTAAATTTTGAATTAGCGGGGACAAATATATTCGCGAGGGAAGGGTGAATTATATAGTCTCTTGTACGAGATGTACGATATTATGGAAACGTGTGATTAGACTTGAAACGAGAGCTGTCATTACAAACGTCGCGACTTAAGGCCGTAATTAACGGCTTTGGAGAAACGTAAATTCTTGAAACATAAGTAAGTCACTGGAAATCGACCGGCAATTTCCTTCTTCATAAAAGAATTATGATTCTCGATATCATCTTTCGTGTCTCTCTTTCACAAAATTAATTACGCGTTTAATATTTAAAAATATGATACATATATTAATAGTTACAAATTCCATGAAAATTTTATTTTATTACGATATACGTCACACACTGTATCCAAATATTCTTGCGACAAAAATAAATATTTCTAAGAAATAAGTATATATATTATTATACCGCAATTATTATAAGAGTATAAGTTTGCTTCGAAAAATATGTGCGATTATGCTACTGAATTGAAAAAAGCGTAACAGCGTTCGTTGATCTAATTGAGACTCTCTCAACATCGTTACTTGTGAGAATTATGCAATAGACACAAGTGTATTTCGTTTCATGGGAATGCAACAATATGTTGGAATTCACAGGAAATGTAGCAATAACTCAAATGCATCGTATGCCACACCTCATAATTATATCGTCGATACCTTACAGCGGCTGTAAAGTATCGACAGACGCCGTCAGTCATTAAATGAATCATTAATTTTAAGCTGCTCAGGCACAACGAAACTTGGTACAAAGACATTTTAACTGTAGTGCCTTAAGTATCTTCGTCGCGGATGCATTACTGCATATAAGTCATTCTCACAGATAAATACGTATAAATTGAAGTTATGTAATTTACTCTTTTTCTCTTGTTATAAATATCAATCAGGTTCTTGTAATTGTGATTAATTCTTGAAAGTTTACTGTATAAAAATATATGCAGAAAACATAGGCCTGTGAGAACATTTTTTGAAAGAAAGAAAGAAAAAAAGAAAAAAAAAAAATTTTCTAAAAAGTTAAATATCTTAAAATTGTTTTTAGCAAATAATAATAAAAAATCTGTCGCCTTTGTAGTATTGTAGCAATTGTTGAAAAAAAATGCAAATACTCTCTCTGAATTTTTTTTTATACACCATCAGTGGCATTTGGCGACCGACTGAATGGTCTTCGAAAAGTTCCAAGATGTTGTATGGCATGTTCACTTGTTTTATATTGTCTCTGCTAATATTTTTCGGGCTAGGTCAATTGCTAGATATTATCCTTGTTATCGATAATGTGGACGATTTTGCTGAGAATACTTTAATGTCCTTTTCTTTTATCAGTGTATTGTGTAAAGCAGTAGCTACTTTAATACGTCGCGATGAAATTGTTATTTTAATTGAAACACTACAGAAAAAACCTTGCAGAGCTTATAATAAAGAGGAGAGCGACATCCAGATGAAATTCGATCACTTGATCAGGTATATTCAATGTTGATGACATAATCAATGTAATGTAAATTATGATAAATGAACTTAAATAAGGTGAAACTATAATAAACTAAACTACGGAGAAAAATTTAATTTAACAAATATATGAATTTACTCTAAATTAATTTTCATAAATTAAGATAATTTTCTCAGAAAGATGTATTTGTTTATCTATTAATTATACGAGTTATTTAAAGTGCTAAGTGCAATGATTTAATTTAAAATAATATTCTCCTCTTTTTTTGGGGAAAAAAAAAAAAAAAAAAAAAAAAAAAAAAAAAGTTAATTTATATAATTTTGAAATATTGTTCTCGTATATTGTTATTATACTAATTATTTTGTATATATTTTTGCGAATCATATGCAGATCATATTCCATAAGTTACATATACCTGGCAACGTTTTCTTGTTCTGGTGGCGTATTAAGAGCAGTGCTCAGTATTTTGGAGGGTCAATTACCCTTTCGGATATGGTTACCGTACGATTACACATCACCTACTTATTTATTCTACGTTACAATAATGCAAGAACTCGTTACTGTGGTTTTTGGCGCGATTGTAAACGTCGCGACGGAGACCATGGTATTGGGATTTTGCTTGCAAATATGCGCACAATTTGAGCTTTTGAAACATCGTCTGCAAAGAATGGCGAAGGAGACAGAGCAAACGTCGAAATATTCGTTGAACGATTCCTCAAATAAAACATACAGATTGTCGGAGCATATTTTACATCACCTGTGTATAATCAGGTTTGTCACAAGCGGATAGTTATTTTATAGCATGTTTCTCTCTGTGTTAAATAATATATTAAATAATGTTTGATGTGAATATAATATTAGTTGTAATATGTCTTCTTAATTGTATTAATTTGTAACATAATGCGAAATATTTATAGACTTGCCAATGCTATCAACAACATATTCAGCCAAGTAATTTTTGTCCAATTTTTCGCCAGCACATTAGTGATATGCTTAACTCTGTACTATTTAACTGCTCATATGAGAATTACAGATCTCGTTGGTTTGAGTTTCTACGCATTTTGCATGTTTGCTCAGATTTTTATTTATTGCTGGGCTGGAAACGAAGTTATACTCAAGGTAGTTAGTTTTAGACAAAGAATTGCGTAGCAAAAGACTCCGCACAATTTTATAGAAATTGGATTTCGATGGAATTGGCTGACTTTTTCATAGATTTTGTTGCTTGTGACCTGCTGAACAAAAGATGTAATAGTTTCAAAGTTAAATAATGGACAGTTGACTGATGCTGTCTATTATTTTTTTTATTCAGCACATCATTCAGCTATAGTTATACAAGAAAACCAGCTGATCCTATCAAGATTCAATTTTATATAGTAATAATGCGGGGTTTTTGAACCTGTGTGAAATCCTAGATTGAATTCCGAAAAAATCAGCTAGTTTTCTCACGTGATGTAGCTTATGATCTACTGAACAAAAATATAAATTCAAAGCTTAATAATAAACAGTTACTGATTTGCAGTTAGTTAAACACAAAAAGCTCAAGTTTTACAAGTTGCTTGATTGGTTGTAGCTCAATAACCGTCATTATTTAGCATTGCAGCTATTATAGCTTTTGTTCAGCAGATTATAAGCTACAAAACATCAAGTCCATCAAAATCTAATTTCTATAAGGATTGTGTGGGGTCCTTGCTTTGCAAACTTTTCGCAAAAATTGTTCCACTGATAACCGATTTAATTATTCTCATTACGTTTTTATTTTTCCAGAGTACTGGATTGAGTGAAACCATATATCAAACAAATTGGATATCGATGCCAATAAACGAACGGAAGGATCTACTGATGATTATGAAGCGTAGCATACGACCTATCAAGTTAACTAGCAGCTTCTTAGTTACGTTATCTCTGGAATCTTACAGCAAAGTTGGTATTAAAATTTAAAGCTTGCTTGATATTTTATACATTGAATGTAAGAAGAATTTTTAATTTTTATTAAAATTTTATTTTACTTTATTTTAGGTTCTGCAAGCGTCTTATTCTGCATTCAATCTTTTGCAACAGTCTTAGACATTTATTTACTCCTTCGCAATATATCATGTACCACTTACCATAAATAAATTACTCATCACAGAATGTGCAAATTTTCGATATCTTTTGTTAGAGCTATTGTCAGTAATTGTATTTTTTTATAAATTATCAAATAATGTTTTAATTAAAATTCACGGATTAAAGTAGATGTAAACTAGAATTCAATTGAAATAAAAAAATGTCTCTCGCAAATAGAAAACATCTGATTTGAATACAAAACGCGTCATTTTAAGGAAGAATTAGAAAAAGTATAATATAAATATTGAAATTTGGAAAATATTTTTGTTAAACCATTAATCCAACGTGTAATTCACTTATTTCGGATAAACTTCTCCTTATTAGCGGCAATTCGCAAGAGAAGGGTGAATATAGAATATCGTACAATCTACTGTATTATGGAAACATATGATTATACTTGAAACGAGAGCTATTATTACAATCGTCGCGACTTAGGCCGCAATTAACGGCTGTATACAGAAACGTAAACTCTTGAAACATAAGTAAGTCACTGAAAATCGACCGACAACTTTCTTCTCCGTTAAAGAATTATGATTTTTCATATCACCATTTGCGTTCCTTTTTTTATAAAATATATATTTCAAATTACTTACCAAATTCAATGAAAATTTTATTTTCGTACGATGTCATATGTCATCTCCTCTGTATCCGACATCCAGAATATTTCTGTAACAAAAAGAGATACTGTTAAAAAACAAGTAAATATTGCATCGTGATTACTTCGTTATAAGAGTATAAGTTTGCTCCAAAAAGTATATGCGACATATATCTTGAAAAAAAAAACGTAAGTGTCTAATTAAGTCTTCCTTAATGTTACTTATGAAAATTATATAATAAACGCTTAAATGCAAGTGTATTTCGTTTCATGGGAATGCAACAATATGTTGGAATTCCGGAAATATAACGTTCCTCAAATCGTACGACTACGCACACATCTCTTATAATTATATCTTCGATATTTTACGGCGGTAAAGTATCGATAGACGTCGTCGCAATTATAAAATGAATCATTAATTTTGAGCGACGTAGGGACAACGAAACTTGACATGAAGACATTTCAACTGTAGTGCTTCAGATACTTTGCTCGTGTATGCATTTGCTGCGTATATAAGTAATTTTTCCAGATACGTATAAATTGAAAGTTATGTAACTTCATTTATTTTTGCTATAAATATCAACCATAAGTATTCGTAATTGTAGTGTTGAAATTGATGCTTTAATTTTTAGTGTACAAAAATATACTCAGAAAATGTAGGTTTGTGAGAACATTTTTTTTAAACAATTTTAAAAAGTTTGACAAGAATATAATCAATTATTTTTCAAGTATCTTGAAAATTAAAAATCATAAATTTGTTTTTCAGCAAATTAATAATAAAATAACAATAAAAAAACCTGTCACTTTTAGTATTGTACAACTGATGAAAAAACATGCGTATACTCTCTTTTAATTTCTTTTTATATGGCATCTGTGGTATGTGGCGACCAATTGAATGGTCTTCGAAATATTCCAAGATATTGTATGGAGTGTTCACTTGCTTCACAACGTATCTCGTGTTACTTCTACTGTTTACTCAATTAATGGATCTTATTCTCGTTATCGATAATGTGGACGATTTTGCCACGAATGCCTTATTTCTACTTTCGGTTGTCAGTGTATTTGTCAAAGTAGTAACTACTATAACACGTCGCGATAAAATTGTCAATTTGATCGAAATACTACAGAAGAAACCTTGTATAGCTTACGATGAAGAGGAGTGCGATATCCAGATGAAGTTTGATCGCTTAATCAGGTCGGTATATTTAAACTATTGTTACGACTATCAATGACGTTACTATCTTCATATATAAATTGATAGATGTCACATATTACTCAATTAAATTAAGTAGGGCTCAGTTAAATTAAATAGTTACTCAATTAAATTAAAATAAATAATTAATAAACTGATCTATAAAGAGACTTAATTTAACACACAAATAAATGAATTTATTCCAAGTTAATTTTCTTGAAATAAATATTGTTTTTATTATAATACTATTTATTATTTATTGTTTAAAAATAATTTTTCTAGAAAAAGCTGTATTAGTTTACTATCAAATTATTATAAATTTGTTTTATTCATGCGCGTTTGTGTTACTAATAATTATTTAAAGCGCTGCGTGCAATGACAGATCAAAGATGATATTTTTCTTTATTTTTAGTGTGTCGTCACTTTATGTAATTTTGAAATATTATTGTTCTCGTGCATTGCTATTATTGTGTTTTAACATATGCTCCAGATCATATTCCATAAATTATACATCCCTGGCATCAGTTTCTGCCACTGGTGCCTTAGTAGGAGGGGTGTTCCATATTTTAGAGCATCAGTTACCCGTTAGGACATGGTTACCGTACGATTACACCCCACCTCTTTTATTCTGGATTACATCAATTCAAGAGCTGGTGGCTCTAATTTTTTGTACAATTATAAACGTCGCGACGGTGACTACGGTATTAGGATTTTGCTTACAAATATGTGCACAATTTGAGATTTTAAAACATCGACTGCATAGAATGGTAAAAAAGGCAGAGCAAACTTCCAGAATTTCGTTGAACGATGTATCAAATGTAACAGGCAGTCTGATGACGAGGAGTCCGACAATTTCGGAGCATATTTCACATCACCTGTGCATAATCAGGTTCGTCATCAGACCATAAAGTTATTTTATGTACGTATCTCTCTATGTTAATGCGTTTAAAAATGTCTGGTATACTTTTGCTTATATACTAAATGTTAGTTGTAATCTTTTTTTATTATGTACATATTAATTTGTATAATTTGCAACATAATGGGGGAATATTTGTAGACTTGCCAAAATTACCAACAATATATTCAGCCAAGTAATCTTCATCCAATTTTTCTCCAGCATATTGGTGATATGCTCAAGTCTGTACCATTTAACTTCTCATATGACAATTGCACATGTTGCTCCCTTGATTGTCTATACATTAACAATGTTTGTTCAGGTTTTCATTTATTGTTGGGCTGGAAACGAAGTTATGGTTAAGGTATAATTGTCAGGGTGTATAAAGAGACTCGATCTTGAATAAAAATTTGAGAAAAATTTGTAAATTATGCTTGGCAAACTTTTCGCAAAAATTGTTTCACTAGTGACCGATTTAATTATTTTTGTCATGTTCTTTTTCCAGAGTACTGGATTGAGCGAAACTGTATATCAAATGAATTGGATATTGATGCCGATCAACGAACAGAAGGATTTATTGATGATTATGATGCGTAGTACACGACCTATCAAGTTTACGAGCAGCTTTTTGGTATCATTATCACTTGAGTCTTACGGAAATGTTAGTATTAAAGTTTCAAGCTTTCTTGATATTTTAAATAACGTAAGAAGAATTTTTAATTTCTACAACAATTTTATTTTATTTTTAAAACTTTATTTTAGCTTCTGAAAGCGTCTTATTCTGCATTCAATCTTTTACAACAATCTTAGGATTTTATTTATTCGTTCGCAATATATTATGTATGCAGTGTAATATAAATAAATTATTTATCACAAAATGTGAGAATTTTCGATCTTTTTTTAGAATTATTATTGTAGTATTTATTATTTTTCAGACAAATATTTAGAATTCACAGAATAGTAAGCAATACAATCTAGAATTAAATTGAGATAAAAAAATGTTTTCTCAAATATATAAAACATCTGATTTTTAATGTAATGTCATTTTTAGGAATAGCATATAAATATTTAAATTCGGAAAATATTTTAGTTAAACGAATTAAAGAAAAATCTGTATTACATATCATTCACTCTTTTGGATAAACTTTTTCTTAATGGGAATAAACATTCGCGAGAGAAGGGTGAATATAGAATATCGTCCAATCTATTATATTATGGAAACATACGATTATACTTGAAACGAGAGCTGTCATTACAAACGTTTCGACTTTAGGCTGTAATTAATAACTGTACACAGAAACGTAAATGCTTGAAACATAAATAAGTCATTGAAAAAATTGACCGACAGTTTTCTTCTCCATAAAAGAATTATGTGTGATTTTTCATATCATTTATGGCGTTCCTTTATCTTTTGTAAAATATTATTGCAAAACAATATATGTTTTATATTTCAAAGTACTTACCAAAATCGATGAAAATTTCATTTTGTTACGATGTTATACATCATCTTATCTGAAACCAGTATCCGAAACAAAAATAGATATTTCTGCAACAAAAATAGATATTTTTAGAAAACAAGTACATGTTGCACCGTGATTGCTTCATTATAAAAGTATAAGTTTGCTCCAAAAAGTATATACAATTATATTGTCAAAGTGAAAAAGCGTAAAAGAGTTCGTTCATCTATTTGATTCCTTAATATAGTTACTTGCAAGAATTATGTAATAGATATTTTAATGCAAGTGTATTTAATTTCATGGGAAAGCAACAATATGTTGGAATTCCGGAAATATAACGTTCCTCAAATGTATCATCGTCTATGCATATACCTTATAATTTTATCCTCAATATTTTATCGGCGGTAAAGTATATCAATAGACAACATTGCAATTATTAAATGAATCATTAATTTTGTGCGACGTAGGGACAATGAAACTTGACATGAATACATTTCAATTGTAGTGCTTTAGATACTTTGCTCGTGTACGCATTTATTGTGTATAAGTCTTTTTTCCAGATACGTATAAATTGAAAGTCATGTAACTTAATTTTTTTCCGCTATACATATCAACTACCACATACTTGCAATTTTGTCGCACTAAAATTAATATTAAAATTTTTAGTGTACAAAAATATATGCAAAAATATAGGTTTGTGAGAACATTTTTTTGAAGAACAATCTAAAAAAAATTGATAAGTATATAATCAATTATTTTTTAAATATCTTAAAAATTAAATATCTTACATTTGTTTTTCAGCAAATAATAATAAAATAACAATAATAATAGAAAAACCTATCACTTTTATTTAGTATTGTACAATTGATGAAAAAACATGGATATACTCTCTTTTAATTTCTTTTTATATGGCATCTGTGGTTTGTGGCGACCAATTGAATGGTCTTCGAAATATTCCAAGATATTGTATGGAGTATTCACTTGCGTCACAACGTATCTCGTGTTATTTCTAGTGTTTATTCAATTAATGGATCTTATTCTTGTTATCGATAATGTGGAAGATTTTGCCACGAATATCACATTTCTAATTTCGTGTACCATTATAATTTTCAAAATAGTAACTGCTATAACACGTCGCGATAAAATTCTGAATTTGATTGAAAGACTACAGAAGAAGCCTTGTATAGCTTACAATGAAGAGGAGAACAATATCCAGATAAAGTTTGATCGTTTGATCAGGTCGGTATATTTAATCTGTTGCGATTGTCGATGACGTTACAATTTTAATATGTAAAGTGTGATAGATAACACATATGTAGTTACTCAATTAAATTGATAAAAATAAATAATTAATATCAATATTAATTATTTATTTTTTTCTATTTAATTTGGCTGAGTAACTATATAAGTTATCTCTCTCTCTATCATAATTTACATAATAATATTGTAAGTATTGTCATTAATATTAATATTAATAAATTGATCTATAAGGGAGACTTAATTTAACAAATAAATAAATTTATTTTCAGTTAATTTTCTTAACTATTCGAGTCTAGTCTTCTCAAGTACATTTCTGAATTAACTATTTATTAATATTATTTCATTTATTATTTTAAGATAATTTTTGTTAAAAGATGTATACGCCCAAATTATTATTTTATATGTTTTATCCATGTTTGTGTTACTAACAATTTATTTAAAGTGTTGTGTGCAATGACAGATCAAAGATGATATTTTCTTTTTCTTTATCTTTAGTGAGTATTGTCGTTAATTTATGTATGTAATTTCGAAATATTGTATTGCTATTATTATATTTTTACATATCCTTCAGATCATATTCCATAAATTATGCATCCATGGCATCAGTTTCTTGCACTGGTGTCGTAGTAGGAGGGTTACTCAATAGTTTATTGAAGCATCAATTACCCTTTAGGGGTTGGGTACCGTATGATTACACCACACCTCTTTTATTCGGGATTACATTAATTCAAGAGCTCACGGGTATGGTCTTTTGTACAATTATAAACGTCGCGACGGAGACCACGGTATTGGGATTTTGCTTACAAATATGCGCACAACTTGAGATTCTAAAACATCGTCTGCATAGAATGGTAAAAGAGGCAGTGCAAATTTCCAGCAGTTCTGGAATTTCGTCGGACGATGCGTCAAATGAGACAGGCAGATTGTCAGAGCATATTTTACATCACCTGTGTATAATCAGGTTCGTCACAAGCAGATAATAAAAATTATTTTATGTACGTATCTCTCTCCGTGTTAAATATGTTCAATTATGTTTGGTATATACATAATATTAGTCGTAATATCTTTGTAATTTTATACATTTTAATTTGCATAATTTGCAACATAATGAGAAAATATTTGTAGACTTGCCAAAATGCTCAACAACATATTCAGCCAAGTGATCTTTGTCCAATTTTTCGGCAGCATATTGGTGATATGCTCAAGTCTGTTTCATTTAACTTCTCATATGACAATTGCAGACGTCAGCTCTTTGATTATCTTTACACTTTGCATGTTTGTCCAGATTTTTGTTTATTGTTGGGCTGGAAACGAAGTTATGTTTCAGGTATATTTATTAAGGTGTAAAAGAAGCTTGATCTCGAACAGAAAGTTTGTAAATTGTGTTTTACAAACTTTTTGCAAAAATTGTTTCACTAGTGACCGATTTAATTATTTTGTCATGTTTTTTTCCAGAGTGCTGGATTGAGCGATACTGTATATCAAATGAATTGGATATTGATGCCTGTCAACAAACAAAAGGATTTATTGATGATTATGAAACGTAGCACACGACCTATCAAGTTTACGAGCAGCTTTTTGGTGTCATTATCTCTCGAGTCTTACGGAAATGTTAGTATTAAAATTTCAAGTTTTCTTGATATTTTCAATAACGTAAGGAAAATTTCTAATTTCTACTAAATTTTACTTTATAGCTTCTGAAAGCGTCTTACTCTGCATTTAATCTTTTGCAACAGTCTTAAGATTATACATATTTAATCTTTAATCGTAATGTATCATGTATAAATAAATTACTCATTGCAGAATGTACGGATTTTTCGTGTCTTTTTTTAGAACTATTGTAATAATTTTTTGACAAATTGTTTAGAATTCACAGATTGTTAAGTACAAAGTAGAATTAAATTAAAATCAAATATTTCTTTACAATTTCGACATCTGATTTTCAATACTAGTAAAATTTTTTCACCCGTTATATTTTTAGGAAATACAAATATTTCCTCACAAATTAGTTGAATTCCAATAATCCAGAATATTTTGTGATATTTATGAATTTTTCAGAAATAATTTATAGAATAATTTTTAAAATATTAGCTAAAATAACTGGTAATAATAATAATAATATATATATATATATATATATATATATATGTAATAGATACATATAAATATATTTTTTATATCTATTTCAATCAATATGTATATATATAATTTTTAAAAATTATATAGATTGCTACAATTAAAAGCATATAAAATAAATTAAAAAATGTACAAAACATTTATAGAAAAATACATATTACACATCGCCTAAAATGTGACACATCACTGTAAAAATATTGATACATTACAACTCTAAAATGCGAAACAAGAATTTGATTAACTCGCTAAAAATAAAATACTACTTACTATTTTTTATAAGTCGTATATAAACATACAATATATACGCTAGGATTAATAATGTCTGCAGTTGTATTTGATAGAGTTATATGAATGATTCCGTAACTTGGAAAATGTTTAATTACATATTCGTTACATCTTATATTTTGTTCGGACGATGAGGAAATATAATCGTTTATATTTCTCTTGCGAGGAATATAAGCCTATACTGAGTTGTATCTGATGACTAAAAAAATAAACATCTTATTCGATGGGAATATGACAATATGCTTGAATAGTAGAGATACAAGAATAGAGATATGCGCACCCCTTGATCGTTGTAAAGAAAACGATCTATGTAATCGTCATTATAGTCATGTGTCCTTACAATATTTATCTATAAATGGAAAATAAGATGCATCGTAATACGCTGTAATAGACTTCATGTCAAGTTGCTAATGACAAATAATTAATATAGCATAGGGTTATAACATTAAAGAAAGTACATTTATGTATTAGTCTTATGTGCACAAAAAACGTGCGTTTTATTGAAAATTTAATTGTCCTTATATATGATATTGAAACAGCTTATATCCATTTAACATCCATCATTTCTGTTGTGCCGTTAAAATATGAGAAGTAATATTTCGAAAAAGTGCGCGATATAAATATCTATTTTTGAAAAATTATATTTACATTTACACATATTTTTATCATTGGAGATTATTCGATTATCAATGTATCAAATAAATAATTTTTTTTTATATTTAGTGCTCAAAATGAAATGCGAGAGTCACTCATAAAATTTTCTCATCGTATAATACATAAAAGTTTATATCCTACTCTACATTAAATTTTACCTAACTCACAAAAAATTAATTAACACCACATTTAAGGAAATAAAAAGAAGAAAACGTACCATGCTATACAATTGTCGATTAGTTTAGTTATTTTATCATGTAGAAAAGTGTTATATTTTTTTGCAATCTGTGTCTCGATAAGCTATTGCTAACTTATATTTAAATATTATATATTTCCTTAAATATGCAACTATTTCCTCTAAATTTTTTAATGTACACTGTCGGCGGTGTATGGCGACCTATCGAATGGTCATCGAGCGTTGCCAAATTGTTATATAACATGTTTACCTCTACCATATTAGTCTTGTTATACTTTTTGATGGTGACTCAATTCATGGATATCCTTTTTGTTGTCAACAATATTGATGATTTCGCCACTAATACTCTAATGTTCCTGACTATTGTTGCTGTTACGTGTAAAGCGACTATCGTTGTAGTACGTCGAAATGCAATCATCAAGTTGGTGCAAACATTATTGAAGGCACCGTGCAAACCTCGGGACGAGGTTGAAATGGCAATACAAAAAAAATTTGACAAGTTTATCAGGTGAGCACGTGTATCATTATAAAAACGCTTTAGTTAATCATGTATAAATACTACAAAAAAATAAATTGATTTGCATCCTTTCTCATTAAATGTAATAATTTTGAGAAAAAACTATAAAAATGTTATTTTAAATTATTTTATATTAGTTTCTTTATAGAAAAAAAATTAAAAGAGCTATTATTTTAATTATAAATTTTTGTATGTATAGTTGAAAAATTTGTGTAAAATTTAATAAATATCACATGTCCCAAACGATCCACAGAAATTTTTGTATTGATTTAAAATAATACGAATATATGTTAAATGACACAAATTACTATGCTAATAATGTTTTTAACATAAATAAATGCAAACTTCAAATAAACTTAATGTAGTTTTAATGTAAAAATTAATTAAAAATTTTAATTTTACATTTTATGATCGCCACTTATACTATAAAATAAAATCAAAAGTTAAATTAATACATAAATGAGTTAAATATTTAACATACAAATTTTAATAAGAATTGTTTTTAACAGAAAGAAAATACAAATTTTCCAACTGTGTACATACATATATTAAAAAATTAATTTTAATTGTCAAAAATGTGAAAGTTTACAAAATATAATCTCAATACTCTGTTTGCAGGTCATGCTCAATTAAATATTCACTTTTGGCGACGAGTTCCGTTACAGGAGTCACCGTAAGATCAGTGTTAAATGTCACACAGGGCTATCTGCCTTACAGAATATGGGTGCCATACGATACAAACACATCTCCGATGTTTTTGATTACATCCATTCAGCAAATCGTAACTGTAGTTTTCGTCACTATCATAAATGTTGGCACGGAAACTCTGGTTTTCGGATTGTTTTTGCAAACGTGCGCTCAGTTTGAAATTTTTGAGAATCGTCTTCGCATATTAATATCTAACAAAATAGCTAAATATCTGAAACCTGTTTCATCAAATAAAGGAAAGGCAATAATTTCGGAATATATACATCACCATCTCAGTATTTACAAGTTAGTTATATGAAAACCAATTGTTTTGCATTGTATTTTCCGTAAATTTTATCATTTTAAAATATATCAATCTGATAACTGCTATTGAACAATTTTTCTAATATTTTTAATAAGATAACATTTATAAAAATTTTTTAAATAATTTGTTAAATTAATATATTCAATTGATCCATTTTTGACGTAAATCAAATAATGACTATCATATATAGAATCAAATAAACTCTATCTCAAGAAATAAAATATGACAGAATATTTCCTATAATTTTTAAAGTTGAAAAATTTTTAAATATATGTCATGATAAAATTACCCATCACAAATATCATTAAAAAAAATTAATATGCTATCGTTACAGATATGCTAAAACGGTAAATGCTATATTCAATCAAGTACTCTTTGTCCAATTTTTTGGCAGTATATTAGTCTTATGTACAAGTGTATATTATCTGTCAGCACATATTACGGAATCTGAAAGTGCAACTTTAATAGTTTACACTATCTGTATGTTTGTACAAGTCTTTGTTTATTGTTGGTCAGGAAACGAAGTCATACTTAAGGTATATTTATATATAGATTTCGTAATTAAATCTATCCAATCATAACTTGATTGGTAAAGAAATTAAGATTATCTCGTAAACTCGAAAAAAATAAAATTACACTGAAAAAAATCCATGTACTTTTATATGGAAATTACTAGTTCAGAACTGAAAAAGTTACTTGCTTATCACTGTAATTTTTTTCCATTTGTTTTAAAGTGAAAATACATATTAATGTAAAAATACATGTAATATAGGTAAAATTATTATTTTTATGCAAAAACATATGTAATTTTAAATTTATTATTTTTACTTTATTAGAATTTTATTTTATAAGTATTTATCTATTTTATTTATAACATTATTTTATAGCATTTATACATTACTAACATCTCCTATGTGTAATTACATGTTCAGTGAAATATTTTTAATCTTGAAAATATTTAAGAATATATTTCATATAAAATTACATATAATCTGTAATCTTCCATATAAGTATCAATATTGCATGATTATGCTTGGTCTGAAAAAACCTAGCTTAATCATGTAATTTTACATAAATATTGTTTTCAGTGTATGAAATTATTTCATGATTTCAAATTATATACATATCTGACAATGAGTAACTATATAAACAAAGTAATTTTGTAAATTAAAATGTAATATTATAAGATAATAATTCTATCTCTATTTTTATGTGACAGAGTATGAGTGTAGGAGATGCGATATATCGTATGGATTGGCCCTTATTACCAGTCAACGATAGAAAGGAGCTGCTGATGATCATGATGCGTAGCACACTTCCTATAAAATTTACCAGTAGTTTCTTGATAACTTTATCTCTCCAATCTTATAGTGGCGTAAGTATTACTGTTTGTAACAAAATAGTGACACAATATATTAAAATATATTTAAGATATCACTAAAGATATATCTGATAATGCCTAAACCTAAACCTATGAGAACGTTATCAGAATTGTTGACAAGTGCATAGGTCTTCTAAACTAATTCAGTCCTGAATTTTTTCTTTCAGATTTTAAAAATATCATATTCGGCATTTAATGTGTTACAAAAGTGAGATATAAATAATCAAGAGTGTATGTAAACAAACATGAAAATATTATTGTAGTTTTAGATTAAATTATTTGTTTAAATTAAGAGTAGACAAAAAATAAATTAAAATATTTATAAATCTGTAAAATTTCTGCTTGTGTATATATCTCAATCCAAATCCCTATTGTAAAAATATTAATGTCGTCATTATTTATAATTAATATATTTGTTTGCCTTTTAAATAATAAATAGATATTAAATATCCAAATTAAAAACCACCTACTCGACAATAAATAAAAATAAAATTTAATTGATAATATTATATAATATTATAATAGATTAAATATGTTCGAAGAAAAATGAAAACAATATATAATATGCATTCATACATATATATACGCACATTGAATATACATACATGTATATATGTTACACATTTAATTAGAATGCACACACAATTTGAACTGACGTACAAATAGCAATAACATATTTTTGCACTAAAAAAGAAAATTATGTTTCATCTGCAATGTCTTTTTTACTATTAGAATTAATACTCTATCTTCCAGTTTGTTCGTCAGATGTATAAACAATTAACTTGCCTATCATTTAAATATATTACTTCTTTCGCTACATCGTTTGCTCTCTCGTGCGATAAAGTCAAGTTTCGTAGAAAATATCATTTTATACGCTCAGTTGCTGCCGATGATATAAAAATGTATGAATATTTTATTCAATGGGAATATGACAATATGCGTGCATGCTTATTGTAAAGAACGGGTATTTCCCGATCGTTACAGGTAAGATAATTTTCACAATTACATGAGTGGAAAATAATGTGCATCATCAAGTTGTTAATAATCGTATTAATGGCAAAGAGGGTTTTAAGAAGTAGAACTACATGCAGTCTGTCATAAAACGTGTTCGATTACATTTGAAATCTAATTATTTTGAATATAGTAGAATAAGTTGTATTAGTGCTAATACAGATTACAAAAAATTTTATTTTGTCGCATTGACAATTGTGTAAAATGTGAGCAAGTGTTTATGTAATTATATTGTGGACAAAATTTTTTAAAAGCATATATAAATATTTATACTATCTTCTATTACAAAACAATATTCGATTTTTAATTCATGGTGATATTATACATTATTTAAATATTAAAGTTAAAAAAAAAAAAGAAAAATTAAAGAAAAAAGTAAAGAACATTTTTTAGTCGACAGTAAGGCTTTAATTAGAGCCAAATAAAATTTATTGTATAAATATTAATATTTTTCGATTATTTTTTCTCTTTCATTTTTTACCTGTCTATCTATTTGTCCGTTTATCTATTTATCAATTGTTTATCTATATTTGCTCTTCTTCTATATAAAAAAAAAACTTATCAAAATCGTGTAGCCATACGAAACTACTAAACTACTAAATATAGAATATGTTTGAGTTGTCTCTTTCAATATATTTGGACATTTATTTTTGTAATGATAAAATATATTTCAGATAATATATTTTATGTCGTTATTTTTCTAGATGTTATACGTATAGAAAAGTACTACATTCTCCTTTATAATTATAAAGATGCAAAAATTTACTCTAAATTTTTTAATATATACCATTAGTGGCATGTGGCGACCTATCGAGTGGTCATCAAACGTCGCTAAACTACTGTACAATTTATATACTTTTATTATACTAGTCTTGGAATACTTTTTAATGATAACCCAATTCATGGATATCATTCTTGTTGTCGATAATATCGATGATTTTGCCACTAATACTCTAATGTTCCTGACTATTGTTGCTGTTACGTGTAAAGCGACCGTCATTGTAGTACGTCGAAGTTCAATCATTAATCTGGTGCAATTATTTTTTAAAGCACCGTATAAACCTCGAGACGAAGATGAAATGGCAATACAAAAAAAATTTGATAAGTTTATCAAGTGAGTACTAGTAAATTTTATATATATATTTTTTTTTTGCATTTCCTAAGATAAAATAATAGTTATTTTGTTAGAAATTTTATGACGAGTTTCTATAAATATTAAAACTACAAAAAATTATAATTATCATAAGAATACTTAATGACATAAAATATAATCTCAATTCACATGTGTGTGTAGGTCCTGCACGATCAAATATTCACTTTTGGTGACAAGTTCCATTACAAGTGTCGTTGTAGGATTAACGCTAAACGCAGTGCATGGTCATTTACCCTTAAGAGTATGGTTGCCATACAATGTTACCTCATCTTCGATATTCTGGTTTATATCTATTCAACAGATTATAACTGCGATTTACTGCGCAGTCATAAACGTTGGTACAGAAACCTTAGTTTTTGGATTAATTTTGCAAACGTGCGCTCAATTTGAAATTTTCGAGACTCGTCTTCACAAATTAATATCTAACAAAACACGTAAATATATGATATCTACTTCATCAAATAAAGGAAAGGCAATAATTGCGGAATCCATTCATCATCATCTCAGTATTTACAAGTTAGTAAAATTCGATTCTTTTAAGCATTGCACTTTCGGTAAATCCTATTATTCTAAAATATATTAATCTACTAATTGCTATTTTATTATATATGCTTATTTTATCATTTATCTAATGTTTTTCATAATAAAATAACATTTATAAAATTTTTGAAATAATTTGTTAATGTGTTAAATTAATTCAATTTTTTAAGTAAATCAAATAATAATTATCCTCATCCAGAATCATATTAATTCTGCCTCAAAAATTAAAATACAGTAATTTATTAGTATAATTTTGAAAATAGAATGATAAGATTGTCCAATATCACGTATCATTCTAATATAAAACTGATAAAATATTGTTGCAGATACGCCAAAACGGTAAATATTATATTCAATCAAGTACTCTTCGTCCAATTCTTTGCCAGTATATTAGTATTATGTACAAGTGTATATTATCTGGCAGCACATATGAATGAATCCGAAAGTGCTTCTTTTATAATTTACACTATCTGCATGTGTGTACAAATTTTTCTTTATTGCTGGTCCGGAAACGAAGTCATACTGAAGGTAATTATAAATTTAAAGATCCAAACATATACTTGATTGATAAAAAGAATATTTTGCAAGTTCGAAACAAAATAAAATTACAGAATTATTCGTGATTTCGAATTACATTAATTTATAAAGTATATACATATCTGAGTAACTTTGTAAATTAATTTATTTTGTAAATTATAATATGATTAAAAATCTCACACAAACACTTCTATAATTTTATTCTTCTTGAGCTTGCAAAATAATTTTCCAACTATCGCTAAATTGGAAGTATTTCATATTTATACATATGCATTATTAAGTAACGTAAATATTTATAAAAATGTATGCAAGAAATATATATATTTATGTATGTATATGTGTATAAAGCTAAAAAATTAATTTAATATTAGTATAAGGTAATTATATTATTTCTATTGTATTTCTATGGCAGAGTATGAGTGTAGGAAATGCGATATATCATATGGATTGGCCCTTATTATCAGTCTGTGAAAGAAAGGAAATATTGTTAATTATGATGCGTAGTACAATTCCTTTAAAATTTACTAGTAGCTTCTTGATAACTTTATCTCTCCAATCTTATGGTAGTGTAAGTATTACTGGAGTATATGCATATAACAAATAATGACACAATATATTATTAAAAGTTAACAAGTCTGTAAGATATTATTAAAATATTCGACAATGTTTTTATAAAAACTCGAATTTATGACAAGTGCATTTCATAAATTAATTATTATTTCCTAAATTAGTTATTTCCTTAATTAATTCAGTTCTCTAATTTTTCTTCCAGATCTTGAAAACATCATACTCAGCATTTAATGTATTACAAAAGTGAGATAGAAATAATTAAAAGTATGTACAAACATGAAAATATTATTGTAATTTTCGATAAATTAATAGACTGTAAATCTGTAAAATTTCTGCCTGAATATATATATTTAAAGTCACATTCCTATCTAAATTGTAAAAATTGTTTATAATTAATATGTTTGTTCGCCTTTTGAATCAAATAAAAACTATAATATGCATTCATAAATATATACACACATTTACTTTTGCATTAATTAGAAAAAAAAATATATGTTTCTGCGATGTCTTTTACTGCTAAAATTACTGTCTTCCAATTTGTTCGTCAGATGTATAAACAATTAACTTAAATAGCATTCAAATATATTATTTCTTTTGCTACATCGTTTGCTCTCTCGTGTGATAAAGTCAAGTTTTATAGAAAATATCATTTTATACATTCAGTTACTGCCGATGATATAAAAATGTATGAATATTTTTATTTCTCTCATATGATAAATACAAAGTTTATAGAAAAATACCATTTTATACATTCATTTACTGCCGATGATTTGAATATGTTATTCGAGAAGAATGTGACAATATGTCTATAGAGAACGACATCCCCCGCTGGTTGCAAGTAAGATAATTTTCATAATTATAGTAGCATTTGCATGAGCGAAAAATAATGTGTATCATCGAGTTGCTAATAATCGTATTCATAGCAAAGGGAGTTAAGAAGTTCAAACAAGTAGAGCTATATGTAGTCTGCTTCAAGACGTGCTCGATTACACTTTATTCACTACGAAATATAATTATTTTGGACGTAGTAGAATATAAGTTGGATTAGTGATCAAAATTCAGATTTCGAAAAATTTTACTTTATCGAACTGGCATTTTCAATTCAATTAGAATTGCGAATGCTTTTATGATAGAAATTCTTTACGAATTCTTAATAAATTTTGCTAATTTTGTGTTCAAATTTCTATAAAATTTTCAAATTAATAAATGTTTAAGGAATTATCTTGAATTTGCATTACACTTCGTAAAACAAAATAAAATAATAATTATATTAGAAATTTTACTATAAACTTCTGCAAAATTAAAATAAACAGATTTTAATTGTAAGAATACTAATGTGCATAAAATATAATTTTAATTCACATTTTTGTGTATGCAGGTCATGTTCGATAAAATATTTACTTTACGTGATGAGTTCCGTTACAACCATCCTCATAAAGTCAATAATAAGCGTAATGCAAGGTTAATTACCTTTAAGAATATGGTTGCCATACGATATTAACGCATCTTCGATATTCTGGATTATATCCATTCAGCAGATTATGTGTATGTTTTTCGCGGGAATCATAAATAGCGACACGGACAGTTTAATTTTCGGATTGTCTTTGCAAATGTGCGCTCAATTTGAAATTTACAAAAATCGTCTTCAAATTGGTGACGAGCAAAATAGCTAGTTATTTGAAACATTCACCTTTTACGGTGAATAATGACAAATTGATAATGTCGAAGTGCATCCAACATCACCTCTGTATTTACAAGTCAGTTACATGAAAATCAGTGATATATTTATAATTATTCTATTTACTTTTCCTATTTATCCTATTTATTTATCTGCTTAGATCTATGAATTATTATAAATTGTTTTCTTACACTAAAAAAATTTGTTAACTTGACTAAAACCTTTTAATTAAATATTATATTATTTTGTTAATTAGACATATAAAAATATTTAAATTAAATATAATATATTAAACATAACAAAATGTATATTTGACTTAAATGCTAATATATGTTCAATTAACAAAATAGTAATTTAGTTGAAAGATTTAGTCAAATTAATAATTTTTTATATAGTTATATTATTAATAAATATCCTAATAAGAAATATATAATTAGAAAATAACGTCTATTATTTAGAATTAATAAGGTTTATTTAGAATTAATTGATAGTTGTTAGGCTCGAGGAGAGATCGTTCTCCGAATAATTATATATTAGTCTATTCCAAATTATCTGATTTTTCAAGATAAATCAAATTTAAATATGCTTACTCATTATTATATTTTTTAATTTACTTCTCAGTAAATAATAAATGCTAAGAGTATTCTTAATTTTTTAATTATGCAAACTATAAAAAAATATGAAATTATGTATAATGTTAAAGTTGTCCCAATGATATGGAATACCAAGAATTAATACAACATTATTACAGATTCGCTAAAACGATAAACATTATATTTAATCAGATGCTCTTCGCTCAATTTTTTGGCAGTATATTGATATTATATACAAGTATATATTATGTGTCAACGCATCTAACGGAATCCGAAAATTCAACTTTGATAATTTATTGTATTTATACCTTTGGTATGTTAATGCACATCTACATTCTTTGTTGGTGCGGAAACGAAGTCATGCTTAAGGAATGTAAAATTTCGTTTTATAGAATGTTTAGTTAAAATATTTACTTAACTATATATTACCAAATAAAATATTTGGCAAAAAAATGTGAAAATATATTAAATATGTACAATAGAAATGTGTAACGAATATAAAGTTATATATAAATATAAAATAATTAAATTAAATAAATGCTATTGTTAGATTTACTGTCATATTTCTATATTGGCAGAGTATGAGTATAGGAGTTGCGATATATCATATGGATTGGCATTTATTAGCAACCAGTGAGAAAAAGGAACTCCTAATAATCATGATAGTACAGTTCCTATTAAGTTTACTAGTTTCTTGATAACTTTATCTCTCCAATCTTTCGGTAGTGTAAGTATTCAATATTACGTTTCATTTGCATACATATAAGATATGTGTAATATATATATATAATAAAATTATTACTTAATATATTTAAAAAATATATTGTATTATCAACAATAAATTTGACGAGTAATGTGGAACACGAACGAAAATTTTTGGCAAATCTATAATTTTTTTCTTTTTTATAACATTAAGTTTCTTTTGTAATTGCTTTTTCAGATTTTGAAAGCATCATATTCAGCATTTAATGTATTACAAAAACGAAACAGATATAGTCGAAAATGCATTTAAATATCATAATAATATTGTAGTTTTTGATTAATTAATGTAGTCGACTTAATTCTCTCCTTTACCATATTTTTTACAATAAACTGTTAATATTTATTATTGAGAACAGAAACAGTTGGGCAAAAAGCAATAATACAAAAAACGATATCGTATATAAAAAGCCACGCAAAAATGCAGACATACAATATAACGTATGTGCGTATACATTTGTACACACACATTGAGTGTAAATACGTGATCATAAATCAATGCAAATTTGATCTAATATACAATATAAATAATAATAATTTTAACTTGAGTATTTATTAAAAAAACAAACCCCCCCCCAAAAAAAAACTTTCTTATTGCTATATGTAAATATACTAATGTAAATATATATTTTTGGCTTATCATACTTAGCAAATAGATGTATAGATACTTTACTTGGGAAACATCCAAATGTATGATATATTTTATCCCTCTCGTTATCTACGTAATTAAGTCAACTCTGGGGAAATATAATTTCCCCATTTGCTTGCTACCGACGAATAATGAAAATATACAAATGTATTTCATTCGATGAGAATATGACAATATGTTTGATTGTAAAGAACGGCAACCCCTGTCGTAACCCGTTGTTGCAATTAAAACGATTGCAGTATTCATCTAAGCGGAAAATACCGTAAGAGACTTTAACATATGTTAGATTACTAATATCCATAATTGAGGGTAATTGAAGTCTAAAAGTCGAAGCAAGGAGAGGTAAAACTTTACGCAGTCTCCCTCAAGACATGCTCAACTACATATATATAGTTGAGGTTTAATAATTATCTTTCCGATAGCGAAATAAGTTATGTTTGTGATTCTATTATTCTGTGCAAAGCAAAAAAGTGTGTGACAAATAATAATATTCTTTCCTCATATTATTTGCATTTACACATGTCAAACGTTGCATTGAAGTTCAACAATTTACAGTTAAATATATCTTTTATGAGTTAAACCGTTTTATAAAATATTATATAAAGATGCAAATATTTTCTCTAAATTTTTTTATGTATACAATTAGTGGTATATGGCGACCTATCGAGTGGTCATCGAACGTCGCTAAGCTGCTGTATAATGCATTTACTTTTATTGTAATAGTCTTGGAATATTTTTTAATGTTAACTCAATTCATGGACATCGTTCTTGTTATTGATAATATCGATGATTTTGCCACTAATACTCTATTATTCCTCACCATTGTTAGTGTCTGTTGTAAAGCGACCGTCGTTTTAGTACGTCGAAAATCAATCATTAGTCTCGTGCAATTATTGATGAAAGCACCGTACAAACCTCAAGATGAAGACGAAATGGTAATACAAGCAAAATGCGATGAGTTTATCAAGTGAGTACTATTAAATTTGTTAAGAACATTAGTAATTTATTTATAATATTATGTATTAATTTAATATTTTCAATTCAATTAGAATTGAGAATGCTTTTTGTGATAGAAATTCTTTACGAGCTCTTAACAAATTTTGCTAATTTTATGTGTTCAAATTTCTATAAAATTTTCAAAGTAATAAATGTTCAAGGAATTATCTTAAATTTGCATTGCTTCGTAAAACAATAAAAAATAATACTTATATTAAAATATATTATACTTATATTAAAAATTTTAGCGAATATTAAAACAAAAATATTTTAATTGTATGAATACTAGTGTGCATATAATATAATTTTAATTCACATTTTTGTGTATGCAGGTCATGTTCGATAAAATATTTACTTTTAGTGATCAGTTCCGTTACAGGCATGACCATAGGGTCAATGCTAAACGTAATGCAAGGTCATTTACCTTTAAGAATATGGTTGCCATACGATATTAACGCATCTCCGGTATTCTGGATTATATCCATTCAGCAGATTATATCTACGATTTTCGCGGCAATCATAAATACTGGCACAGAAACTTTAATTTTTGGATTGTCTTTGCAAACGTGCGCTCAATTTGAAATTTACGAAAATCGTCTTCGTAAATTGGTGACAAGCAAAATAGCTAGTTATTTGAAACATTTACCTGCTTCGTCGAATAATGAAAAATTGATTGAAATATCGGAGTGCATTCATCATCACCTCTGCATTTACAAGTCAGTTATATGAAAATCAGTGATATATTTATTCTATTTATTTTTCCTATTTATTCTTATCTATTTATCCTATTTATTTATCTGCTTAGATCTATGAATTATTATAAATTGTTTCTTACACTAAAAAATTTGCTTACTTGACTAAAACCTTTTATAATTAAATATTATTATGTTTATTGAACATATAAACATATATTTAAAGTAAATATAACATACTAAATATAACAAAATGTATAGTTGACTTAAATGTTAATATATGTTCAATTAATAAAATAGTAATTTAGTTGAAAGATTAAGTCAAGTTAACAATTTTTTATGTAGTTATAATATTAATAAATAATCCTAATAAAAATATATATAATTAGAAAATAACGTTCACGTTTATTTAGAATTAATTGACAGTTGTTAGGCTCGAGGAGAGATCGTTCTTTGAATAATTATATATTAGTCTGTTCCAAATTAACTGATTTTCAAGATAAATCAAATTTAAATATGCTTACTCATTATTATATTTTTTAATTTACTTCTCAGTAAATAATAAATGCTAAGAGTATTCTTGATTTTTTAATTATGCAAACTATATTATAAAAAAATATGAAATTATGTATAATGTTAAAGTTGTCCCGATGATATGGAATGTCGAGAATTAATATGACATTATTACAGATTCGCTAAAACGATAAACATTATATTCAATCAGGTACTTTTCGTTCAATTTTTTGGCAGTATATTGATATTATGTACAAGTGTATATTATGTGTCAACACATATGATGGAAGTCAAAAGTGCAACTTTGATAATTTATACCTTTGGTATGTTTGTGCAAATCTACATTCTTTGTTGGTGCGGAAACGAAGTCATGCTTAAGGTATGTAAAGTATCGTTTTATAGAATATTTAGTTAAAATATTTACTTAAATATATAGTAGTACCAAATAGAATATTTGGCAAAAAATGCGAAAAAATATCAAATATATATAATAGAAATGTGCAAAGAATATAAAGCCATACATATAAATATAAAATAATTAAATTAAATTAATAAATGCTATTGTTAGATTTACTATCATATTTCTATATTGGCAGAGTATGAGTGTAGGAAATGCGATATATCATATGGATTGGCCTTTATTAGCAGCCAGTGAGAAAAAGGAACTCCTAATAATCATGATACGTAGCACAGTTCCTATTAAGTTTACTAGTAGTTTCTTGATAACTTTATCTCTCCAGTCTTTCGGTAGTGTAAGTATTAAATATTACGTTTTATTTGCATATATATAAAATATGTGTAATTTATATATTATAAAATATTTAATATATAAATAATTTTATATTATATATATAATATATATAATAAAATAATTACTTGGTATAATAAAAAATATATGTAACATCAACAATAATATTTGACGAGTAATATAGAACACGATCGAAAATTTTGGCAAGTCTATAATTTTTTCTTTTTTTATAACTTTAAGTTTTTCTTGTAATTGCTTTTTCAGATTTTGAAAGCATCATATTCTGCATTTAATGTATTACAAAAATGAAACAGATGTAGTCAAAAATGCATTTAAATATCATAATAATATTGTAGTTTTTGATTAATTAATTAATGACTAATAATCTTAAAATTTTTGTCTACCTATATATCCTCATTCTTAATTCTCTCCTTTAAATTATACGATAAACTGTCGATATTATTGAGAACAGAAACAGTCGGCAAAAAGCAATAATACAAAAGCGATATCGTATATAAAAAATTACGCAAAAATGCAGATATATATATATATATATATATATGCGTAACTTTTTATATACGATTCTACATATATATATATATATATATATATATATATATATATATATATATAATGTATGTGCGTATACATTTGTACACACACATTGAGTGTAAATGCGTGATCATAAATCAATGCAAATTTGATCTAATATACAATATAAATAATAATAATTTTGACTTGAGTATTTATTCAAAAAAGAAAATACCTTTTTTATTGCTATATGTAAATATACTAGAGCAAATATATATTTTTTGACTCATACTTAGCAAATAGATGTATAGACACTTTACTTGGGAAACGGCCCAATGTATGATATATTTTATCCCTCTCGTTATCTACGTAATTAAGTCAAGTCTGGGGAACTATAGTTTCCCTATTTGCTTGCTACCGACGAATAATGAAAATATACAAATGCATTTCATTCGATGAGAATATGTTTGATTGTAAAGAACGGCAACCCCTGTCGTAACCCGTTGTTGCAATTAAAACGATTGCAGTATTCATATAAGCGGAAAACACCGTAATAGAGACTTTAACATATGTCAGATTACTAATAACCATAATTGAGGGTAATTAAAGTCTAAAAGTCGAAGCAAGGAGAGGTAAAACTTTACGCAGTCTCCCTCAAGACATGCTCGACTACACATAATTGAGGTTTAATAATTATCTTTCTACAGCAAAATAAGTTATGTTTGTGACTCTATTATTCTGTGCAAAGCGAAAGAGTGCGTGACAAATAATATTCTTTTCTCATATTATTTGCATTTACATATGTCAAACGTTGCGTTAAAGTTTAACAATTTACAGTTACATATCTCTTTTATGAGTTAAGTCGTTTTATTTATAATATAAAGATGCAAATTCTTTCTCTAAATTTTTTTATGTATACTATTAGCGGTATATGGCGACCTATCGAGTGGTCATCAAATATCGCAAAATTGTTGTATAATGTATTTACTTTTATTGTACTAGTCTTAGAATACTTTTTAATGTTAACCCAATTCATGGACATCGTTCTTGTTGTCAATAATATCGACGATTTCGTTGCCAATTCTCTAATGTTCATAACTATAATTGCTGCTTGTTGTAAAGCGACTATTGTCGTAATACGTCGAAATGCAATTGTCAATTTAGTACAAATGTTATTGAAGGAACCGTGTAAACCACGAGACAAAGATGAAGTGGCGATACAAACGCAATTCGACGAGTTTATCAGGTAAAAGTAATTATTATCTGAATGATTTGTTTCTCCAATTTTAATATTTTGTTAAATTTAATTTTGTGTTAATGATCTGTCATTTAAAAGACATATGTAGAATGATTTAATTTTTTCTTAATAGTAAAATAACTTATAGTTAAATCTTTCTTTCTCTCCCTCTTTTATAAAAGAAATTGTTTGCAAAAATGCAATAACTTACTTAATTTTTTTAATACATCCACGGTGAAGATTTAATTAATATATAATATAATAATAGTACATACCATTCCGGATATTCCTGATTTCAACATCGGTAATTCATTCCTCTGTCATTTTCCTGCGATCCCTCGATTTCTTTTTGTTGCTGTTGCATGTTTGAGGACGCCGCTGTAAAAATTTCGTTAAATTAATAATTTATAAAGAAAAAGAAGACGCTATTTTATAAGATTAGGAAATACATATTTTTTACAGAAACAAATTATATATACAAACAAAATAATCTAAAATATATCATGCTTTCTCTATTTCCTTATCTCTCACAGAAAATAATATTTAAATTTTATCTCAATCTTTATTAATATATACTTAATGCATATTTTATTTTTTATGTATTTGTGCAAATATATTAAAAGTATAAAAGTTTATATAAAATCTAATTGATAGAAACGATTTGTCTGCAGGTCATACTCAATGAAATATTTTATTTTGGTGATGAGTTCTCTTACAAGTGTAACAATAAGATCAGTGCTGCAAGTTATGGAAAATCATCTACCTTACAGAATATGGATGCCATATACAAATTACAATAAACCTTCAACATTCTGGATTATATCTATTCAACAGATTATATCTGTGATTTTCGCCGCATTTATAAGTGTCGGCACGGAAACCTTAGTTTTTGGATTAATTTTACAAACGTGCGCACAGTTTGAAATTTTCGAAACTCGTCTTCGCAAATTATTAGCTAACAAAACAACTAAATGTCTCGGATACTCGTCTGCTCCGTCAGATAAAAAAAGAATAATAATATCGGAATACATACATCATCATCTCAGCATTTATAAGTTAGTCACATAAAAATTAGTTTTTCTTTTATGCATATTTAACATTATATTTATATTATATTATATATATTTATTTAAATATTTAATTTAAATGTCTATATAGTATAAGTAGCTATACTGTTATAATAATAATAATTAACGTTTATAATAAAAAGTTATTTAAAGTAAAAATGTATAATGTATGTAACTAATTCATTAGGATAAAAGATGATTGTTAATAATTCAAAAAGAAAATATTTTCTAAACTAATGTTATTATCTGTTTTATATTAAAATATTTTGCTTTTAAAGAAAATCAGATTTAGAATCATACAAATCTTATTTCAAGAAATAAAAAAAGTTTTCTCTTTGAATATGCTTAAAAAATTATAATATAAATAATATACATATATTATTCAAAATATTATATGTAAAATGACTGTTCATTCTTTGCATTTTATATAATATAATATCTCTTTTATTATAGATATGCCAAGACGGTAAATATTATATTCAATCAAATACTCTTTGTCCAATTCTTTTGCAGTATAATAGTATTATGTACAACTGTATATTATTTGTCAGAACATATTACGGAATCCGAAAGTGCTACTTTGGTAATTTATACCTTTGGAATGTTTGTACAAATTTACATTTATTGCTGGTCTGGAAACGAAGTCATACTTAAAGTAAGTGACTGTTTCATATTTTACAATTTATTTTAAGTATGCACATACATACTCTTTGTGTGCAATAAAATAATATAAAAAAAATATAATTAACTTATTAAAAATTTACATTTCAAAATATTGTCGAAATGCCAAAATTCATATATTATCTCCTATCAATTGAGATTTATCAATCGCTCTCTGAGCGATTCCTATCATTCTATTACGCGATGATAAGCGATGTTATACATATTAAATTGTTATTACATATTATAGAACTTGATATATATATATATATATATATATATGTATAAAAATATATATAACTAAAATCGATAGAGTAATATTGAGCCCAACTATTTTAAACGATTAGATATGAATCATGTAATAAAAATCAATAAAGTATCGAGGGTGTGAATAAAGTATTTCTCTCGGACACACACCTGATTGTATAATAAAAATACTGATATAAAAAACTCTTTGAAATGTTTGCGCTTCTTTTTCTATAAGTAATTAATTAATAATCAATCGATAAATCTTTAATTTGTAATTAATTTTTCCAAGTAACATTGTCTATTGCATAAATATATAAATGTGTGTAAGTGTATAGGAATATTTTCAAAATATAGAACTCAAAATATAGAACTTGTTAGTTAATGTGAATAAATTATTATTTATATTTATACCAAAATAATTAATTTTATTTCCTTTATTTGATGCAGAGTCAAAATGTAGGAGATGCGATATATCATATGGACTGGCCTCTGCTATCAATCAGTGAAAAGAAAGATGTGCTGATGATTATGATACGCAGTACAATCCCTGTAAAGTTTACTAGCAGTTTCTTGATAACTTTATCTCTCCAATCTTACAGCAGTGTTAGTATTTCTGTTGTTCACATTTAAAAAAAAATAAATATTACTTGGTATGTTTAAAAATATACATTAAATCAATAAATTAAATAGTTAAATTATTTAATTATAGTTATATTTTTATATGTTGAGACAATTGTATATTGTATTAATGCATTTCGTCCACCAAAACATAATTTAGAATTCTATAAATATTTATTAAAAAATCTTTTCTCTTCTTTAATTTTTTCAGATCTTGAAAACTTCATACTCGGTATTTAACCTGTTACAAAATTAAGATTTAAATAATGGATAGTGTGTAGATTCTGTGATTAGTGACTGCAAATAATAAAATTTTTCTTTGATGATATATATCTTTATTTTTATTTTCTATATTTTTTAAACTAATTTATTAGATTTAATAAATTAATAAATTAATAGATAACACTAATTTATTAGATAATACTAGTGTCTTCGATATTAACAATTATAATCTATGTTCTTGTATATTTTCAATAATGCAATGTCGATAATTTAATTATCAAGAATAACAACTATATATTAACTCTGCAATAAAACATATTAAAATATACAAATGTCCATTTAATTTATGAAAAACTCGTCACCCAAGCTAAATTGATGTTTGTCAAAAATGTATTCTTCTTTTTATTTATTTTAGATTAGATAATTTAAATAAAGATAGACATATTAATTAATAATTAATTACAAATTAATTAATAATTTATATATATATATATATATTAATATACATATATATATATATTTAAATTAATTAATAATTTATATATATATTAATATACATATATATATATATATATATATATATATATATATATATATATATATATTTATATATATATGTAGATATATATGTATATATAAAAGAGAACATATAATGTATAATAAAAATAAATATAATGTAATGTATAATGTATAAATATAATGTATAATAAAAATGTACAATAAAAATAAATAACATAAGAGAACATATAATAGAGAATATATAAAAAGAAACAGAAAGAGAGAAAAAGAAAATGCGCTTTATATTTTGCAATACACAATAATATTTTACGTACTATTAAACATCTGTGAGAGACAAAAACACGACCGATAAACGCGAATGAGGAATTATTGGAGTTACAAAAGGGAAAAATATTTGCAAGGTATAGCTAGTCTGAACGTAACCCTCATTTAATCGGCGCAACATATAGCTAAGTTTTCGAGCACAACCTCCATTTATCTCCCATTTGTCATAGCTTTCCTCTCTCATTTACGTATTCCTCTTTCAATTAGAAAATATATTGTTACCTGTGCGAGCGATATTTTTCTTGCTGACACAATTAAAAGTTCCACACGCAAGAGAAAAACCGCGATCTCGATTCGCACATCGCGAAATGGCGGCAGAATGTTGGAAGCGGAAATGACGCGCCAGCTTACGCCCGGAAGCGGAAGTGACGTCTGATGAAGAGGCGGGAAAGTTCGAAGTCGCGATGGACGTAGATGGCGCGAGGAGAAAAAGTTTCGAGAGGAAAGAAACTTTTTCGCTCTCGACTTCCCCCACTTTTTCCACGAAATTAATTAATAAATCGCTCGATTTGCCGCTTTCAGCGTAAACCGAGGACGGCGTTGAATTTTGCGTCGCGAAGGATGATTATTGTTATTTAAGTGCGTTTTTTGATGCAAAAAATAAGGCGAGGTGAAATTCGCGAACATGAATCCCGCGGAAGCTGAAACTGTCGCCGACCTGGTGCAGAACATGATTGTCTCGTTGTGCGGCGAGCAGAAGCCAGGTTAGTCTCTCCCACGGATCATTTGTCGATGGCATTTATATTTAGAAACAATTACGGAACGTTTATTTCGTTCGAATTGATTGCTACTTTATTCGCTTGAAATATTGACGTTCGGTATTTTTAATGTCCTGTCCAGATTTTGGCGACAAACCTTTGTTTATGTCCTGTGATCATTTTTGGTAGGAAGGCATCTTATAAACTGCCTATTTTGACATGCAAATGAATTTTCAATCTAAATCTCTTATAATTCAATTATTCCACATTTTAAAATCAATTCTCTTTTCTTTCTTTCTGGTTATTTGAGCTTTTGTTTTATTCATGTGTCAGTTGGGCATTAATGCGATAAAATTTATTAAAAGCTGTGCTTGTTAAATCCAATTCCGATATATACAGTGTATCTTTGGATTTGCAGCAATTGTTAATAATTCTATAGTATTTCTTAAATATTACGACATAATTTGTAGCATATAAATTTTTGTAGGTATTATATTTTATGATAATAATATGTTCTTTCATATCTTTCAGAATTGATCAGAAGATTTATGCGTTTCTCTCTTGGGTTATTATCATCTACGCAAGGTATAGAAACATTGAGAGAGGATGAAGTAACTGTAGCGACATACATAAAGAGCAAATTGTCACCACGTGATGCAGTACAATTTGATAAACTACATAATGACTTAAAAGATGGGGTAATATATAAAATCTTGCAGTTTATATAGACATATACAATATATATATATCTTCAACTTTTTAGTTTTATATTTTATTTAAATTAAAGAAGATAAAATAAAATAAATATGTAAATCAGTATAGCAATCGAATAAATGTTTTTACATAAATGTTAATCTTTTTTTAGCCACTGAAGAATCGCATAAGTATTCTAATATTTCTGCTAAACATGGGTCAGTCAGCAGAAGCAATGAAGGAGAGAATTTTTCAATTTCCGGACATGAAATTGGGTTTAAGTTCAATTGCATCCACTAGCGGTAAGAACAATATTGTGGCATTTAAATGTAATCCTTATTGATCAAGGCCATTCTCTAATTGTTTCTATATTTAGGACAATCATCGCAAACCTCATGTTCTCAAGCACAAGTTGTATCACTGAATACGACAGAAACAAATTCGAGAGGAATGTTAATAAATCCAAGTAAAATATTCAATGAAGAATGTATTTCGGAAGATGTATTGGTTCAGGACTTGATATATTCTTTCCAAAGTGTTGAAGGAAAGATTTTAAAATTGGATTCAAGCTATGGCTTTCAGATAGATCCCATAGCAAAGATTAATAGATCACAAAAGCAAGCTGTTCTAAGACTGAGTGAATTAGGATACTTACATAATGTAGTGCGGAAAGGATTGGAGAGAATGTCTGTGACAGGCGCGGGTAGAGTAGCTGACAGTTTTGTTGCAGCTCTGCACAAAGAATTGTCAGAATATTATAGATTTATAGCTATAATGCAGGAAGAGGTGAATAGGTAAGAATAAATTTAATATATATAGTGTATCATTAAAGGTATATACAAGAAATATTTGTTATATATAGGTCACAAAATCAAATGGTTATGTATGGAGTTACATTATCCCATTTACATCTTTGGACATGTGATCCTTTAGAAACTTTAAAATGGTTAGCGAGTATAGTAAAAGCTTGCCAAAGTCAAAAAGGTGGTGCATTGGCCTCTACCGTTTATGAATTCAGTTATCATGGAGATGCTGCTGTGAAGAATTTAGTCAAGAGAGTCTTGGAAAGTGTTTGCAATCCCCTATACGATATGCTAATGAGATGGATTGCAGATGGAGAGTTAGACGATCCATATAAAGAGTTTTTCATTCAAGCATGTGCTGATGTTAGTAGTGACAGAATGTGGCATGAAAAATATCAAGTGAGAAATTCGATGGTGCCATCCTTTATCAGTAAAGCCCAAGCAAAGAAAATTCTAGGGACAGGAAAGAGCATTAATTTCTTACGCGAAGTATGTAAAGATTTCTCGCCTTGGCAGGATAAACATTCAAATATGTTCAAAAATTGCGATGAAGAATATAACGGTTAGTAAGCGTGATAATATGTGATTATTAATTATTTTTATAATTAAAGCGAATTTAATATTTTTCCTCAATTTGCTCAATATTTAATTTACAATATATTTAATGAAACTATGGTTTCATTAAATATATTGTAAATTAAACATTTTAATATTTAGTAGATTGTTTCTTAAACTTTGTTAAATTTCAGAAAAATATTTAATGCTATGCCATTTATTTTTTAGTCGAAATTTTTTTTGATATGGATCCAGATGGTCGCTTGCAAACTATGATGGATGCTGCTTATAAAAAAACATCAACCCGAGTTGTTGAAATATTGACAAAACAGTATCATCTTATGGACCATTTACAGGGAATCAAAGGATACCTTTTACTTGGCCAAGGCCACTTTATTCAACATCTTATGCACTTGTTAGAGTAAGGATATGTCTCTAAAGTAATGTTCTCTTGTTCCATTACATTTCAGACCTAAAAAATTATTTCAATTGTATTGTTTCAGACCTGAATTGGCTAAACCTGCAAGTTCTTTATATCCTCATAACATATCGTCTATTCTTGAAACTGCAATAAGAGCAACTAGTACAAAGTTAGATGATTTGGATGTGCAAAAACGTTTAGATGTTAGATTATTAGCACCTTCAGAAAGTGAGACAGGCTGGGATGTTTTTATTCTAGACTATAATGTCGATGGACCAATTGGAACGGTAAAAACAGTCGTAATATATTAAAATTGCAAATTAAAATATAATTTAAATAATCTATACACAATATTTTTTTATTTAGATTTTAGAGCCATGCAGGCAAACGTATCAAACAGTATTTTTTGCATTATGGAGAGCAAAGAGGATGGAAACAATCTTATCTGCTATTTGGAAGCAACAGACAACATCAGCCAAAATGTTCAGAAAAATGCCAGAAGTACTGCCAATCCAAAATCATATTCATCTGATTACTAGCAGCATGGTCCATTTGGTCCATCAAATGCAATATTACTTTCTATTTGAGGTAACATTATGTATCATTAAGTTATTGTTAATGATTAAAACTTGTATTATTAATTTTTAATGATTTGTAGAAATTATTATTTGAGAAAATTGTATTAATTACAGGTAATTGAATGTTCTTGGGATACATTTGCGAAGCAACTTCTTCAGGCAACGTCTCTTGATGATATAATTGCAGCTCATAATAATTTTGTAGATTCTGTGAGACATGGTACATTATTAGATGAGAAATCGCAGGTAAATATTTACAAAAATACGTAGTTTTAATTTACACGCGAAAAAATGCACACTTTATTTTTAATATGTTACAGGAACTTATGGATCATCTACGTTCAGTTTATAGTCCAATATTGGACCTTCAGAATCTCGAGGAAAATTTCCTTGCACATGCTACTAAGGAATATGAGGCAAGATTAAACGCCGATAACATTGTGCAGACGTCGTCTGAGCAAACGAAAAAATGGGGTCGTACAAATAAAAAAGATCAAGAAGCAACAGAAAGAGAGACTGCATTTTCAAAATGTCTAAACAAACTTTCAATACAACTCAAACTACTTTCGAGAACATATCAGGTAATAATAAAATATTCTAATTTTGTTACCATTAGGATGATGTTTCTATCCACACGTTGACTTCTTTGTCACAGTGATGATTTGCAAAAATGCTTGAGAAAAACTGAAGCTTCTCTTTTGAGCATCTATTTTCTCAGGAATTGGTTCTATAAAATTTTTTTTTGCAGGATCGTGTAAAGAAATTTTTACTAATGCTTGCCTCCGCTGAAGATGTGTCATTACAGTTACTTAGTGTACGATTAGATTTTAATGAATATTACAAGAGTAAGGATAGCCGACTAGTCGCGCCATTAACGTACCAACACCGTAGACAAAGCGATCAGACTTTCTTCGGATGCAAGTGACAATCGGCAGCGGAAATTTTATCAGAAAACTTCATTGATCCAAATAACATTTTAATAAACACTCTATCCGAACCGAGCAGAATTCATCTAACTTTAATAGTAAGGATACAAGCATGACATTTGACTTTTCCAGTAATCATCCTTCGGTTCATTCTTTAAATGAGCATCATGATACCACTAATTTTTTTTATAGACCACAATCATCCACAGCGACAGATATCGACGACTCTGTCACTTTGCATAAAAGAAGGTGTAGAACCAATTTGAGAAACGCCGAACTAAGTAAACGCACGTTTAGAATATTTTTGGAAAAACAGATATTGTCACATGTGGAAGTAGAGATTCGGAAAAACATTCACGAAGCTCAAACTCCGTTAACGCCTGATTTTGATTACAACAAAAGCGATTTTACTTTAAACCACGCACGTTTATTAACGTTATCCCCTTCGTTACAAACGACTGTATCAGGAAAAACGTCTATCAGGAATGACTTGAATCTACCAAATTTAGAAGCTGAAATGTATTCTAGTAATAGAGCTATAAGAATAAGTAATGCAGTTATAACTGCTGATTCTGAAATCAATGTGTACGAGGATTCTGTTCAAAACAAATCAAAAGTTTGCACCTACACCGCATCTACATCTAATCAAAATAAATTCATAAATCTTAAAATTAACACAACAGCTAATAAAGAATCTCATACATTCATGTACAATACTACTAGTCCAGAATGGTTTCAAGATAATGAGGTTGTATCAGTCCATGGCTCTCTATTAAGTGAAACTATTTCAGATAGTTCACATAGTGTAGATTTACAAAGAAATACTCATCACAAACGATGTCGTTGGAGACGTATACTCTTTTGTTGCATTAATTAAGCTTGTGATATTCAGTGAATCAAAAAAACTCGCTTTATAAATTTAATATTTATTGCACTGCCTTCATTTCTTGTATTTATGTAATGCTTATTATATTTTTCTTTAGAAAGCTTCAGTATTTTGTGATTATCGTAGAAAATGATATATAGAGCATAATTTATAAATTACCTGTAAATGTTAGTAATTGTACAGAAATTTAAAATTTATATTTTTCACTATATGCTATCATAGATTAAATAGTATAAAATGTTTGCCATTAATAGTAGTAATAGTAATAATAGATTATTGATATTTGTTATATTTTTGACATATTAAAATAGTATGATAATTATATTTTTATCATCTAAGAGTTTTTTTAATTTTTATTATTATTAGGCACTTATTTCAATATATCTTGTTATATTATTAGTTTATTGTTAGGTATAAGAGTAGATTTAGATTGTACTGCATAGACTGTAACAATCAACTTTTTTGCCATATTGAACAAGCCATATTTACTTTTTTTGCCATATTAGAAAAATAGTGCAGCGTACAACACAAATTATTTTTATATTATTGAAATATTGTGTTGCTAAATGTATTTAAAATTTATAATAAATTCAGAATGTTCATTATTATCTTATCTCATTTTTTCAACATATGATATATTAAAACATTGCTACATATAAACTATAAATATGTAATAATAGAATCCTAATAAAAAAATCATTAATAAGCATCATAAAATATTTAATTAAACTAAAAAAAATTTTAATATCAAAAGATTAATATTTAAACAATGAATGTAGTATTGTATTTTTTGTGTTGTTGCAAGAGTGATTTGAGAGATTGTGAAATATTATTTATATACAAATATATAAAAGAATAATTTTATTCATTTATATTACGGGTCACAAACTGTCTTTTCATTTCAAATGTCACGATACCAACAGCTACACCTACATTTAAACTGTCAACACCATTAGTTAGCGGTACATTCAGACGAATACAATTTCTCGCGTGAAGCAATTTGCACGATTCGAGACTTACACCCTCAGTTTCCCCACCGATAACAAGCACCATTTCTTTCTTTGCAAAGTCTAATTTATAATAAGGTTCAACTGGGAGTTGAGATATTAATTTTCTCATTAGTGACTTGGTTTTTGCAGTTGGTTTGTTCGTTTTAACTTTGTCTAACAATTCGTCTACAGTGTCTTCTACTGGATTATCATTTTGAATTTGATCACTGTTGGCATCGTAATCATCTTGTTTTACATCATTATCATCAACTTTGGTACTTACATTCAAGTCTGGATTAATCGTATTATCTTTCAACTCATTTTCATACACCACATTGTTGTCTGCTAGATATACCATTGATTCGTTGCTTATTAACGTTGGAACATCATCCCATGAAACAGATGTATGTATTGGTACACGAAAATGTGCCCCAACAGCACTGCGCAAGACTTTAGAATCCCATACATCTGTACATCCTAAAACAGAAAAACGAATTAAGGAAAATTGACAGTAAAAAAACAGTTTATTTCTAAATTACCTTTCATTAACAGCAGCTTTTCACAACCAACTGCTGCAGCAGCTCTTACAATAGTTCCTAAATTTCCAGGATCTCTAATATTGTCGCAAATAATGGTCAGAGGTATAGCATCATTGGCAGGTTGCTTGGCAGTCATATTTGGGATCTCAAAAACTCCTGTATCAAAGAATAATTATAGTCATTTCTTTAAAGTAACATTTTTTTCTGCATATCTGTGAAATTAAGATGTTTACCAATTAGTCCAGGAGAAGTTGTTAAGTTAGACCACAACTGAATTGTACGATATGGAACTTTATACAATTTTACTTTCTTGGATAGCGATAATGGTAGTATGTCAGATAATCTACTGAAGAGGATCGCTTTTGGTTCTGTCCCTGCTTGAAGTGCGTCTTTAATTAATCGAAAGCCTTCTAACAACATACTTTGGGTCTTCTCTCTTTTGTTTCTTGTTTTGACGTTTATCAATAAAGAACTGAAACATGAAAATACATGTGATATATTACTTGGGCACACAAATTAATTAATAACCAATAAAAATGTCAATCCATACATTATTTAAGAAACTACACACACCTTACAAGCCTGTCATCTGCTTTTAAGCATTTGTATCCTTGTTCCGTGACTACTTCTACGTTATTAGCTTTCTCCTTTCTCTTCTTTTCTCTGACTTTTTGTGGTTTTTGGATCTTTCCTTACGTGTTTTAAAAGCTTCTGCATGCATTTTAGATTTTGTTTCTGTAGCATCAGGCGTAATATCGAAAAGCTCATCTTCATTGACAATTGCACTAGGAGTCCGACTAGTCCACCTAGCATATCTGCATTTAATTTTCGTTCTTAGATCCACTGATCTCAAAAGATTTCTATTGCAAATCGTTCTAACAGATAACTGCACCGCATTGAGTAACATTTTTGAAAGCTCACTTAAAGACGCTAATCAAAAAAAGTTTATTTATTGTAATTATTATATCAATGTTTTTTTAATTATGACACATTCATATCTTTATCATATGATTGAATAAATAAAATTCAACCAAACACGTGCGACACGGCGAGCTATTACTGACAAGTATGCAGCTGTTCCCCCACTCCGCGCCTGTCACGTGACACGCCGGCTCCCCACTCCGCGTCCGTCACGTGATCCGTGACGCGCCGCATTCCAGCGGCGCCTGGCGGTCAAAGTCGATTGAAAGTCGCGCGCATCAAGACGCGCTCTCTCGCTCTCGCCACGATAATTAGTTATTATACAAAAAATTCCTTAATTAAAGTAGTGTTGTGCGGTATCATTAAACGCAGTAAAGTATGTGAAATGCAATTATAAAGTGCAACGCGTAGAATACCTTGATCAAAGCAGTATTACGACTCGAAATCAAGAGAGATCGAAGCCTGAGTACAGCGACAACGAGACATCCCGTATTGTTTTAACTGTATGTATGACGATTCTATTGCTATATTTCTTTTCGAAGAATACATCATCTGTTTATACATATATGTGTGTATAATATGCATCTTCGCGAAATAAATGATCAAGATCGATGTCGCAAACTTTGCACACGTATCTCTTTCCGCGAGTTTCTGTTTCCAATTCGCCTTTATCGAAATTTAAATGCGCGCGAGATTTAAATTTCGCATTGAAATATAGACGCTGGCCAACTTTAACTTACCCTAATATAATATTATAATATAACATATTTATACATATTTGTATATTATCGTTCTACAAAATAATTCCTGATAATTCCCTGTAAATTATTTTCGTGCTAATTACACTTTTGATAAATATTTATTAAATATTTATTCGCGAAAAATAAAAGCATGTAAATAATTACAAATTCGTTCGTCGCATTTCATGATTAAATTTATGATTCAACATTTTTTTTATAGTAACAATGCAGAAATCGTCGAGATAGTGCATTAATTGCAATATTTACTTTTATTATACAATGTAAAAATAGAGTTCGAAAGTTATTTTAGTTAATATTAAAAATACGATCGAGATATATAATGGAGAATTACATATATATGTATATAATAAAAAATATATGTAGTAAGAAATGCAAACAAAGCAAGCAGATCTTTATTAACAGAGAGAAAATAAAAATATATTGCATATAGTTTCTATTTTTCTATGAATTTTAATAATGACTAATATTAATAATTTTATTATGCACATAACATCTGTTTTGTATACACTACAAATTTTAATAATTAAACATTCCGTGGTTTTAAGGCATTATATTTCAATCATATTTTTGAACAAAAATGTAAATACCAGCAAAACTGATTGCAATGGTATTATTTTGCAAGTTATTGTTGTATATATGTATAAGAAAATCAATGAGACTAGATTTATTAAGATATATTAAATATAAAATCCTTTTTTTCATTAAGTTTTTCTGTTTAAATCTGGACGTGTTAGTATGAAACAAATTAGATATCAATTTTTATAATATTATCTTCTTGGGTGAAATATATAAGCCTACTTTTTATTATAACCTTAATACAAAAGAATAGGAAACGTATATTTGTGGTATAATAAAATAAAATTATTTAAATTCTATGAATTTTATTAACTTATTAACGATTCATCAAAAGGTGAAAAATTTATATTATATATAAATTTTATAAAGCATAAAATCATACTTTAATAATATTAAAGCACTCCCAATTTTATCTACATATTGGATTTACTTTAACATATTACGAGTTTATCATTTTTAATATAGATTATTACATATGGTATTTTTTAATTATTAATTAAGTGCAAGTAGATTATTTGCACGTGCATTGTCCGCTTGTCTTGCAGCCACATTGGTCTGTAAAAAGATAAAGAATATATATATAGATATATATATAAATTCTTTCTAAAAGAATATATACATATATAGAATATATATATAGAATATATATATATATATAGTTGTTTATCTGTGTAATTTCTTTATATATACTTTTTTTGTTAAAAAGGGAGGACGTGTAAAATTGATAAAATAGATCATTTTTAAATAATTATTTAAAATAAAACTTTTACAATATCGACTATTCTCCAAAATATTTTCATTTTTAGTGAAATTAAAAATAAAAATATTACTGCGTAATTTAAATAAACATAAATTACATAAATCTTAAAATTGTGAAAATCAAGTTGACTGAGAAAAAAAAGACAAAATATATGTAAGCAGGAAAATAGTACATTAGTATTCCGAGAAATCGTTATTCATTTTATTATGTACAATTATCGAAATGACCGAGAGCCGCGTCGAAGTTTATATATATATATATATATATAGATAACGATGAACAATTAATACATTGCGTAATCGAGCAAATGATTGAACTAATTTTTAATATTACCTTTACATTCGGAGGCGCTACACGGGCAGTTGCTACCGCATTTGCAATCCTTGCACTTGTCTATAATAAATACAAATATTGTATAAATATTACGATGTCATACGAAACTAGATGTTGCATAATACAATTCATCAGAAAAAATTATTTACAAACCGCATATAAATTTCAAAAATTGCGCAATAATACATTGACTATACATTGTCGAAATAATATAATTAGAAATTGATTGCTTCATAAAAAGACAGATCTTTTTTTCTACTCTTATTTTTCATTTATTTTCTACTTATTTTATATATCAGTAAAATTCTTCTATAAGCTATTAGTAACAATTGAGAGGAAATCTCATGTTATTATCAAATTATCTATTAATATTGATTAAAAATTTATAAGTACCTTTGTCGCATCCTGGTCCCGGCATCTTGGTCTCTTTGACTTGTCTTTTCGCTTAGAGAACTTCCAGATAACGCTGCGGAATGCTTACTTGCCAGTACGACGTCGCGTCTTCGAATTTATTGATCATTCCCCACACCTGGGCTCGGTTCAGAGTGGCTTGACAAGCATTACGTGCGACAAGCCGTGCGACGTGTGCACAATCGTCAATATGCGTACCATGCGCATTCTTCAAGGCCGTGGTCAGATCTGTTGATATGAGTTTTTCTGATACAATAATTGGACAGACCAACGTGTAATTAAAAATACATTTATATAGTTCTCTAAATGATTCAATTATTAGAGCATATCGTGGATAATATGTGTAAGTTATTTTACGAGTGACTTTCATAATTAATGAGATATATTAAATGCTTATTTGTCAATATGAAATAACATTTAATTTATGACCACGTTAAAACAGATTCATTAAAATACGCGATCTAAAAAATAAAATATCAAAGCAGATTAAAAGATATATAAAAAGGAGAAAGCGTAATATAGTGAAAATTATATTAAAAATGTAGATTGACACATCTCTTATTGCACTATTGATATTTGATGCTGTTGTTTTGTACATATTCACAAATAAACGTTCATATTTTAATAGAATTTTAAATTATTTGCTTCTCCTTTTCTGTCTAATCAATCTTTTAATCTATTCTTTTATCTTTTACATCATATTATCTCTAAAGAATTTGATTTATATTATCATTAATATTATTTTTTACTCTATCCAAATTAAGCATTTAATGTAAAAGACAATTATACAAATTATATATAGTATAAAAAATAGCTTTCACGCTTTTATCTGTGGTAATTGAATCATTTAGAGAATTATATTTATAAATGTTTACACATCTATTTTTCACGGTGCTTAATCCGTCTTTATTATATATTAGAAAGTGGCACGTGGTCTAATTGTAAGATAAAAAAAAATTGACCAAGTGCATATTAAGGATATAAAGTTTTTATATATGATTATTTCTGTTTATATAATTAAAAATTAAATGTCCGCGTTATTAACAAATCTCGAAGATGGTCTTATTATATCGCTAGCTGAGCAAATCAATCGCGAAAATTAAAAAAAAAAAAAAACGACACAGTATTGTCATATTTTACACGCAATACTGATAACGAGAGAAACTCTTATATTCCAGGAAATTGTACGATTGTAAATTTCCGTGCACTGACTCATTTTACGAGATATTTCCATTTGACCTTTTGTCGGTGATCGTATCATTTTTCCACGACGAGTTTTACGATGACTCTCAGGAAAATTGGCCTCTTCAACATTTGTCGTTTTAAGAAAGCTTCCGTTAAAATAATCCGTCTTCACTTCTAATTTGCATTCGAGATTTATATTGTTTCGTTAATGCTAATGCATCTTTGGCAGCATTTGGGCAACACATTTCTGTAATAATATTCAATATTAATATAAAATTATAAAATATTAACTTAAAAATTAGATCAATATACTTATATTAGTTTATTTTAATTATGCATCATATAATTCACTCCAAATTATACAGAAAGATTACTAATAATTATTGAAGGATCAGTACTTATAACTAATTCTCCAATAATTATTAGTAATCTGTAAAATTTGTGGGATAAATTATAAAAAATTTATAAAAGCAGATTAAAGGTTGCCTCAACAAATATTCTTGCACAGTTGTCTCTTTCAATGATTTTTTATATTCTAATAAATGTAAACACATTTTTAATTTAAAAAATAAAACTCTTTTAAATTTGTCTTGTTTGAATCACGTTTATGACTTTTTTAAATTCATAGAAAAATAGCTTAATATTATGATTTTGTATCCTTCTTCAAATTATTATTAAATATATTGCAATTTTTAGTTCTTCGAAGTTCTTTATCAGTTGCATCTTGATTTTATGTTGATAATTACATCTAATAAATTAAATTCATTTTAAATTTAAATCAAGATTCATTCATAAATATGTTTCATCTAATATATATTTGTTAAGAGATTGATTTTATCATTAAATACAATGTTGCATTTATTCTCGACTTTTCTCATAGATCAGATAAAAACATATTGACTGTCTAAATTACTTGCTATGATAATAGAAGCAGATTCCTTAGGTTTGTTATTCCTTTGGCTCATCTTCATATTGAATATTTTTTGACTGAATTGATATCTGATTTATATCCTCTATCTTTTTGAGATACAATCGAATCTCATTCTTTTTCTTCTTCTAATGTTTGACCTGTAAATATGCATATTTATATATTAAAGATTATATATACATACATATATGCATATAAATATTCAAATTTTAATTTATAATAAAAATTAAGATGAGATAAAGTATTATATTTAAAAGTGGCATTTACATAATAAATCTATAGAAAGATTTCTTGATTACATGAAATATATACATGTGTATACATATATATTATTATATTATGTACTATACTTTTATATATATTTAGTTATATATGTCATGAGTTATATGTTGCATGCAGTTAGCTTAGCAATTATATTAGATTGCATTCAAATTTTAATTAGAAGGTACAAAAACATTATTATACTTACAGAAAAACATTATTATTGATTTTTGTATATTTTTTGGCGACTCTCTTACGCAGTCATTTTAATTTAAATTTGTATAAGTATGCAAAGTATAAAATTGTTATACAATTTTAACATAAATAGATCAATTTTTTAATTCAACTCTTTCAGAAAAATTCATTAGCCTTAATTACTGTAATTATGCATTCGGCGTATCAGCTGTTCAGAACACATGTCTAAAATCATAAACACCTTGGAACATGAAATCACGTGAAGTTGCACTGCAATGCTTACGTAAGCACTGAGAACTTGGACCGACCAATCAGAACGAAGAACGTTCCTTCCTGATTGGTCGGTCAAAATCTTGTAGCGTCAAGTATCAAGATGAATATTTTAGGCATTCGCATCCCATCTAAATATTCGTGCATCATGACTCTAGAGTGCGTTCTCCATTTTAAATCGAAAGTACCGCGCGCGTTGTCTCTCTATTAGTGAATGAAAAATTGACGAGAAAAGACGAAGAAACTCTTAAAAGTCGACGAACTATTAGAGAACTGTAAGAAGAATATATGTAAATATAAGAAAGTTTCTATAAATGAGTTTCTATAAATCGTGATCCAAATTATTCTCAGAATTTTATGTATTTCATTGTGAGTTTGCACTGTGCGAAATTTCATAAACTATAAAAATCGATTAATCAAGTAAAACAAAACATAATCAAAGTAAGAGAAGACTATAATTCATATTCAAAAAATTATATAGTTGTGTCAAAGTGTAATATATATAAAAATTAAACAAATCAAATATAGTAGGCCAACTGAACGAGCAAATAAATAAGGTGTAAAAATTTATTAATAGTTAAATAATTAAATTAACATTCCGTTACAGAATCGATATAAATTGTAAACGTTTCGACTGCACTACAGTCTTTATATCAATACATAAAAGTTAAATATTAAAATACAAAGTTAAATGTTAAAAATACAAAGTTAGTTAAATATTAAAATATAAAATTAAAACGATTCTTCGCTGTTGACCAATAGATATGCAAGGCGATTGGTCTGAGATGCCAAGTTATGCGACATTTAAACATGATTATCGTTTTAACAAGTCCTTTTTCCCGATATTTCAAGTGTGTGTTGCGAAGTCTGAATAACAAATGTCAACAATGTAGACATTTGTTATTCAGACTTCGCAACACACACTTGAAATATCGGGAAAAAGGACTTGTTAAAACGATAATCATGTTTAAATGTCGCATAACTTGGCATCTCAGACCAATCGCCTTGCATATCTATTGGTCAACAGCGAAGAATCGTTTTAATTTTATATTTTAATATTTAACTAACTTTGTATTTTTAACATTTAACTTTGTATTTTAATATTTAACTTTTATGTATTGATAAAGACTGTAGTGCAGTCGAAACGTTTACAATTTATATCGATTCTGTAACGGAATGTTAATTTAATTATTTAACTATTAATAAATTTTTACACCTTATTTATTTGCTCGTTCAGTTGGCCTACTATATTTGATTTGTTTAATTTTGTTAATTTATACGAGCCTTTCATTAATTAATTGTAATATATATTGTATATATATATATATATATATATATATATATATATATATATATATATATATATATATATGCGTATATATGTATAAATTATTTACATACATTATTATAATTAATATAATTGTATTATACATATTAATTATATATTTACACACACATATATATATATAATATAATAATATTAAAATATTGATATTACTATATATAATTAATATTATTATAATATATATAATTAAAATTATAAAAATAAATATATTATAATATATACAATTATATTATATATAATTAATATAATTATTCATTAATATAATTAAAAACGCAACGAATTTAAATATAATTACGGAGTTATATGATTTTTCTTTAATAATATAAATATAGAAGTCTTGCTCACTATAATTTTCAGTTGAATGAAAATGTTTTTATATTTTTCATTAAATTAAAATTTTAATCAGTAAATAATAGATTATTATTAAAATAGATATAATTAGTTACATATGTGAATCGATTAATAATTGTTTTCAAAATATTGTGCATTATTTAATATATACAATACATATATATTATTTCGATTTTTATATTTTCTTTATGGATAATAATTCCGTAATAAGTTGACAAATGATTATGACAAATGTGAGATTTATTCATGGGAAATGATCATATATTGTGTATTATGAATCAAACAATATAATTTGCATTTTAAGATTGCTGCAAAACGTTAAACGCAGAGTAAGACGTTCTGAGAATCTATAAAATAAAATAAAATATTTTAGTATATGAATAATCGTAGGCATTATATATTCATAAGCACTGTCGGAGAAAAAAATATGTATTACAATACTGACATTAGTGTAAGATTCCAGAGACAGGGTCACTAAAAAAGTGCTGGTGAATTTGATAGGTTTTGTGCAACGTTTCATTATTATCAACAGATCTTTTTGTTCGCTGACTGTTACTGATGTCCAATTTATTTCATACATTGCCTCGCTCAATCCAGTACTCTGCACAAATAAGAAAGATTAATATATATTATATAATTATACTATAATTAAATTATATCATTCTGTTGTAACATTGTTCTTTTTTGTTTCTGAATACGTTTTTTTTATAAGTTATGATTTACTTTGAGTATAACTTCGTTTCCAGCCCAGCAGTAAACAAAAATCTGGACGAACATGCAAAGTGTGTAGACAGCTAATTTCACAAAGTCCTCAAATGTTATATGAGATGACAGATAGTAAAGACTTGTACACAATACTAATATGCTGGCGGAGAATTGCATAAAGAGTACTTGGTTGAATATTTCATTGAAAGTTTCAGCAAATCTGTCAATAATATACGTGTATTAATAATAATAAAAATTGTATATAAACTGTGCATAATTTTCTGCTGCTATTTCCGGTGGGAAACGAAACATCCAAAAAATTCAGAATAGAAATAAAGATTTTGACATAAATTTTATAAACTACCCAGATAGCACAAGCTATTCAAAAAGAATTCATTTGTATGTCACCAATTTTGAGTCCCTTTTCAAATACATATATACAATTCATTTTATCAAATGCATTGTATATGTATTTGAAAAGGGACTCAAAATTGGTGACATATAAATGAATTCTTTTCAAATAGCTTGTGCTATCTGGGTAAAGATATTATATAAAACTAACTTTTCCATCTGTACGACTCACCTGATTATGCACAGGTGATAGCGAATGTGTTCTGAAAATCTGCTTTTCTTGTACAATACATTTTTCGAAGGACTCTCTTCCTCCTCATCAGATTTGATCGCTATTCGAAAACGATGCTTGAGAATTTCAAGTTGCGAACATATTTGCAAGCAAAATCCTAATATCAAGGTTTCCGTAGCAACATTCATGATCGTGCCAACAATTATAGCGAGTATCTCTTGAATGGATGTAATCCAGAATAAAACGAGCGAAGAGTGAACGTCGTAAGGCACCCATCCTCTATAAGGCAATTCGCCTTGTAAAGTGGCAAATATCTCTCCTATCGTGACACCAGTGCAAGAAAACGATGCCAGTAACGAATAATTTATGGAATATGTTCTGCATACATAGATCAAAATAATCAATCAATTATGTAACATTAAACAATTTAACAAATAATCGTAAATACAATTGATTAAAGAAATGCCACAATATCTCTTTTGGGCAATCTTTGTATCAGAAGTTTATATTCGCAAACACATAGTTGCTACAAATACAACAATTATTCACATCTATATCTTTATTATTTTATTACAGATAAGCCGCAGTTTTAACGAAAGCTTATAATATTTAAAATTATACATTATATGTTTTATGTTTGAAAATATGTATGTATAAGTGTGGATTATTTTGATTGATTAGCACTCTTAAATTAAATTGTTTCCTTTACTTAATTCTGTAAAATGTATTTAATTGATATATGAAATATTGTAAATTAATAATTATAATCCTGCTTAATCAAACTATTTATTTATCGAGCGCAAGATTTGTATTGTCAAAGGTTGTGTCTGGATATATTGGATACCTGATTAAATTATCGTATTCCATCTGGATATTAATCTCCTCTTCGCTACTAGGTTTGCACGGTTTCTCTTGCAATGTTTTGATCAAATTAATAATTTTATCGCGCCGAATTATGATAGTAGTCGCTTTGCAAAAGCAAGCGATATCCGAAAGAAATAATAAAGAAGTCGTAGTAAAATCGTCGACATTATCAATAACGAGAATGATATCCATCAACTGAATTATCACCGAAAAAATCAATAAGTACATCATTGTGAAAGTATACAGTCCATACAAGTATTTGGAGCATTTCGATGTCCATTCGATCGGTCGCCACAAACCACTTATGGTGTATAGTAAAAAATTTAGAGATAATAACTGCATTTTTACGCAACTGCTGATCAATACATTCTCCTGTTTATTCAAAAATAATTCTTACTTTTAAGGAATAAAATTTATATTCTGCGTAACAAGTTTGATTATTTGTGATTTGGCTATATATAAATTTAAACAATTATGTTGCTAATATTTTTGTAATAGTTGTGTAATATTTTCTAAGATTATTAGATCCTAAAGACTATTAAAAGTTTTAATTCGCTACGTTCACCAATGAGTAAAGAAACTTGAAAGTTTGAAAGACTTGAAATTAAGTTTTCAATTGTTAAAAAATAAAAAGAGAATGCGAAATTTTATGAAATTTATTACGAAAATATAATAAAATAATACAAGCATAATTATATGATATAAAGCTTCAATATTTGGAAGTAAAGTTACAGCAGCGCAAAATTTCACATTCTCCCTTTGCTACATTATTTTTTTTATTAGAGAAATTAAAAATAAATGTAATCTTTTTTGTATACACGATTAAAATCGATATTAGTCGCGAGTCTATATAATTTTAACTCCTCAGAGACTTCACTTCTCGTTATATTTTTTTATTAGCATTCTGAGAAAGATGTAACTTCAATTTATTTTACACAGAATTGCTCGCGTCGATGAAGATAAATAATATAAATAAACCGAGGCACACGCTACAAAGGTTCGTGAGATACTACGATGTGCATCCCCCAACTTTGCGTTCCCCTACAGCTTAGCAAAGTTAATTACGGACATTAGCGACTTGATATAGCGCAGCAAATATCGTCGTATGAAAATGTTATAATTATGACAATCTTTAACGGAATCGAGGAAAGTTACAATTCCAACATATTGACGCGTTCCCAGGAAATGAAAATGTAAAGGAATAGAGAGAAACATTTATTCTGAAATTCTCGCATTTCTAATTATTAAACGTAATGTGTAAGTTGCTAATGTAGCTATTTAGAGAATTGCATTGTCACACAAAAGATTGAAGATCTTGTAGAGACTCTCCATGTAAAAATCTTCTTTAAGTCTATACTTTCATGAATATTATATACGATTGTGTAGGTACGAAATATGTAGATATAATGGATACAATTTTTATATAATAATTTTTTAATAAATTAAATTTTTCAAAATGTTTAATTTTCAATATATACAATAAAACAAATATTAGATATTTTTCTCTTTCTGTATTTAAAATGATAAACAGATATTTGCGGACCACAGAAAGGAAAAAAGAAGATTAAGGAGGATGCAAAACATTATTCATATTCGTATATAATATTCTAATTTTTATCTTATATGTGGCTATACAGTTAATAAATATTAATTAAATGTTAACAAATAATATTTTTCATTAACAGCTTTTTTATCAATTTGTAATAAATAAAAATTTTGGTTCATATAGTCGCGCGAACAAGTATAACACGATTCAATTAATTTTGAAATTGTGATGGCATCCAGGAAGGCCATGGATACATTGTAGGTAATTGCATGTAATTGTTATCGACACCTTCGAACTTGATAATTTCTATGTTTGCAATACCATTGTGCACATTCATGTAATCAGTTGTGTTGTTATTTGACATATGAGAACTCTGTTGATGTTCATAAATTCGTAAATTATTGATCATGGGAGGCTTTTGATTGTAGATATTATAACGATAGGAGTGATCGCCTGTAAAGAAAGAATTTGATATACATATATATGTATTATTTCACTTTATGTGATTTTAATTTTGATATTCAATATTAAATTAGAAAACTGTAGGTGTACATATAATTTGCTGCATAATTAGAAAATAATCAAACAAACTTATATGACATTTAATTGATTTTTCATTATTATATTTGACGTTGCAAACTAAAATATAAGTTCTGTAACTGTCAGAAAAAAGCGATAAAACATTTTTTAGTATGGTCAAAAAATTATAAAAAATTATAACTTGTATGTAATAAAGACAGTGACATGCAAAAATAATTAATCCTTGATACAGATATTTATGAAATTTATTTTTTCTAAATATTACCTATTTATTATTCTATGTATATTTACAAGCATATTCTTCAGGATTTTCAATCAATTAAGTTTAATTAGAGAGATTTTGTAGATTTGAGAAAAAAATCATATTAAAACATTTATTTTCAAAATATCAACAAATGAATAATAAATGGATAAAATTCTTATATTAACATAAAATTTTCGTTACGTTACCATGTGATTTCATGTGATGATGTAAAGCACCAAGTTTGCAAAATCCTCTGTTACACACTGGACAACGTAATGGCCAATTACCAGTATGAGAATATCCGTGAGCCCTTAAATCACCGGGAGTTGGAAAAGATCGTCCACACTCGTTACATTTATGTGGCTTCTCCTGTTTCAAATTATATTACATATTAAATAAAATATTGCGGTCTTTGCAATATATCTTGTATTTTTATCTACGAATAATTTCTATTTATAATTATTGCAGAGTAATTGAGCGACTATAGAAAATATTGTATTTTCTCCTGAGAAAAATTACGTCTATTTAATTTATTTTATGTGTTAAGTTATAGTCTACTTTTTTAAATTGTACACTACTAATGCGCAATATTTCTCCTTCTTCAACAGGGAAAAGCACCTTGTAATGCGTCATACGATGATAATACAAATTCGACGAGGCGGTAAAACGTTTCCCACACATCGGGCATTCGTGAGGACGTTCACCAGTATGAATCCTAATGTGAGTATTTAACGAACTACTGGTGCTGAACATTTTGCCACATATTGTGCAGCCGTGTGGTTTCTCTCCTAAAGTAATATATTTTATAATATTGACTGTAATTGAGAAAATATTCGAAAAAATTCTCAAAAATATGTTATACAATATTTTCTTCTTTACAAAATTTTTAATAATTTTGTTATTTAAATTTTTCTCAGTAACAGAATGCAATTATCTCTTTATTATTTGAAAAAATATCATTATTTTTTAGAAATAAATTATTACGTGTAAAAACAAATTATTAAGTATAATATGTAAATTATTTTTAATTATTATAATAGTCAATATTGTTTACCGTAAATAGTATTGGTTATTATTATTCTAAGAATAGTAAAATCTGAAGAGAGTATTATGAGAGACCAACTTTCTCTTAAAATTTACCTGTATGGGTTCGCAAATGTCTTTTTAAAAGTGAAGGTCTGTCGAAACTTTTACCGCAAGTTTGGCAAGGAAGACACCGTTGAAATTTAAAAACGTTAACTTCAGTTTTCCACGCAGTCCCATTTCTACTCAAATCTAAGGGTGCATTTTGCGTTGCGTTCCATGCTATCAACATATTACTCACTCGATTAAATTGAAATTATGTGACATTAAATATATTAGCTTCCACACATCTATTGTGACAACAATACGCGATTATTTAAATTTCAATAAGTAAATTTAGAAAAAGTTTATTAAGATTTTTTCACTTATTCAGAGGGATACTTGTAACATGAGAGAATTTTTTAATAATTTTCTACGCTTACCTGACATCGCGATAGCTTCTTATTTTCGATGACTTGTCAATTTACACGAATAATTGTTTGTATAATTAATATTTCACGACGAGTGAACGAGTCTGACGCGTCGAATTACACAAGCAGCATTTTAGCACTTTGATCAGATTAAATCGCGATCAGATTATAGAAGTACAAGAAACGGTGCAGTCGCAAACGACCCTTCGGCGCATGTCGAAGGCGGTGTTTTTATCTAGGGCGGAGTTTGATCGCCGTTTGGGTAATATGCTTTGCATTTGCGCATGTGGCACATTTCAAAACTTCTTGTATTCAACATAATTCTCGTGGTACTCGTAGTATTGCTAAACCGCAATAGTAAAAAAGAAAGCGAAGATTTATGTCTGGAAGGTAAGGTGACATTATACTAAAAAATGCAATATAAAAAGAAATTGTTACCTAATGTAAAATATAAAGGATTATTTAATATATAATATGTAAAATAAAATAAAGGAATTATGATACTTGTGATTATAACGTATCGAGTGATTATGATGACATAATTTTATATATATTAAATATATCGTCATTATTAAAAAAATAATATTCTTTTTAATAATATTTAATATATAAAGCAAAATATGTCTTTGTTTCTAAAAAGATATGATATCAAAACTGTTTTATCAAGATTATTTAGTCAATGAATAGAGATATTTTTACTGTATAAAAATCTGTAATATAATAATTAATGCTTGATATTTGTAATCAAACATATTGATGACTTTTAATTTTTAGAGATAATATGACCGCAGTAGATTAATGTTGGCGCCGTCTGTCATTACAATAGAACCATTATAATAGAAGTTCAGTATAACATAACATACAGTATAACACGGCAAAAATTCGTTCAACGTTCTATCTTATATATATCAATTTTTACTCAATGTCACCAAGTTAATAATCTCTCTTTTATATAATCAAGAATTAAAATATCTGAATATGATTCTTCTTTACAGAATTCTATTTAATTATTATTTTTTACTATTATTAACTTTGTCATAATCGTACGATATAGGAGTATACAAGAATCTATTTTTAATTATTAACAGAAAATTCACTATAAGATAATTAATCATTATATATATATACTGGTTGCTTTTTGTATTCATAATTTGCTTATATTTATAACATTTTTCTCCGTCTTTAATATTTATTTAAAAATATTTTACAATTGTATATATGTGTTTATTAGATTTTTAAGCGGACTCTTCCATAGATAAAGTTTATGAAGCAGATAGCCGGTGATGCTTTGTCATCGTGTACTCATTATTACCCGTGATATTCGTTTGAAACGACACGCGGAACGGAGATAGGATAATTCGTCGTTTCGGACTATCGGACGTCCTACCGTGCGAACCCCTCATTTGTCAACGCAAAGGATATTAAAGCCATTGAATGCGCCGGCGGGATCTTTACAAATCGGTTCTTCATCGACCATAGACAACAATGTGCATATTTTTGCCGTGTAGCGCCGCGGTATTATCGTGGCTGATCGATTTCTGTAGCGTAGAAACCGTCGTTAATGCTCCTGTAATGTTCTTTTCATGTCTTGGGTATCCGGCGCGTTCTCTCTTTTTCAGCGATAAAACTCCCGATAGATCAGGAATAACATGAGTAAAAAGCTGTAATTTCGAATCAATTAATTTCATAATATTGTACAATTTTTTTAAGAAAATGTGTCACATATATTAGTGCGTAAAATATTTCCAATTGATCTATTAATCTATTTTATTGCAGAATTATTCGTAATTTTAATCGTTACACGCAAAACAAAACAATTAATTAATTAATAAGGTATAGAAACGAATTTATTTATTCCGATGCTCTTTTCCATTAATTATATTTTATAAGAATTCTTCGTAGTGGACATAAAATCTCTACGATAATGAAACATATTTTTCCACATTTATTTATTTCTAACGTTTCAAGTTCGTCCGATCATCCCAAATTCGGTACGGATTGGAACTTCATCTTCCTGGTCGGCGACACGTATTCCAATTCCAACAGAATCAACTCGTTCTCGCCTGTACGAAGATAGGTGGCCGGAACGTACAGAGTTATTTGGGGACCGACCAACGGCCAGTATCTACCCAGATTGCGACCGTTCACGAAGGCCACCCCTTTACCCCAACCGGTAGTGTCCAGATATGTGTCCAAAGGTTGCCCGGTGATCGTGAACCGTCCACGTAAAAATACCGGACCGTTATTCAGGGTCCCGCTTTCTATGTTTAGGGTCGTCAAATCTTGAAGAGACGACAGATCGGAGAACGCGTAGCCCGTCATATTCCAATTGGTCAATCGAGTTCCGCTTATAGTCACGTCTGATATACCCTATAAGAGAAGACAATGCAAGGAGCAAATGTTATTATATTGGTATTGTGATTTTTGTATGCTGAAAAACAAATTGCTTAATCTCATATAATACCTTGAAGTCGTTGATTTCGTTGCCGAAATTCAATCGTCCTTGATTCTCCACCAATAAACTCAGACGGCGACCGTAAGGGCTCTCTAGTGGCAGAGTGAATATCTTATCTATGCGACTCAGGGTGCCGGATAATCGACCGTCTACGTAAACCAGCGCCCTATCTCTCGTGGTTGCGCGCAATATAACTGGATCGTGTTCGGGAGCCGGTAAATCCGTCTCGTAAAGTACAAATCCCTGATTCACAGATAGATGCTCGAAGGTTTCGGGTTTGGTGCCGATCACCCAGCTCACCACGAATGGGGATCGACTGTCGAGCAGCTTTTGCACCGGTTCTAATAACACTGGACCGTAATTGCCTTTCGGGGATGCGGTCGGAAGAGACACGTTCGGCAATGGCAGATACTGTGATTTCAATAGGAAATTAATTAGGTGCAATTGCAGCTTCTCTGGGATAATCAAAATAAGCCGCAGCTTCAGCGTGAAGCTACACAGAAAGAATTTTCTTGGTAATCGTGGGACAATGTGGTATTGGAAGAATTTTATGAGAGTTTTTCTGATTAATATTTGCCACAATAAAAATATTAATATCTATCACAATAAGATATAAAATATACTCGATTAATTTCACTATATGTATATAGTAAAATTTATTATGTACATATTAATATTTTTTATTGTGGTAAATATTAATCAGAGAAATTTCAGGGTAAATTCTAAGAGAAAATTCTCTCCGTGTACAAATGATCTAATCTCTGAAAAGATAATCGTAATAATGCCAAAAAATATATTACAAAACTATTAAAATTATTTAAAAAAAAAAAATATATATATATATATATATACCTGACCGATGACATTTCTTATAGCAAAATATTTGTCTGTAGGATCTCCGGCTTCGGTCAAAGGAGCGTCATAATCGTAAGAAGTTAACTGAGGACTGTATGAACCTGCACCACCGTTGGCGCCTGTCGATGATAATTAATTATATTACGTTAATTGTAAGTAAAATCCCATCTGTTGATGCGTAATTAAATCTTATCGAATATACAGTGGAAATATTATTTTTTGCAGACTCGCTCGAAATATTAGGAAGAAGTTTACTAACCGGAAGTGAAAGCAAAGTTTGTACCACCGTAGAACATGTAAATATTAACGGATGCGCCCAGAGCGAGCATTTCCCTCAACGTCTTCGTGATAGCTTCGGTTCTCACCCTCTGGAAGGCTTCGCCCCAGTGGGTCAACCATCCTGGATAAAATTCAGAATTCACCAAGGGACCCTATGAGGTTTTTTTTACAAAGTGTAGTCAACGAGCGTCGAGATTTTCGAGATTGCTTCGAGATTTCAAGTAAGTACATATTACGATATATTACTGCTTACTCGTGGCTGATAGAGACGCATCGTTTGAAAGCTGCTGGTCACGTTGGCGGACGCCCCGAAATCGACGGTGGCATATGCACCGGGTACGAAACCGCAACGTAACATGGATGCGGATGTACCATCCGTCGTGTACAAGAGAGCCTTATTTCCGACTTTTCCGCTAATGATTTCTTTCAGCATATCCGTATACTCGGTGTCGCAAGCATTGTAGCTTCCGTATTCATTCTCTATCTGTTGACGCAAACGGGTCAATGATTAATAAATTATATAAAATATATAATAAATTATATAATAATATAATTTATTAATTATATAATAAAATATATATAATGAATTATTTAAAAATAAATATATTGTTATAAGAATTATAATATAAATATATTATAATATATTATTATTTATTATTATTATTATAATTATAATAAATAAAATTAATAATATTATAATTATAATAATATATAATATATAAAAATATATTGAATTTTGAATCATATTTATCATACTTATTATTCATTATAACGAAAATTATCGCAATTTTTTTTCGCAAAATTTATAAGCGCATCATAATCACTGCTAATTATGTTTAAGATATTAATATCGTATGATCTTCAAGCATGTGTTAATATTCATCGATATAAGAGTGTAAAAATAAATAATTCGAAATCAGCGAGGAGATAACGCATGCTAAATATATTATCTCGGAACGTGCAATCAACATTTTATATATAGATAACCTTTGATATTACATCAATCGCATTTAATAATATTAATTATCGCAAAAGTGCAAGTTCATTACCTGAACCATGATTATCGGTCCCCCGTTGCCCCTTAAAAGCGGTTTAACTTTTTCCAACACCTGATTCAAATACGATGTGGCGTATCTCATGAAAGCTAGGAAAGCAAAAAAATCAGTAGATGAAATTACATTTAAATGATTCGTGTAATAGTGTGTCATTTTCAATTATTCATCCAGTATTATCGGTGTGTTTGAGCGCCGACAAATAGCAGGAAAAAAAGAGAGAATCATTATAGAGAGTAAAAGACTTTTATCTCTTATCACAAAAACGGAAGTAGCGGGTCGTCGCATATGACATTGGTTTTAAATCACGCTTAATAGCGGAGAAAATCAAATGCATGTAATTCAAGAAAAAATATTTTTTTGAATCGGAAAGATTCGCAATTTTAATTTTTATACATCTTTACACTGAAAAAAATTGTTAACTTTATTAAACCGTTTAACTAAATTACTATTTTGTTAATGGAATTGTATATTAATATTTAAGTTAAATACGTGTTTGTTAAATTTAATATATTATATTATATATATTATATAATTTAATATATTATATAATTTAATTTAAATATTTCTATATGTTCAATTAACAAAATAATATTTAGTTAAACGATTTATTCAAGTTAACAACATTTTTTTCAGTGTATGATGCGTAAAAGAGTTACATCTCACCTGCATCTTTTGTACGTAGCTTTATATTCGGTTCTTCACGAAGCAACCAGTATGGTAGACCACCCTAAGAAGAGATTTGTATCGATATATCGAAATTTTCATCTATTTGTTACAGCATTAATACATTAAAATTTTTTATCCCATTAAATCTAATTATTTTAGCTGAAAACGCTGCATATATTTACCAAATCTCTTTCCGCGCAAATGTAAGGACCCGGTCGTAACAATACAAGCAAGTCTTCCTCTTGAGCAATATTTAAAAATTCCACTAGATCCGCATCACCGGCCCAGTTGAACTGACCCGGTTCTGGTTCGTGAAGACTCCATTCGACATAACTGCACGTTTCGATGTAAAATTATAATTTAATTTAATTTAATTTAATTTAGTTTTATTTTTATTTTTCTTGTTATAATAAGACTTACGTAGAAACCGCATTAAGTCCGGCGGCTCGCATTTTCCTCAAACGATCTCTCCAATATTGTCTAGGCGCCCGGAAATAGTGAAAACTTCCGGAGACATATCGGAAGGGTTTTCCATCCAGCAGGAATTGATTATTTTCATAATCGACCTCGAAACTGTACTGCCATACTGTTTCCTGCATTCATATTTTTATCAAGATATTTCTGAATATGGCATAGTAGTTGAAAATTTCATCGTTTTTATTCAATCATCATATTTTCACATAATTTTTTATTACATTTATTCTTTCATTACATCAATTATTGTTTTATTTCAAGAAACATTTTCTTTAATTTTTTTCTTATTTATTAATTTATTCTTTAATTATCTAATTATTTATTAATTTTATTAATTATATAATTCTTAATTTATTACTCTATTTATTTATTTATTATTAATTTATTGATATTTCTTTTCTTTAATTTTTTCTTATTTATTAATAAAATTAATAAATAATTAAATAATTAATTTATTCTTTAATTATTTAATTATTTATTAATTTTATTAATATAATTCTTAATTTATTATTCTATTTATTCATTTATTATTAATTTATTAATATTTATTTTGCGATCAAATTTATATTGGTCTGGAGGTTCTTCAACCAAGTTGTTACATATATAATGTAGACGCTTTCAAGTTACAGACCTCGTGTCGTATATTTATATTTTTTGCTACATTCTTGTAAGCTGGTTAGCAAATTTTAATGGAAATAATATGCGTTCGAGGCCAGTTATTACCGTCCGGTTATCATGCAACCAGCTGATTCTCGTCTCTTCTTCGTCTCCCACCTTCGTCTAATTAGTCTATCAGCAATCCCACGTCTGTCTTTGATAGATTAATCATAAAGTTAAATTTAAACGTCTCGCAAAAACACGCACGATACAACAGAGAGATGTAGCAACTATTTTTTTACCACTTTTCTCGCGAATAGATACGAAATAAAACAGTATCTATATGTAATTACATTTAGAATTATATTTTATGCGAAACTTTTTTGGCATGATAGACTTCTTATACTATACATAGTATAATCGCATTGCGATGTTTAATTGAAAGGATTTAATTGCACTTAAAAGATACGAGCGCAGCTTTATCTAAAGTGCTTACGTGAGAAAAGTGGCTTTAAATTCAAGTAACGTTTTAGCTTTCGATTCAATCAACGATGCTTCTATCTAGGATACGAGGTCGAGGATAATCGGTAGAATCAAATTATCTGCTTTATGACTTGCATTCAAATTTTACGAATTACGCGAACGTAATGTATCGTGCACGAGTATATATTTTATAAATTGCGCGCGTTACAGTTATTTTATTTTACTCACAATCAAATGTATTCTTCTTTACTCAAAATATTTTATCTCCACTTTTAGAACAAAATTGACAATTTCAAAGATTCCAATTAATAGTGCACAAGTAAGAAGATTAATGAATCAATCTGTACGAAATAATTCAGAATCCTATCAGCTTCTTGAAAATAGCGTTAAAGTTATCATCATTATTTCAAAATTCTCTCTTCCTAAAATTATCATTGCATTTTTTTTTGTAGATTGCATTTATTCATTTATATGCGTTTATTTTTATTTAAAAATTACGGTAAAAAATGTTCCATATATAAATTCAAAATTTTATTTTCGAAGAAACTTTTCACAAAGTCAAATTTATCTTTCAGTAAGAAAACAAGGTACTTAAATATATTTTATTTAAATAATTTTGCAAAGATTAATTCGATTCTTTGTATGAGCGAAAATTCAGAAACAAGAAAAAGTTTTTTCTATATTTAATAAAAGAAAAACTCTATGTATAGCAACAAATATAATATATTGTATATAATATAACATGGCTTGTACGTAACAATTATATTATTGAGTGGGAAATTATAACATTAATGTTATGTAACTGTTACTTTGTGTTCACTGGGATATGTATACTGAAAAAATTAAAATTTGTGAACTTGATTAAACCTTTCAACTAAATTACTATTTTGTTAATTGAGCATATTAGTATTTTAATCAAATATACATTTTGTTAGATTTAATATATATAATATATTTAATTTAAATATTTTTATATGTTCAACTGACAAAATAATAGATATTTAGTTGAAAGATTTATTCAAGTTAACAAGTTTTTTCAGTATATTATACATATATTAATATATTAATATATTAATATATAATATATTAATATATTATATATTAATATTAATATATATTTGTACATACATATATCAATATAATATAATACACAATATATTATAAATCTATAACGTCAGTCACGAACACGTTATACACCTGCAATAATTATGCATGAGATACGTAGCATCTACACATACATTACTCGGTAAATTGACCGTCTTCGCTAGAGCTCCACACAATGCCAAGATGGTCAGGACCACCGACGACCACATTTCCCGAATGATTTTTAATTTCACGCGCTCTTCCTTCAGCTACGCTATCCAACAGTCTTTCCGCCGACCGCTCGCGCGTCACTGACGTTTCGACGGCATGCCTAAGACAAGTCGCTGGTGTTTATCATGGGGAGATGCACGATCCGGTCATACTATCGTTCAAGTATTGCCTCATTATCGCTGCAGGTACTCGCGTAATAATACGGCTCCGCGTGAAAGAATCCGAAAAAATGCTTTCGAAAATCCCGCACTGTTGGGCGAACGTTGGCTCAAACTAGAGAGGATCTCCTGAGCAAAGCGTCACATGCATACATCATTAATATAAAATTATTAAAAGTGTGATCTATGTTGAAAAAAAGAATTTGTTAGCTTGACTGAATTTATTTTGATAATTGAACATATAACAATATTTTTTAAGTTTAAACATATTAAGTCTAACAACAGGTATATTTGAGTTAAATAATAAAATACTGATATATGTTCAATTAACAAAATAGTATAATTTAGGTGAAAGGTTTGGTCAATTTAACAATTCTTTTTTTTAATACACTGAAAAAAATTAATACTTATTTAGTTCAATACTGTCAAATAAATCATTTATTTGAAACAAATAAATATTTATTTGTTTTGAAAAAGATTTTCTTATATCAAATAAATATTTTTCATATAAAATAAATATTATTTATTTAAAATAATTGATTCATTTGACAATATTGAAATAAATATTTATTCGAATTAAATAAATTTTTTTTTCAATGTATGTAAATATGAAATCGTAATATTTTACGAATTTATTTTAAATTACATGTCTTGTGCACTTATATTCCATGTCAAGGAAAATTATATAACATTATACGATTATATAATATTTGTTCCTTTCTTATAATAAACAAGGTTTAAGATACATGTTTGCTAAAAAAAAGGATATTTTATTTTAAGATGTTTGTTCAGCATAAAAGATGGGATTTCCAGAAAAATTAATAATTATTATAACACAGATTAAGAGAGACCGCGGTCTGCAATTTGCATAATAAATTTAATAAATATTATCATGTTGTTCTCTGATAAATTAATCTGAATGCAGGTCTAATCAAATTTATCTAATCAAAATGACATTTTATCAAATGTTTTGTCACGGTGTTCAAGTATCATAATATAGATAAAATCCTTTTTTTGTTTTTTTGTTTGTTTTAATATATAACAATTTGTATTGCATTAGTTGTTTGTCGCTCATAATTATTTTTTTAGATATTCGCATCGCGATAAAATATTTTTCTTTGATGGAAAATAAGATTGATATATGATCTTGAGTAAAATAGATGAAGATATATAACATAAACCGACGATGCATTAATTTAATAGAATTAGTTTATTTTTCAAAGCTTATTTCAACGCAAATTATTAAATTGTACAAAACACACAGGCCATTAATATTCAAATATCCTAATTTAAGTTCCCAATCGCAGAAATATGAGAGAAGCAATAAAAAAACAAAACTGTAATAGATTAAAAAAATTCAGAAGCAGATTTAAATTATAAAAACAGAAGTCGTCAGTCAAGAGTAAAAAAAATCCAACAATTCGTTCTAACTAAAAATTGTCATATGGCAATGTAATCTTTCAGTCAAAATTACACTGTCTCAATTTTACATGATTTTACTAGAAGTCAATATATTACGCGAACGACAATTTTTTTATTATATTTTTATTACATTTTTTATTACATTTTTTTTATTAAAATTTTTATTAACTTTATCGTTTTATACCGATCAAGCAACAAAGTATACTATTATCGTTTAGAGGTAAACTGCAACGAAGGGCAAGATACATTTTCATGCCGTTGTGCGGCGTGCACATTGAGTTTCCATTCGTAATTAAAATTTGTTATTGTCCGCAATATAATAATTAAAATTTAGAAAATACACGTATGTTTATTACATCCAAATTGGATTTGATTTAATTTGATGAGAGAAACTTCACAAGTTCCTCATTCATAAAGAGATATATATTGCTGGATGATTTATTTTAGCTTGAATTTTATATTTATATAAACCAATACAGCACAAAATATTATATAAATGTTTTCAAAAAATATTTCTATAAAATATTGCATAAAAACATTTTAAAATGGTTTTAGGAATATTTTAAAACGATTTAAACATTTTTTGTGATAACATTTTTTAGAATATTTTAAAAAACTTTTAAAAATGTTCTTCTTTTTATTGCTCAGATAATATTTTCTTAAATATTTGATACATATTTTTAAAATATTAGTTTAAATCTATATTCAAAAATATTTGTTAAACATGAAAAAGTGGACATAGAAACATTTTAAAAATATTTTCGAAAATTATTTTATCTTTTAAGAAATTTGTAAAAATTTTTTAATATTTTGTGCTGTATGAGAATAGATTTAAGTTAATTTTATTAATTCTCGCGAAAAATCTAGACAAGTTCTGTCTGTAACAAGGATATTGTATCGCTATTTTCAGCGGAATGCTGATTTTTCTTATTTTATTTAATTTCAAATATTATTATTATACAAAAATATTTAATTTTATTTTTTAAATTTATTTTTAAGACTTATTATATAAATTTATTTTTAAGAATAATTTTTTTGTTCGTAATTTTGGCACGAATGCAACATTTATTGTACCAAAAAGATTTGCATATAAAACTAAATTTTTTCAATAATCCAAACAAGTTTAAACTTGAAATATACTTTAACAAAAACTTTATCCTTGTTAAACCGCACATTACTCACTTACTTCGTAAAATATCACGGAAAGAAACCGATTAAGCCTTATATAATTCTACGAAAAAACTAACGACGCAAATTATATATCTTAACGACACAATTCGGACATTACTATTATATAAACTCGTATTTTTTTACATGAGCAATTCAGAAACTTTGACGTCATTAAGCATTTGTCGTGATAAAAATACTAATTAAATTACTATTAGTATAAAGATTAATCGGCAATTTTTATTCGATTAAAGATTTTCTTCATTCTTTACATAATTAATACATAGATTGTGTTATATCTAAATATTCAAACAAATTGGTGAGATAATTTTTGATAAATTTTTATAAGTTAAGGTTGATATTTTTAAACGACCAACTGGCTAATAATGGTAAAATTATTTTATTTTTACAGCTACGTTTATAATTGTATCACACTGTTTTTGTGACTTAGCCTGAAGAGGAGCCAATTCAGGGTCGAAATGTAGCTGTATTAAATTACTATTAGTATAAAGATAAATCGGCAATTTTTATTCGATTAAAGATTTTCTTCATTCTTTACATAATTAATACATAGATTGTGTTATATCTAAATATTCAAACAAATTGGTGAGATAATTTTTGATAAATTTTTATAAGTTAAGTTGATATTTTTTAAACGACCAACTGGCTAATAATGGTAAAATTATTTTATTTTTACAGCTACGTTTATAATTGTATCACACTGCTTTTGTGACTTAGCCTAAAGAGGAGCCAATTCAGGGTCGAAATGTAGCTGTAAAAATAAAATAATTTTACCATCATTAGCCAGTGGGTCGTTTAAAAATATCAACCTTGATTTTAATTTCACTGATATCCAACTTATTTAATTTGATTTTACAAGTTAGCTGTGGGAAGTGAAAATTCAAGGAGAAAATTGTGTGCCATCTGGAATTGTCAGGGTTCGAAAAATGATGATTATAAGAAGTAGAAATAAGAATTTGACCAATCAAATCGTATTCTCACGACGCTCTAAGAACACTGACCGCGTTAGTCTTCCGATTAACACGCGGTGGTCAACAAATTTGTGACAATTAAGCCACTTAATGCAGATGCATACGTTTGGCATATACGCGCGTATTTTTTAAGGACTAAGTTAACCGGGGTTAATGGAGGAACGACTGCGTTACAGCAGCTTTTGTGTCTAACAAGACTTATGATATCGACGTATAATTCGTGATTAAATATGCTCTTTGTCAACAACCGTGAGAGTCAAATAAAACATTTATATTTTAATAATATAATATATATACAGCTAAAATAATTAAGTAATATAAAAAATAAATATTATATTAATTTTTATTTATATTTATTATATATAATATTAATTTTTATTTATATTTATTATATATGTGATATTAATTTTTATTTATATTTATTTCATTTATAAAAAAATTAATGTTATATATAATATTTATTTTTTATCTAAGGAGATTAACTGAAGTTCTCTCGTGACGAATTTGTATGCTACATTCGAAAGCAACTCGATCTTTTAAACATGACATGCATCATGACACATATATTGAGGCATCCGAGAGTTTTCCGAGATATGTAAATCGCAGCTTGGATGACGATTCTTCGATGTTAGAATATCGTTGCTCTTATCAAGAAATCTACGAAACATATTTCTTTTCAAAGCAATAATTATTCAAAATGATGCGAACCATATGAGCGCCTGCATAATTTTTTCCAAGAGGCGGCATAATTAGAATTGTATTTTTTATTTTTATTCTTATTTTTTAATTTTTGTGTTATTTTAGATTCACTTTTTATATTAAATATGCAAATAAATTGCAGTGTTTATTCAAAAGCTGTCTTAATAATTTGCACATATGTTTAATTAAACAATCCGCTGACGCGATGTAATGTTTTCTCAGACACTGAAAAAAAATTGTTAACTGAACATATAAAAATATTTAAATTAAATATAATATATTAAAACGTATATTTGACTAAAATAATAATAATAATAATAATAATAATATGTTCAATTAACAACAATAGGAATTTAGTTGAAAGGTTTAGTCAAGTTAACAAATTTTTTTTCAATCCTTATATAGTCTAATTTTCTCATATAGTTTCGATAATTTTCTCTCTAAAAAATTCTCGCAGATGTAATTTGTTTTCCATTACAATTTTGTATCCGTCGTAATAATATAATAAAAATCTCGATTTTGTATCGTGCGAAAATTTCAACGCGCAAAGATTCGATTATCCTCACTGAAAAAAAATTATTAACTTGACTAAGTCTTTCGACTAAATATTACTTTGTTAAATTAAACATATAAAACTATTTAAATCAAACATAATATATGTTGATTCAACAAAAT